AATATAATATAATAGTATTATATAATACAGTATAGTATAATGAGAGTCATTTTCTAAGAGAGCATAGATGTCTAGCCGAAAATATAAAATAGTTAACATTAGATGATTACATTTTTTTCTGCAGAAATCTCGTATCTATCTTATTTTCAATGCGTAATTATTTCTCTGAATATGATTGAAATTCGTGAAATAAACTGATGAATAAAAGCTGAATAAGATTTACTTTATGCAAGGTAATCACTTCAGCATATTGCTTTTCTCTGTATTGTTTACAAAATGTTTTCCTACTCAAATATATTTTTTCAGCGAACATTGTCGTTTTTTGTATCTTACCTTTGAATTTGATTTGTTTCTATTCGAGGTTTACCTAAATAGTGCAGGATAAAACTATTAAGCTGCTGTTAATAATTTATTATTTTTCATAAATAGTTTTTTTCTGACAAAATTCAGTTTTAAATAAAAATGGGATACCATTTTTATTTAAAACTGAATTCTCAATTACATTATGCAAGATTTACTGATTTGGAAGATTTTATCCTTCTTCAATTTTAGCAAAACAATAACAAAATAATATCTAGATCTATCACATTTTCTACTTTTACACTGAATAACTAAGTTTAATTTCCTTAATTCACGTCTTTATGCTTATTTCGAAAATTCTTCATGCAACTTTCTTAGTATATTTGCAGTTTTAGGAGAAATAGGACGCAATGCTCAATGGGTTATCATCGCATATTGCCATTATATTAATTTTTTTTACTTTCCATAAATTTTTACTTCCTCAAATATTAGAAGACATATTAAATGATTAGCAACTTGAACCAATTAATAGTTTCCATAAAACCTTCAGATGCAATACGCCATCAATTTCCAAAGATATAAAGTTATGTTTTACAATTGTACTAAAAAAGTTGCATGAAAAAATATTAATACTTACTAATATATTCATTACATTTTTTCATTTTTCGCGAAGAAATCTTTCAGTTTTAAGCTTTTATCCATTAATTATAATTGAGCTCTGTTTAATTCCACGCAAACAGAAAGGAATATAAGATGTAACACGAGAAACAATGGAGAAGCAAATTTTTTCAACGTAAAAAAACATTAAATGTGACTCAGACATGCTATATATCTGATCTTAGTTGATTTCAATCAAACTTGAACTTTAACTAAATTTTTGTCAGCTATGACAACGGTTAAATTGATATTTTTTATCTTTAACAACAGCGACTAAAGTTAATGCAAAAAATATCGATACTGTAAAAATTTCAGTGCTAAAAATGTGCAAAATTGTAAAGATGGCATAGATTTTGAGGTAAGTTTTTCAATTTGCCAAATTTTTTTTTGTACGCAAACATTTTATTAAAATAAGTAAATGTTAAGGAAATGATTAAATGTAGTTCAATTACCAAAATTTTTGAGCAATTTAAGGGTCATTTAATAATTTTTTCTCTAGACCTCAGTTTCGTTGCCACTTTTTGTAAATGCAAAAATTTAGATACGCTTTGTTAGAATGAAATAGAAAATTTTGCAAACATTTCAATACAATCACGTAGTCTCACGGACTTGTCAATTGAATTTGGCTCATGACTATTCAAAAAACTGATTTTTTTACCGCATAACTCGAGAAAATCTTTTAGATTTTCACCGATTTTTACAAATTCTGAAATTGAAAGATTATTGAACGAATTTCATGTTTATTTTGTACTTTAATTTTACTAAAAGATTTTATCTTATTTTTCTGAGAAAATTATCTTTTTATACTGTGTTTACTTGTATATTTTTACACGATTACATCTTTTTCTTTTTTTACAACTAACTTAATCTTTTTTGCGTCTGATTTTTGAGTAAAAAATTAAAACTGTTAGATTAAAGCTGTTTTCAGTGCATTATTCATTTCTGTAATACTTTATAGTGATACTGTGCAGGGTTTTCACAATATGTTAGTAATTAATAATCCAATCCGAGAAGTCATCCCAAGCAAACATATGAATCAAATTTTTTAGCGTTAAAATTAAAACAAGTTAATATGAATGCAATTTAAAGAGCAGTGGACTAAGCAATCTGTTATAGCTCAGTCTAAGAACTTTGCATCAGTAGTTGGCTTATTTTTATTTTATTTCTTTCTTGTTTAATTTTGTTTTTTACAGATACTTAAAAAATTTTCAAATAATTTGCTTAGAAAGGCGGCATGCATTGAGTAAAAAAACCATAAATAATACCAAATTTCCAATGCATTTTTCATTTCAAATTGGAAAAGAAATTATTGTGCCAAAACAAGTCTGCATATTTAAGCAAAGAATTATTAAATAACCAATAAGTAAGTTGATAGCAAGCATGAAATGCATCTAAACATTTGTAAGTTTTATTTTTTCTTGTATTTCTGCTTTCTTTTTTTCTTTTTCTTTTTTTTTGCATTTCTAGAATGAATTTATTTCGGTAGTTAATCACCAAATTATTTTTAATGTGATTTTTTTTTGCACTGTTTGATTTCTTAAGTAAAAAAATTAGATATTATTCTTTATGGATTAACTTTTTCCAGGAATAAATAATGATTGAATGAATAAATCATTGATTGATTGAATTTCATTGAAAAAAATAAATCATGAAATATTGTATCATCATATAATACATGCGTAGTACTTTGATAATTGCAATCTAAATTATCAAACATTTGATCATATATTTATATCACAGTTACTTTGCATTATAATATTAGATCATAAGTTTCAATTGCTATCTTAATACGATTTTCGCTCACTTAAAACAAAATACATAAATCAATTGTTAAGATGTGAAAAAATGTATCGTGATCACAGTTAACTCTAAAAAGTAAGAATTACTTTGATTTTGTTATTATTATCATTCTTACTGTTATTATTATTATCATTGTTATTATTATTGTTGTTGTTATTATTGTTAATAAATGACGTTTAATAAAAATGTTGTCTGATGAAGAGCATTATTTAACAATTACCATAGTATCTATCGTTAGTAAACTTCTATAACTAAGAATAGATAATGTATACTACAGTTGTAAACAAATGTTTTCATTGCTCAGCGAATATTGCATATAAGAATAGTGCAAAGAAAAAAGAAACAAAATGTAATTGTTTTCTTTTTTAAAATTGCTCAGAGTTTAAGTTAAAAAGAAATATATAGAGAATCATTCTTGGCAACGGATGTACTAAATGGAATAATAATAACCTTGCAAAATGGAAGTCAAATCTTCGAAATGTTTTAAATTAACTTTACTTAGCAATCAAACCACTGCCCTTTGAAAATGCACGTGTTTACTACTCCATCTTCCTATTTTTAAGTCTTTCAAAAATTGTTAGCTTGAAAGAGTAAAATTTTGTTTTATGAGAAGTAAATATCTTTCCATGCAATATATTTAACATGCTGCTTGCTAAGAAATAATCCAAATGATGTCTTGATAACGCAAATAAGTACAAACTTAATGGCTAAAAAAACTTTAACAACTTAAAAATTAATTTTTGATTTGTATTGATCAACCGAATAATTGCTAATGCATGGATTAAAAAGCGTAAGGTTTATTGTCTACTACTTACGCTGAAGTCTTATTTTGAGTACTAAAATATGTTATTAAAATTGAAAAACAATTAGCCACATATTGTCAGTGCAATATAATATTCAATATTTGCAAATCTTTAGCTAGTTATGCTAGTTATAACTGAAATTTAAATAATAACAATAATTAGCGATTTTCATCTGCAGTTTTATGACTTTACAAAAGTTCTCTTGAGAGTTATATTTCTTAAATAATTCTAGTTTGACTTTGGAATTAAACAAATTTTACTAAAAAACTTTTTGCAAAGATTTTTCAGCTTCGCTCACATCCTTCATTTTTAATCCTTCATTTTTATTACATATTAGCCTTTAGTTTGAGTGAAAAAAAAATTGAAAATGTAATATGCATAATGCTGCGCTGAAAGTGTCTGAAAATTTACTACCATATAATTATTTACCAAATTCAAACATTTTTTATTCGTATAATTTGCTTAGGAGAAAATTTGTATTTCATTGACAATATTTAGCAAAATGTTCCCTTATATTGATAACAAGTTTGAGTAATCAGATTGCTTAAGATGAAGATCATTTACAAGCAGAATTTATGAATTCCTTAATCAATTATGTCACTATATCAATAATATAATGCCATATTCTTGTAGTACTTGAGAGTATGTATATAAAATGGAACAAAGAATGCTTTTTTTAGTTTTCATGCTGAATTCTATTTGCAAATTTCCTTAATATTCAGCAAGCAGAATTCTTTCACTCTTCTATTCATTGTCTAGAAGTTAAAATGATGTCAGTGATAGTAATAATATATTTCTGTGCTAGGACTTAATCAAAATATTTGTTATTCTATTTATATTTGTCATTCTATTTTTGTCTTAATATCCATTCAATTTTTATTCAACAGACTGAAAGTTCTACACTGAAGAATTCATTTTTCATTTTTTTCTCTTTGCAAAAAAGTTTTGCAGTGATATAGAAAATACTAGAAATGCTTGAACAATACCATTTTGATCTAGTATATAAATTAAATGACCTGAAGCACTGATAAAAGAGTGAACATTTTTTAGAGTTGAAAGGTTATTTTTTTTGCAAAAAAATAACAAAAATAAGTAATGGATTTTTTCTGCTTGATCATCAGCATTTACTATAAAATTTATAAAACACTATGATGCTATTTACTTTCCAACTTGTACTTCCTTCAATCATTGCTGATGCATTAATAACTTTTATATGGTTGTCTAAGTCTAGAATGATAAAAAAGAAAATGTCATAAGCGTTTTTTTAATACATAGAATTACATCACAATTATTAATTTATGAGTTTTTGCAACTGTCTAATTTCTTTTAATACTTAATTTTCAAACCTAAGCATAAACATTTTTGTGATTATTTAATTTATCAAATTTTCCAATATTTCTTCTTTTTTTCGATTTTTCTTTTCGAGTAAAAATATTCAAAATGAACATGATGAGGATACGACATATCATCGCTATGCGAAAAGCCCTCAAAGCTGATCCACTGTTGCCACCTATTTCTAAAAGGTTATTCATTCAAAATTCTACTACTTCATCTGAATCTCGAAATAACTGTGCTAATTACAATCAAAAACATTCTTAAAAATAAGTTACATTGTTGTTCGTGGTGATATTTTTAATATAAAATACGTAAAGAGCTTTTCAAAATTGAATCCTTCATAGTACAAAGGAGCAAAAATCATTCATCCAAATCTAAATAGTAATTTTATGCAATTTTCATAACATCATCTTTGTGTATTAGCTAACTTTCAAATTTAATATTTTTATTACAATTCATTTTTCTACACTGCAGCTTTATGCCATTACAGAACTTTTGAAAATTGTTATAAATGGTTATTAAGCATGTTTTTAAATTGTCTCAAGCAATTATCACTATTACATGGTTATTAAAATGTGATAGAGCATTTAGCGTATATTATTTGTAAATTTCACTTTTGTGTTTAAATCTTCAAAAATCTAAATATATATCAAAATGAAAAAACATGTATTTAGTCCATTTAATTATTTGTAAATGTCATTTATTGTATGTATTGAAGCTAATAAAATGTGAAGTCATTCGCCAATCGATATTATACAACTCGTAAAATTTGTGAATAAAGAAATATAAATATAAAATACTCAATTATTTAGTCTTGAAAATTTCTTGAATATAATCCAAAAAAATATTTTTATTATTTAATTTAACTCATTTAACTTCACATAAGTTTTGGCATCTATAAATAGTTATGATATTATAGTTGTAAAAATCCATCTGATTATAGGTCACACAATGTAAAGGCACCCGCAAAAGATGTTCTTGGAATCAGTTTACACATCAGGTTAGTTTATTAGAAGCGTTTGATGGCTATGAGTTATGATTAAGTGAGCATAAGCATATTTTATGATTTAATATTTTAAATAAAAAGAAATTTCATCTAAATGCACTAATCAGGACTTGTCAAGTTTAACGAGCACTTTTGCTCTTATAACCAAGTTTTAAGCAAAAGACAAAAATTAGTGCAAGTAACTTGAATAGCCGAGTTAGTAGTATGCTTGTATTTTCAGTGATCTAAAGATTGAGTTATTCAAATACAATGAAATAATTTGTTTGATATCTGTGAATGAAGAAGGTTCAGAAAACTCTTGGAAGCTTGTAAGTTAATTGTCCAAAAAAACAGTAATATTGCTTTATTTGAAGCATAAAAACTGAATCTTACAGTGATGTACAAATATTTAAAAAGCGTTTATTAATTGAAAATTCATTAATTGTATAAAAAGTGCTAAATTACTACAAATTTAAAAATGGAATAGTAACGTAAAAGGGCGGAAAATATTCTACAAAAATTAAAAGTATAAAACAAAAAGGCAATTATTATATGTAGTAAGGTTTACAGGTAACAACAACGGATGTTATGGTCAAAAAAGATGACATTTTCATTCCTAATGCATTTACTGTAGAATACACTTTTAAACGAGATCAAAATCTGAAAATTGAAATGTAACTTTTCTCTTACAATAAATCTGACTGGCGGCTTTTTTGTATGCAATGAATGACAATTTAAGAATATACAACTATAATCAAACAGTAATTAATATATATGCTATATTGTCCAAATTATTATTGGCATGGAAATTTGAAAGTATAAAATTGTGCCGAAATAAAAAATTTTATGCATTTTATCATTTAGGATTGCATGTTTTGAATATTAATATTTAAAATAATGATGAATTTCTTTCAAGCTATGACTATTCCGAACATGAATTAATTATTGTTGGAATGACCACTTTATTTCTTACAGAAATACTTACTTCTTCACCAGGTTTTTCTAAAAATTTAATGTAAGTTTTTTTACTAAACTAAAGCATAAATTATTTATTTTAAACTTTTGAAACTTCACTCATATCAAGTAATTGTTAGAAGTATAATGTAAGAAGTTTTTTTTTTTTGATTCCAAAAATTAATTATAAATAAAATAAATTCTGTTGATGTAGTAGCTTTTATAATAGTTACAGAAATATAAATGCATCGAAGAAAATAAAATTGTTTCATTAAAAAAATTTGTAAAAACTTTTAGCAAAAATGAAAGCAATGAAATCATTGGCATTGTTTCAATATCGTATAAGACAGAAACAAAAGAACAGCCAATACTTTTTCAGTTTCATGGCAAGAACTTTCCCAAGAAAGGTTTGGAAAACACGCAGGTATGGACTTTTGTGGAGAATGAAATTCGCGCAATAAGAATTATTCAGAGTTCAGCTATTTCTAAAAAAATAAAAAGCTAAGAAAGTTATTTTATTGCTTTGTTTATCTTGAATTTTCTATAAATAAACAGGTAAAGTGAGCACTTAATTACATTTTTGAAATTCAAAAAAATAAATATTAAAGCATTATAGATTTCAATTTTCCAATTACTAAAATCTTTTTTACACTTTTAGATTTATTTTCAAATGTTTGGAATTGGAGAAAATGATGAGCGCACTTTATTGTATGAGAGCGAATGCCAATATTATTCATCTAAGCTTCAATGGAAACCATTTCAGTTGATGAAGGATGAGTTTAACTGCTTTAAAAATAGGTAAGCTACGGCTTCATTTTTTTCTGCTTTCTTCTTCTCAGCAATTTATTTCAATTTAAGGCTAGCAAAAATTTCAACAGTTATAGTAAGTGTTTTAATAAGGAGCAAACGTTTGTAGTTTGAAAATTGTTCGCTATTAAATTTTTAGTTTTGCAAAATGGTACTTTGAAAATTTTATGAATCAATTTAGGAGTTTCGAGATAGCGTGTTACTCACAAGATGAACATGAAAAATGTTTATTAATCGGACAAGTCAGTGCTACTTACAATGAACTGTTGAGTATTGTTGAAGGACGCAATACCTTTCCTGTAAGCATTAAATTTGACATTTTTCATAGTCCGTTAGAAATATGTTCTTCATTAATAAACAATTCACTTAGGAGTATAATTAAATTCTTCTCAAATTCAACATGTATCTTTACATACTCAACTGAATTCATTGATCACATCAGTAGTAAGCAAGCCATCGTCAGCATATTTTTTTGAACTATAAATATGTTGATATGTGCCTTAACTTATTATTATAATCATAATTTCAGATTAGTTTTTTTGTGCAATAATAAGATATATGAAAAAAAAATCTGTGGAGATAATGAAATTAAATTGATTCAATAAATTTAGATCAGATTTGGTAAAGGTATGAAGAAAATAAATGGTACAATTGAAAAAGTAAAATGCAACGAGATGGCAGTGTATTCTTTTTTGGATTACATTACTTCTGGGTAATTTTTAATCTCTCGTGCATATGCGCTACATAATGTATTTATTTACTTACAGTGAAGCTAAAAAATATTGTAGGTATTACCTAGCACTGGCTATTGCAGTGGATTTCTCAAAATCAAACCCAAAACATTCGTATGAAACATTTGCACATGATGTTGAATGGGTCATTCGAACACTTTGCTTACCATTTCGACGTCATAATTTGTAAGCTCTTTTTCAGAAATGAAATTTCAAAATATGAATGCAAATAATTTTTCTCGTAAATAAATTTTAGTAAAAACTTACTGTATTATACTTTTCATGTACTTGGATATCTGGCAAACATCTGCAATTTACAATATATATTACAGCCCTCAAATTTACACAGCTTTTGGCTTTGGTGCACGAATCCCTCCACATTTTCGAGAGTCTCAACAATTCTGTCTTGTAAGAATTTTTTAAGATTTTTTATATTGCATTCAAGACAATTTAATTTCTTCACATTCGCTTGGTCATTAATTTCATAGCCATTAGCTTTAATAATAATTTGATCACAAGTATGTAGAATCTTATTCACTCCATGTTTTTCATATATTTATTTTCAATTAAATTAATATGCTTTCTTCATGATTTCTTTACAAAAAAAGTAGTAAATTACCAATTGCTGGATGGCAGCTTCTTGTCAGTTATTAAAAGTGCTTTTCAGAATTTAGAAACTGATCCAAATTGTCAGGGATCAGACGGTTTAATTGATGCATTCCGTAAAGCGAATGCTCAAGTGCAATCCAGTTCCACTGCTCACTTTGCACATATCATTTATCACCTCGCAAAGTAAGTGAATAAGATTACGACAAAAGTTAGCTTTGCTAATTGATTTACTTTTCATTGTGTTTTTAATATTAACAGTACACTATTTTTTTTCTTGACGTTACGATTCATTATAAATTTAGTTATTATGAGCATGTATGACTGCAATTTTTTTCCATGTTTACATCTTATTTCTGCTTGCAATTATCAAAATGCAATCACAAGAGTTGCTGCAGGTTAGCTAGCAATGTACATCGACGTGAAGATCACTTTCCATGTCCATACTTTGTGCTAGCTATAATTAGCAAAGGCAAAATCGGTGATATTCGAGAAACCATACAGGTTTCAACTTTTTGTGTCAAACCTGTTTACAGCAAATTAAGTATTACTTGAGCTAGAATTTGACGCAAAATCAAATTATTACTTACTGTATTCACTTAACAAAAGCTTGACTTAGTTTTCTTGCTAGAAATAGTAAATTCTAAAAGGCAAAAAATTCTAAAGTGAATAATTTAGGCGACGATATTTGCATCTAAAACACCACTATCTTTGATATTCATTGCTACAGAGGATGACTGCGATGAGATGGAACGTCTCGGCCTCTCTGCCGGTCGCCTTTCATTTCAAAATCGCCGAGCGGAACGGGATATGTTGCAGGTTTCTATCGCATCAATAAATATTAAGCTTTGAATACAAGCAGATTGCTCCAAATTCGTAATAATGACTTGCATTTTGGAATAACAGTTATAAGTGTTAAATATAAAAGCTATGGCATTAATAAGTTCAATTTTTTGTGCCAAAAATGTTGCTATTTTTAGTTTGTACCAATTTCAAAAATTCGCAACAAATTATCGCAGAAAGTTGATTCCGAGCAATTATTTCTGGAACGAGCCTTACGATATGTTCCAAAACAGATGATAAATTGGCTAATGAAAAACAATCGTATTCCGCAAGACTTCAAACATTATCATTTATCACAGCTGGTATAAATCAATTATTTAAATATCATATCATTAATATTTCCCATAATTAATTTTCATATATTTCTGTTTTTAAAAAATTTAATTATCAATACTTGTCTTCAAGAATCATATTTTGAAAGTAGAAATTTATTCTTTTTCAACATCGCCGAAAATTTTTTTCACTTAATAGTCTTACCTTTGAATATTGATCAAACAATCTACCACACTACATTTTAACTTTAAAATTTGAATCTTTTTTCATGAGCAAATAAGTTGAGCTATCGTTTAGATAACAAAATTATCCAACTGAGCACTTGTATTCTGCTAATAAGAAGAATTATTTAGAGTTCAAGTGTAAGTTCACAGCTAAGATTCACAGAACAAAATGAGGAGGAAGCGAAAGCGAAATTAGATGATTGCTTTGATAAAGGACAATCATCTGATGCTTTGGATAACAAGTATCCTGTAAGCACGTCTGATGACTCTAGCACTGAAAAAGAACAAGTATACACTGCATATATTTACTGAGAATTTTTTCTAACAATTTAGCTTCTTCAAATCAAATTACTCATTAGGTGATTTATTTTATCAACAGCTGGACTGATCTTGAATGCCAAGTAATTTGAAAAATCCAATGTCAAAATGATTAAGGTTGCGGTTTAATCAGTCTTTAGCAAAAGCATGAGTTTTTATTTTCAGAGGTTAAAAATCGTTTATCTCTTAGCCTAAAAAAGTTAAGATTTTTTTGAGTCACACGAAAACAGATTTGCTCACAGAAAATTAGTAAGAGAAATTTTTCATTCTTTTATTTTTTGATAAATCAAAGAACAATATTATGCAAGCACGTCAAAAAATAAATGCAATTGTTTTAACCATTCATTGAGCTAAAAAAATGGGAAAAAAACTAGCAGTCAAGAAATGAAAAAATTAATTTCTTGACATCATAAATAGATTAACGAAAAATGAAGAGTATGATGTCCAGCGAAAAAATTCAGAAGATTGCAATTTGAATGAATTTAGAAATACAAATGAAATCATGCATACAATTTTCAGCAGGAGAAGACTGATTTTCAAAGAAGGTAACAGATCTTCTACATAATGATCCATGTATTCTACTTTACCTGTAATTCTACATTAATGTTTTGCACTTGTACATAATCATGACATGAACATGTAAACACAATAATATTTAATGAATGCTACTTACTATCATCTTTTCATTTATAAAAAAATCATTTTTTGGAAGTGTTAAAAAAAATGTTTGCGAATTAGGCGATTGATTCCGAAAAGCAAATTATATGGAAGCAAATCACTGCAATCTTTGTTTTAGCATTCTGTGTTAATAAATAATGAAGTTATTTTATAATGACAAATTCCCTGCAAAGTCTTAAGAGAGCGTACGTAAGAGCGTCTAGATGTATACTTAAGAAAATTAAAACTTTTTAATGAGTAAAAAGTATGCAAAATTTTCCTTAATGTAGCTGTTATAATCTCTGACCAAAATTATTTTAATGACATATGAAAATTTAGGTTTCTTTTTTAAAGACTACTTGAAAATTTAAGCTCAAATTAAGAGCAAAAACTTCTGGGAAACTTTTGATTAGTTAGAAAAGTTCATGGAAATTTTCAATGATAATTTCAAATACAATTCGTAATTCATATATTTATGTCATTTACTAGCATTTTTGAAAGTAAAGTAGAAGGAAAGAATAAGTGATATATAGCACAAATAACATCAATAGCAAACTAGATGACAGTAAACAGAAAAAAATACATATTTCCTCTCAAATGTAAGTGATTTAAAAAAGGGATAATAACTTCTAATTACTTCCTTCAGTTCAGCCAGCAATAAACAAAATTTTTACACCTCATAAACTTGAAGTAATCTCTCGTTCTCTCAGGTAGTAGTACTTTGTTAGTTCTTTTTCTGCATCAAAAAGAAACTGAAACTACTATGCTTATATATTAGCTGAAGTCAAAAATCTAATATTGTTTAAACAAAATTTCAATTCAAAAAATGCTTGCTTTTTTATACGTGATCCTTATATCTTCACGGCATTAAAGTAGGATATTTGCAACTTTCTAAAACATTGCATAATGCTGTACAAATGAATACGGAACGAGCATTTTGGTGTGGAAAGTGATGAAAATGTAATTTATACAAAAAATTGACAAGGATCAATTGTAGAGCTTCACAAACAAAAATTTGTTTTAGAAGCTGAATATTGTGCCATACAATGTATGCATTACAAGTTGAGCCATTAATATCGCCGTTACGAAAAGTTTTTATCTATCACATCAAATTTTGAATTTTGACTGATGACATAGAATTTGATATGCTACCGCCAGATTTCCATTAATCAAACAATTATGATTGCATCTGCACTCTTGAAAAGTTCACTCTTTTGATCGGAATGGATAACAAATATTCCATTGACTAAGAAACTGCATAAACACCAAAAGAAACATTTCTCTTCCATTTTCTCCATCTGTTTATTGCTTGGATTTTATTAATAGCAGTCTTGCATAAATTAGTCATAAGCAGATTTGTATCTTTGCATGTCATTGAATTATCTGAATTACGTAAGTGAAATTTGCTTTGACGTACAATTGTGAATAAAAAGCTGTATGACAAATCACAGAACGCTAGCAGAGTTTATACAAACGACAACTAAAAGTGAAAACAAAACAATAACTACTAAGAGCTACGCATCAGCAATAATTCTTTCAAATTTTATCAATTCGTCCATGTTTAATGTGTGATAACGAAATGGATATGTCGTTGAGCTATAGAAATAGTCAGTGTGATGTGATGTTCAACACTTTCAAATTATTGAATAGAATAAGTCTACGAAGTAATGTGATAATTAGTACAATGAGTTATTCCAAGCAAGCTATTAGCAAACTGAAATTCTAAAATGTCACATTTTTACTGTTTGAAATGTTGTTTTGCGAGTACATACCATGCAGTCATACCCTATTTGACAGCAATGTAATCCCACCCTCACTGCTGTAGACCAGAAAAGTAAGTGTGCACACAGAAGACGCAGCGAACGGAGAGAAGCCTCACGACTCACCAAGCCATTTACAAAGAGGAGAAAGTGATAGGTGGTCTCTACACTTTATCGACCGTTGTAATAAGCATCGTGTGTGGTCTATGAAGTAATGCAGCACGTGCAGTGAGTCGCTGGAAACTGAATGCGAATGACCACCTGCAACGTTTGCCTTCTTTCACTTTGACTTGTACAAATTTGCGGAAAGTGCAATGCACGCTTTGCGCGAGCAGTGTAATACCACCGCTATTGATGAGAAAAATAATTTACTGTAGTCTCAATTATTTACTGATAAAGATTTATGGATCACTTCATATTATTATTCATTACAATAGAGTAAGCAATTCGACCATATCATTATTTCGCTTTGTATAGTCCTTTACAGCTACTAGTTTCATGACGTCAAATCAAAAAATTTCCAAGTTCTTGCTATTAGCAAACTGAAATTCTAAAATGTCACATTTTCACTGTTTGAAATGTCACATTTTTACTGTTTGTATTCAAACGATTACCAACTTTTACTATGGTACAGATCCATCATGTGCATAAATCTATTTCAGACAGAAAGCTTGCATAACGCTTCTTATTAGGGCAGTCAGAAATGATGTCCCGTCATAGTTACATGTTATGACTCCTTCATCCTCACACTCATTACACGATGACGCAACTTCGTTGTAAGTAAATTTCGCACATGTTGAAAATAAGTCCGGAATTTTGTAACACTCAGTGCTAAAATGGAAACTGGATGAGTCATAAACTTCAAGATCCTCTGTAAGTACGTATTCTCCAACTTAACAGTCAATTCTTACTGTGACAAATGCTTTCAGACCCGGATGCGAGTGCCTATAATAACTTAAGCATAGTTAGGAAATCAGTTCAATGAACTATATTATTCTTCATTTCTGTCATCCAAACAGGAATGGGTAAACTAAGTTAGATCATTCCTACTCTTTCACCTGAATCTTTTTGTATCTATGCATAATCGTATCCTTCGCTTTCATCATTAAAATTTTCTGTCTCAATTTTGATTTTATTGATATCTTACAGTCATATTGATGCATAAAACTGAACAAGAATGACCAGCAGTGGGAAAATGGCTGTTCACAACAGAAGTCAGCTTTCAGAAGAAAATCAGCATAAAAAAATGAGAAACAACACTATAAACAGTTTAATACAAAAAAATGAAGCAGCAAGGTGACAAAGCATAATGAAGGGATTCCACAACTGAAACCATCAGAAAGAGAGCGCTCCTGTGGAGTTTAGCCCAAATTCGTCACACGACAACGTTAGCCTCATGAACTTCTATTTGATAAAGATGTAACGATGAAGGACTGAACGCAATCATTTCAATTGTTGAATCCGACGACTCTTGTGTTCAAGACACAAGAGTCATTCTTTAACCTCAGCAACCTGTAGCTTTCAAGGCTTGTCCATCTTCTTTCAAAATTGTAATCGTAGTCAGATTCTACAAAAAATGAATTAAGCACGTTGATCAAAGAAGTATTCTAAAATTGTAATACGAAATTGAAGGTAGAAGTGAAAATAAACATGTACTATGTCCGTGAATAATGAATAATTACTGTTGGTGTTCTTAATTAAAACTGAATAAAGCTGATCATGAAAAAAATACTTCAGCGACAGTAGGATGAATGCCAATTAATCGATCAAAATCGGACTTTTTAGCATTGAATTTGAATGCCAATGCAAAACCCTGCGTAATCTCACCTGCATTTGGTGCCAGTATATGAAAACCGAGAACTAAGTCCTGAAACGCAATAACATGAAATTACAATTAACACTCATAAAAAATAAAAACAATGTGCGAAACTGCTGCTTGCAGTACTTACTTGCTCATTTTTCAGGCAGACCAATTTGCAGTAACAATGTGAATTTTCTTTCCGTTCTGGAATGGTATATTCAAGCGGAATAAACACATTGTGATATACGTTGATATTATCTGCTCCATATCTGAACAAGACGGTCAAGTTTTCAATTTGGAATGAAACATTTTTTAACCCGTAATCGTACTTCTTGCTTACTTGTCAAATTAAAACTATAAAAAACCACTTCTGAATCGCATCTTCTTCCGATAATCCACAACAGCCATATTCCAACGGTGTGAATACTGTCGTCGGTATTTTATCGTACTCTGTAAGCTCGGAATTCCCAGTACAGAGACGGCGCATCAAAACTCTACCTGCCTGTATTGCAACAGGCGTAAGCTCCGGACAACCATCCAAAATATCACCAACAGCATACACATATGGACAGCTAACACTTTGTTCTCTTCTTCCTATGATTTTCCCCGACTTTGTTCGATCTACCCCAATTACTTCCAAACCAAGATCATGGGTGACGGCATTTCGTCCAATGGCCATTAGAATCTAGTAAAACATAACCAACAAATTAATTTAGGCACTAATCAGAACAATAAATTAAAACACAATAACTGGAAATTAAATTAAACATCAGCAAAACACACAGTATTGAATTCTTCTGCAACTTCTTCTTTAATACCATCTTCACGTTCTTGAATCGTATGAACCCTGATCAAACCCGGTTTATTATTTGTAGGCTCTTCCAACTTTTCGTACTTTACCGGTACGCTTCTTGAAATTCAACATTTAAGATACAAAGGGAACGTTATTTGGTGGTGTTAATTTACAAACTTTTTAGCTTTAAAAGATGGTAAGAACATTAGGATAGAGAAATGCAACATGAGCCAACAGAACTAAAAGTTATATACGTAATTTCTCACTATAACTTAGACCTACATTATTCAAATTTGAAGATAGTAAAAAATTTTTAAGAAATTGCAAAAAATATGAATAGCACAATATAAGAACTCTTCCCACCAGGCTCCATTCAATAAATCATTGTCAAGCAATGAAACCAAATCGTCACTTACTGAACAAATTTAATACCAAGCTCTAACATATGTCTGCGAATGCGTTCTGCCATATCTTGATCAAAACCACGTAACAAAATTGATCTTACCATAACCTAAAAAAATCTCTAATCCATAAAAGAACCAAAAACAAGATAATAAAAAGGTTTTTTTTAAAGAAGCAAAGCATCGCAAGAATGACTTATTGAACCTAAAAGTCAAAACATTAAACCTAAAAGTATGATATCACAAAACACCAACATTATTGAAGTATATAAATCTATTAAGAATCAATCTACAATAAAAGATACGAACAAATTATGTGCAAGTCGAGAGGCACAATGAACTAACCGTAACATCATTGCCAATACCTCGGAGAAATCCTGCACATTCTAATGAAATGTATGATGCGCCAACACAAAGAGTTTTCCCGGGATTATATGGCAATGAAAACAAATCGTCACTGTAAATTTATAAACTGTTTCAAACTCGCACACAAAGAAATTTTCTATTAATTAGAATTTAAATTATCCAGCTATTTTTTCATATCCAAAAACGAATTAAGCTTAATGATACTAAAATATGCCTGCTGATGCAGCATTCCAATGCTCCTGGAACATCCGGGAAACGAGGCCTCAAGCCAGTGGCAATTAAAAACCGATCGGCAGTTACTTTTTCAACTTTTCCTTTCTTGTTGACCAAATTTAATTGATGGGAACCAGCAAAAGAGGCATAAGAATTCAAATAAGTCACCTGGAATCAATGCAGAGGAATGAGAAAAACAGTTTGGAAAACGTCAGTACTCACAGTAAACATACTTGTTCTATTTATAATTACATCCAGAATGCGTCTTGAACTCTTGAATGTGATAAGAGTAAGAAACTTATCATCTACTTTAAAAAGTTGTTAAGCGATACATAAAAAAGGTTTGAACTAAAATACTTCCCACCGATTTCTCTCTTAACTGAACTCGGTATCCCCAGTTCAATGAAGCAATATGATCTTGTACAGCATTTTTCAGTTTGTCCCAGTTCAATACTTTTTCACCTTCTGGTATTTCCCAGCCATACTTTTTTGCATCTTCTGCAATTGTTCAATAAAAATATACTTTTCGATAGTACACAATAAGTTACAATAATAAGTTTTATAACCTATATATTCCCCCAAAAGTGCTGCTTGATGCATCAGCTTTTTTGGTATACAGCCCACATTAACACAAGTTCCACCCAAACCCCAAGTTGTGCCTATCGTCGATGGTTTGACATAATCCATACAAACCACTTTTTTGCCCAAACGAGCAGCTTCCTAGAAAAACAGACATTTCACACTTATCAAGACTGAATGTGATTTTGAAAACGGAGCTCTAAATTGAAGTTTTCCAAAAAACATGCGAACCAACTTTTGCTGCTGCTAAACCACCAGAACCACCACCAATGACTGCAAGATCATACTGATGTTCTTTCAACCATTCACTTAAGGTACCTTTTGCTTCGTGGTGATGAAGTTCTTTTAAACTTCCACAGCAGTCTCCCTTAAAAGTTAAAAAAGGAAGCACTGACTTGTGTATATAAAATTTCTTTGAGCGACTCTTACATGAGCAACATCCCTACTGACTCATTTCTTTTATTCACCACGTCAAAACAAGAAAAAGAAATTTAAGACAAACCTTGATAAAAACAAGGGGCATCGAAGGCCATTCCACTATTTCCAGTATGGTATTAGCTGTACAATCACTTACCCGCACTGCTTTCACGACCACGTCATATTTTGAGAACAATGCCAAAGCCTAAAAATAAACATAAAAAACATATATAACGGTGATTTTACTCTGCGAGACCAGTTGATTTTAAGATGCACTTAAAACTTCAAAATTTTTTAAACCAAACAAATCTTACTTCTGTGATATCGTTACTGTACTGAGTATATGCGATTAAAGCACGTTCTTCACATGCCGACTTGAATACAGCATCAGCGGTGACTCCATCGTTTAATACGCCATCGATTGGAGGCATTGGTACACTTGATAATTCTCGTTTTAACTGCTTCTCTTCTAATCGAACTCTTCCGTCTGCAATTTACTGCTTTTAAAGTACAATTTTTCCGATCATTTCAATGCTTTTGAAAATAAATATCCGAGTACACTAATTTTACCACAGTATATTATCTAACAGTTCCACAATAAAATGCTCATTTTTGAAATTTTAATGGGAAAAAAAAGGGAAAACAACCTTAAAAAAATAAATCTTCATACTTCACCATCTCCTTTTCATTTATTTGAAAAAACAAACATAAGAATTTAGGAACAATTATTGGGACACAAAACTACACATGCTTTCCTATAACAAGCCCACAATTTTCACGCCTATGATTCCAGTGGTATGACAGCATGAAGATATCTTGATCAGAACTCTTCACGCACTGCGAAGTTTGATCAGGAAGGTCCTTCTTTATTTGTGCAGCTAAAGACACTATATGTTCTCAGAAAATAATAAAAACGATAGGATGTTGGATTTACAGTGAAGATGGTTTCTGGCATTTGGGCGCAAAAGAAAAGTGCGGATGTTTCGAACGATGTTCATCAGTAGCAAACCGACAGCTAGCATCAACTCGTTGGACAAGTGCAGTGGTTTCACTGTACACCCAGGATATAAGCTGGAACTGATTCAAATGAAAGTATATACATCAAGTATCACTTCCTCTCGAATCGCATCATACCATAAATTTTTTAATCATGAATAGTTAAACGACGATAAACATTTTGAACAGTTCCACTTTTATTAAATCACTACTGCATATATTATGATGAAAATAGACTTTCCACAACTATCTGTCTGGTAGCACTGTCAAATTCCATTGCTACATCAACTAGCAAATATAAATAAATGTAATGTTTTCAAACTTTCTACTGTATATAGAATTTCTTTACAATCAGATACAAAGACTAATTCAGATAAAACTGAGAGTTCAAAATTATCTCCTACGTCACTATAATGATTCGTTATTAATTTCAAGACAAACTTAGAGGCAATACATTCAGGTCCTTTGTGCTAGATTTGACACTTATTATCTCCCACCCAATCTGACTTCAATTACTGCGCACTTACCATTCACCTTTGGTACAAATCCGTCCTGAAAATTATACTCTAACATTCACAGCTTTGTTAAACTTGAGCTTTCAGAGTGTCCAAGCTACAATATATATATAGAAAGAAATGTGGAGGTTAGTTTTCGTATTCGCATTATTGATTCTGGCGCTAAATCGCATTCCAGCACTCTGGCTGTACTTGTTCCGCGCTCAGATTTGTATTATATATACCTGCCATTGAAGTATTCAATGGCAAACAAGGTGAACAATCAAAAAATCCCCGACCGCCAACGCTAAGTAATGATAGTAACAAAAAAACAGATTTTTACAAAACATTATATTCAATATTATTCACCTTCAGAAGTCATGGTATCTTCTGCAGCATTATTTCGTCATTTCATTTATTTAATAGTTGTATACTAAAGTAAACTGATAAACCCTTATATTACATTTCATATTTATGCTGGAAATATGCATGCAACTGTAAGCTATCATTCCAAAAGCAATGTAATACAATAAGCTTCATTTCTACTTTCTGAACGCCCAGTTAATGGACTAATTAGTTAATTGATTAATTAGTAATTCTCAATTCGAAGATAATTACTATTTTACAGTCTAGAACAAACTTAATTCTTCATATACGATATCAGAGTAATTTAATGGTATAGTTTGAAATCAAACGCAACCCTTCGAAGTGTGAGTAACGTTAAAGGTAAAATTGTTTTTTTTCATTATCAAATTACATATTGACATAATAACTTTGATTGCAAATAAACATTTGCTTTCTTTGATTGAAAAAATTTGTACGAGTGCTTTTCAACGCCATTTTTTGCAGTTCTATATTAGTAATGTGAAAAAGAAATTTTTTTTTCACTGCTTTCATGGCAACTACAAGTATAGCCAATGCTTAGTTCCAACTGAATATTTTTTGATTTTCAGTAGTCGCTATGTGATTACCATTTTTCATCACGATTCTCTCATTTATGTTCTAATGTAATTGCCAAAATGAATGAAAGTAAAATTATCACCATATAAAAGAATTACTGACTAGATTTCACGTAATTCATAATTGATTGTGGAGGGGTGGAAAGTTAAAGTACAAAAGTGAATACAAGTGCTTGTATTTTGTGCACAATTTTTTACATTATCATTTTGTACCAGCCAGTTTTGGGAATTGTTATTAATTATTTAAAATGCACAAGATGTGCGGAATGCTAAACATGAACACCTCCTGTAACTGACGATAGTTTGCCGCACTCATTCACGTCTGACGTTTGAAGGCTTACATGCCGGCATTCGACTTTGCGAAGGCAAGCCAGATTACTGCAAAATCGTTTAAACGCGTCCAGCTTGTATTGTTTGGGATCTGTAATGTTCACTTTATAATTATATAGAATACTATAATTTATGTAATTGTGGCACAAATGCGAGCAGTCCCTTTATTTTACTAAAAATCTTTTTCCCAATAAAAGTCTTTTTAATTTGTTTTCAAATTGCTAACACTACATTAAATAAGTGCAATTTTCCTGCTCTCATGGATATAGAAATGTTCATATTTAATTGGGCGAAATAGTTCAATCTCCTTATTCTCCTGCTGTTATGAACACAAGTTGAAAGTACATGATTCTTGATCCCGATGTGATTTTTATTCACACTAAATTGATTCATGAAAATGATCTTAAATACTCAAATTATAACGAATTCCATGTTTAATTATAGCATAAAAAGTGAGCTGAGCTAGAAATAAATTATCTCAATATAAAAATGCCTTTATGTACGCGAGAATCGTGTAAACAGAATATAAGTCGTTTGTTTGTAAGTGCGAGTAGTAATGTTTGGTGGCTTATTCAGCAAATGAAATTTTGGCTTTCAGAAAAATACTAATTAAGTTGAAGACAGACTTTAATAATATGCAGAAAAAGGAAATCCTGCTGTATCAATTCAACTGAATGAAATTAACCAAAATGCGTCATTGAAATTCCATAAATTTCTGCAAAATATTTTCGTGGTCGCTTTAAAGTTTGCCAAGTTCTTAAACTATTAAAGCTTAAAATCTTATTTTTTTCATTAAATAAAGGATACAGTTTTCTAATAGACTAAAGTAAGACAATATGGCTCATCTAATACAGCAATAATTTTGATATCTGTTTTATAATATGAATACAGCAATGATTTTATCAAGTTCTGAATGGGTATTTGCCTTTGGATGAAAGATCAAAACTGAACGAAAAATATCAGATATCACTTAAGCAGTAATTTGAATCTTTCAGGCCAGAAAAATACCTACTAATACATACTATTCTCTCAGACAAGTGCAATCAGCAAGCCAACGAAAGACACATTCTTGACGTTAGGTTTAGGAATGATGAGCCAGAGTGATTTCTTGACTGTCAGAGTCACTTAGACAAGTAGTACCCTTGTTATATGCGTATATAAAATTAGAAGCAGCATGTGCAGCTTATTTTGTAATGGCTTCTGCCTGCAATCGGGCAAATAAATATTGCACGAAGGAAGTACTCTGAAAAGTGAAGGAAGGGAAAAGTTGGGCATTATTTTGTCAGAAAAATGTTATTACAAACTTCCGCGTCAAAAGGTAGTTCTCAAATGCTTGTGTAATGAACATGTCCTTATATTTATTTTACTCTTCCGCTGTTACATGTCGTCACGATAATCTAATCTATGACGAGCGAATACTTTATAACAATTTCATCACATACATCTTTTTACTTAAATAAGAAAATACAATGCTTTTAGTCTTGAATTTCTATTCATTAAAAAACTATGCACAGCCAAAATTTAGAAATAGCAACACATCCTAGTATTTAGCAATAAGTACACAAATCAGTTAGCTCTACCAATGAACAACACTTGTCTCTTCACAACTATTGAATAGCAACAATTAACTTTTTCAAAAAATAGGTCTAAGCATTGGGATATTTTGTTGCTATTTCATTTCTAAACATACACAAGAATTGATTTATTATGACTATGACAATAAGATAAAATACACGTGTACTATACAGACAAAAAATTTTTTTCCACAAATACAAAACTGCTATAATCATAGCAAGGCTGAACTGTATTACATTTCAAAAAAACAGTTAATGGTATATTCGTCAACCGATAACTTAAGTTCACCATAGATTTGGAAGTACAACCCTACCGGACAACTGATTTCATTACAACCGGAAATCATGCACACGGATATCACCCAAATGAATTTGGTATAATGTCAATGATATACATGCAACAAGATCACTAAAGTATAGATCTGAGCATAATAAGAAGGGAGTTTGCTCAAACGATTGGCAAATAAATATAGAGATCAAAGTGACATAAAAAATAAAATAAAACTGAACAATAGCAACAAAGTACTCCATATATGATCCACAAAAAAAAGGAAACCGGAGTGAATCGATGTACAATGCACATTACTTTGCATAAAATTTAACAATTTTTATGCCAAACATATCACAAGAAAAAGTAGCACAAATCGATTGTACAAATGAAAAATAATTCTTTATTCACAAGAACTTCGAATGATTCAGCTCTTTATGTGAGTTAAAACTGAAACATGCGACATCAAAGGAAACAACTGAAGTATATAATGATATCAAACCCAACAAATCAATACCAGTAAAACGGACTACGGAGACTAAACGGCAGAGCTGTATGAGCATCGAAAAACAAAATATGTTATAGCGTACAGAAGCGCTTTTTCTACAAATGAAATATAAAAATAGCTAAACATTACCGAAAAAATAATTACCTTAACCTTCCTTGACCATTCTTCGTATAAGAGAACTCCATACCTTGCGCTGGTTTCCGACTGCTTCAGGACTCAAATTTGTAAAATCGACATCGGGGTCATTCTCGTTTAAAGCCTATAAAGTAGTCAAATTGATGTCAGTTTAAGTTAAGATATCAGTAACCACTCTATGATGTAAGAAATACTGCTTAAATACAATTAAAATATAGCTACAGTGATCCAATTAGTTAATTGATAAACTCAGAAATGATTATTCCAGTATAATCACTTGATATGCTCATTAAGCAATCGTATAAAGAGATTCTGAAGTATTTGAATAAAGCAACACGATGAACTAAATTAAAAAAAAAAACAAAACAACAACGATAAATTTATGAATGATCGATAAACCTGAATATAGATACGAGTGAACTCAATAACAAACATTCCACAATCCATGGTGTTATACTGCTGCGCGGCGGGTTCAGTCCGTGTATCTTCAATTGGTATTTTGAAGAACTTGCCCAAAGTTTCAATAATCTGAAATAAATAAATATGGAGTACGAACTAATCGATTAAAGCTACTGAACAAACTAATCAGCTTCAAACCTCATTGAAAAAACATAAAAATAAAGCTTCAAAGACCTACGATATTTGCGAAAAATAAACGAAAAACTAATTGATTCCATACATACACGTTACGGTGAGATTAGATTCTTGAAGTCTCGTAGCTAGATAACGTATTTTCGATCCCAATATTTTAATGTTGAAAAACATTTACTTGATCAGCAGCTTTCTGATTTCCTGAATTTTCATATTGCGCACTGTCAATAATCAAAAAATGTGGGCGAACAATTCGGCGACAAATGAGTAGTGACCAGTGGCTACCACCACATATAGACGGATCATCATGATCGCTCACGACAACAATAACATGCTCCTTATTTTTAAGTTGAATATCACGAAAAAGCTGAACCCGTACTTCTTCACTGCTGAATTTTATAATTTGAGAAATGGCAGCATTAATGAAGTGAACCTGGAAATGGAATCAAATTATTTTAAAATCCATCAATATTATTAGCGCTTTGCTTAATGTATTTACATCCATTTTTAATTTTAGTCAATCTGGATAGAATGTGATAAAGTAACAACAAACAAATGCAGATCCATTACATTACATACCTTATCTTGCTTTTCCACAGTTAACATCCTTTTGTGCATATACTCAAAGGCAAAAGATATAACTGAATCAGAAAGCCACCGTCCATTCTCTAGAGTTTTCAAATCCGTATCATATATAGCTGTATCCCCAAAATTAAGCAAGCATCTTTCTGGCATCGATGCACTGTAAGCTCATTAATGAATTATTTTCGTCCTATACTCATAATAGGCAATCACATCCTTGTGCTGTTTTATTCTTCTAAAATGTGTTTGGCTGCTCAACTTATAATAACGGAGATTCTTGAATATTTTAACCTCCAATATAAATTAAATATCGTTGACCAAATAAGTCTAATGAATATGACAGAGAATTTTTGCGATCAAATTCATCACATACACATTACATTAAGTCTATGTTCAATTATTATGCAATGACAGTAAATAATTTTGAGGTAGCTTCACAAGGACCGTAATGATGAAATCATTAATGCAAGCGATACATTCTTGTAAACAAATATATCTGCAATTTTTAGAGACAAATTTTGAATTTTTAGAGTTATACGTTAGCATGCTAACTTACACAAGTACATCTCAAACACACTGCAGAAATAGACGTGATGGCGACGCTAGCTGTGTCACGATAACCAAAGAGTAATGATTTATTCACAAATTATGATGAATAATAGGATCTAAATTCATTAACAAAGGCACAGATACCAATACATAAAAGATGTTGTAGAGTAATTAAATGATATCCATCATTAAAAGAAAAGATGTCTTACATCTACTATTCTGTCTCCTTGTGATCGCTCTCGATATTTGAAACTTATTCCAATGCTACCTCATTAAAAACTCAGGATGTGTAAGGAACATAAAAAATTTGCAGGCAGCAGGTATATAGAAAAATTAATACAAAGTCCTAATATATAATGGTCGGTAAAAATTGTTAAAAGCAAAGACTTTACTCTGACCCAACCTCATCGGTGGTAAATATACTGTATAATATGTATGTAACTAATGCTTAAAATTGTAAACTGCACTTAATTCCCTCTCAATGATGAAAATAACGCTGAATCGAACATAAAATGTGACTTGTTGCTACTAATCCAGATTCTCCGGAAAAAGGCAAGATTGAAAAGAAATAATATGACAATGATATGACTCAAATTAAATCGCTGCCATATATTTACTTTATCACTTCACTTTAAAAAAGAATGTTCCTATTTTTCTTCAGATTAAACAAAAATCGAAGAAAATCAATGGAAAATTTACATTTTTCAACTGTAAAACACAGGTGACAGTTTTAATGCATAAAATGCAAAATGTTCAAAATTAAAAGTTTCACAATGATCAGAAGACTTTGTACACATATGCAGTGATAAAGTAGAAAACAAATGTTACGAGAAATAACTTACGGCCAGGTATTTTGAAATACATCCAGCTTTTCATAAACCTTATCAATGACCCACATCATATCATCGTCGCCGTATTTTGTCAGTGGAAAATCATACGGCACCATTTTTAACGATTCAGGATCCGTAAACAATAAATTGAATTCATATGACCGAATGGCCAACTGTGTTCCTTTTAACTGATATTCACCCCAAGCAGCCTTAAATACATTGTCAATAATGAAAATTCGAAATATAATCAACTTTTTAAACTTTAATGGTAAGCATACTTAGTACTATGAAACAAGAATTATGAATTCACTTTTTGATTGAGAATTTCAATCTCTCAAGTTTTCATTTTCTTATTCTAAATAATAACAAATTACCAAATATAAATTTCAGACATTGACCAAACTTGGTACTTGCTTATGGGTAAAAAACAGAATAACAATTTTTTAGTAGCTTCCACAGGAAAAAAATACCTAATCAGTCTAATACTTTAAGTGAATACTTCGATTTGAGAAAACACGACAACTATTTTTTCAAATTCTTTTAATATGAAAAATTTTCTGGGTAGAAAAAACTGGTACCTTTGAAAGGTTGGCACTGCCAACTAATAACCATGACGGTGTTTGAGCACCGGGCTGATATCCCGAATACGTTTTTACATGTGGCATGGCATGAGTACGTCCCAAACAATCACTGCGCCACTTATGAACAAATTGATATAAATATGGTTGTTTCTGCAATGTAGTATAGCTATATGGAAATGATCTACCGGCTGCATATCCTTCATTAGAGTTACGTATATCTTCAACGCATGGGTAGATAATCTTCAGTTTGCGAATATCTGAAAAATGATCAGTGCTAGGAATATACAGTTAGTTTCTAATGTTTTTGAAGAAAGCAAAATAATTAAAATAAAATTCGAAGAAACCTGTTTCGGTCCCTCCTGCAAGACTTTTTAGAAATTGTCCTTGAAGCCAGTTACTTGGATCTGAACCAAGATTACCAATCGAGCTGAACTGAGCATGGTAAGTGAAATCTTTCCGATCCACATTTTCAAACATCTCATTTATTAAATTGCGAAGTCTTGGATGGCCATATTCTGTTAACTTGTCACCTGAAATCGAGTTATTTCATCGAAATAACACAATCGATAAAGGAGTTTTCCATTTTTCTCAAAAACTTAGTTACACTTGTCCATTTCGTGTAGAGTATCATTTGTTAGACTATTGTACTAATTTAAATCATAGACTCTTGGTAGAAAAAACCGTACAGACGACTTACTTTCCACAAAGAGTGATATTCGAAATTTATACTGTTGCCAAAAGAGGTTCCAAATTTTTAATTTGCGCTAGTACAAACCAATTCGAAGAAACAAAATGCAGACAGTATCAAACAAAAGCAAATATATGACCTTTATGAACTCCTGGTACAGAGTAAACAACTCGGGGACTGACGTGAGAAAGGTCAATATTAGCAATGCGATAGTACCAATATTCTATAAGATCCCAATGTTGGCTTGTCTTATACTCACTCAAATATTTGAGCAAATTAATTTGAAAATCTGACTGAGTAACCACCTCATTACCAGATATCTGAAAGCACGTTAAGGTACATTTAAAATAAAAGCTTATCATTTGCTGAACAAGTCTTCTTGAGAGTCAAACAAATCGGTTATATGAGCTTGCATATTTTGACTGAAAGAAAATAATTATGCCAAATTCTAATTCATTGCGCTAAAACTATTTGCTACAGTATCATCAGAATATTACGTCAAAGTGAATTCAAGATCATATTACTCACTTGTTTTCCACTGCAATGATAAAAACACTGGGTCTTCATATCCCAATCTTGAGCGAGAAGGTTTGCAGAACTAACAATAATGTGAACTCGTCCACTACTACTCTCAAAAATGTAAATCTTAGAGTGATGCGTCCCATACGGCACTGGTAAACGAGCTTGTCCAATAGATATGTTTTCGAGAGCAAATTTTTTTACTATATTATTCAGCATTGTGAAGTCAGTTCCTAATCGTTCTCCCACAATCAATGTAATAGGTGTTCTGCGATTGTTTGGTGGATACTGCCTGTAAATGAAACACAGTAAAACAAAGAGACGGATAAACCTTTTTAAAGTACAGTGATTGGAACTTTGAATGGCTCATTAATTTGTTTGTCAACATGTGTTTCTTGCAAGAATTATACAGTTTGCAAATGAATTTAACCTAATATCGAGTCCATAAAGAAATGAAGCTATAATAGATGCACCTCAGGTTTTTCACAGAAAATCATGTAATTGAGGATTGAGAGATATCATTTCAAGTAATATACTGATGTGTAAAGAGAAATGAATCTATAGTATATGAAGATGAGACTACACACGATACGAATAATGAACATATATTTCATCTAGTGACCTCGTAAATACTAAACATGATGTCCGACACAGTGTAGATTTATGTTTTTAAGAACGAAAATCCGTACCAAGTTATAAACTTAAATTTTACTGATCATTTCCTAAAAGATGCACTAGAATGTCTAAATACTTACTGAAGCAACCATTTCATGTCTACCATAAACACAAAACATGCAGATATCTCAGGCTTGATTTTCGCCAGAATCTCTGCAAATGAGAAAGTATCTTCATTGTAGTGTTCAGGGATAGACGCTACCTGAAAGCAATTTTGAGCAAATATCATATACACAACAAGCGAGATACAAAATAGATACGATTCTTTAGCTCAGTATCTTCTCTTCAAAACTCATGTTGAAGGAATAGGCGCATAATAAAATCAAATGAATGAAAAAAAGTTAAAATTCGATGCAAAACATTAAAGTAATTTTTGTAATAAAAACTTGAAAAATTTCAATTATAAAAGTATTTAAAAAAGATAGTAATTTCATAGGAAAAGGTTTCTGTCATGAATATTTGAGACAAATTTAATGCAATTAGCAGTATGACTAACTTTATTGAAATAAAGTCGATCCGTCAACTCATTCCTTTTGGCACGCTTTTCTGTAGTACAGGCGCTATCAGCATTTGTTACAGAAAAAATACCTCGGCGTTTCATCATGTTCTTAATTGTTACACATCAACAAAATAAACAAACAACATAGCCACGTATCAAAATCAAAATCCTAATGCCACCATTTTAAAGCATCATTCTTCAAGTTTATTCAAAGGCGCAGAAACTAAACGCAGCTTTCTCTCAAGTACAAAATAAACATTTCTAGGGCTATTTCTTAACTACTAAGTACCTAACACTTACTAATGCATTGTTTCTTGCAAGTCCTTCTATTGTAATCAAATTTCCTTAACTATTGGATGAATAAATTACGCTTATCTAGTTCCCTTGCACTAGCTATTTCCAAAAAGATACATCAGATATGCTACAATCCTTAACAACAATGCATCCAAAATTGTCTTGAATTTCAATGTGTACGTTGACTTTTTCATTCACTTTGTAGCTAGCCAAACGTGTTCGAATATATCACACGTAATAAGTACGACAGGTATAGAATTACTCACATAATAAGGAACCGGAAACAGTGTTGTCCGCAACAGGTAGATATACAACCCTCAAAATTAAATTCCGACTGATGTACGACAGGTATAGAATTACTGACGCAGTAAGGAACTGGAAACAGTGCTGTCCGCAACAGATAGATATATGGCTTTCAAAATTAGACTCCGACGATCAAGTATGCTACCTCACGAATACAGTACAGCCTACAAATGATATTTCATGTACGAAAATTTACTAAAGAAGGAAAATTATAGAGAGAAATTTGCATATGCAAATTTCTTCAGAGTTCTACTAACGCGTCATTCTCAAACTGTTAACATGGGAAACACGGTATTGCAGCAACTTTCTACCGCTTTATTTTTTAAATTATAATAAAAACAGTACAATGTTTAAATCATGACATTAGAAGCGCCTAAAATATATTGTAAGCAACAAAATAGCTTCATAGTACACAATATAAGCTTTCTATCAGAATACTATCGAAAATTTAACCACTGAGAAATACTTTTTATTCTCCTTTCAACAGAAGATAACCATCCAGCATTTTTACTATATTGTAAGTATTAATAGCGCAAGTTTTTTTACTATAAAAGGTCCAGTATGAATGTGATTGCGAGCGTGTCAAGAACACAAATTATAACAATCTCTATCAAAATATGGAAATTTATAAAATTTAAGAGCACTATTCCTCTACAATTTAATGGTCACTATTTCGGTCGTACAATCTCTACAAAGTTATATCTAGGTATCAACAAATGCGTAGATAAAAAGTTTAGTCTGAGGTACTAATCTATAGAAAGAGTAACGATATAATTTTAGATATATTACGATATACATTACACACTAGAAGCTTCCTATAAAGCAATATACTGCAGAGTATCGGAATGTAGAACCATACTGTACATTCTTAAGTGCAATTAAACCAAGCAAGTTGGGAAACGTCGACATTTACTGATGATTCATTGACTTCCTTGTATATATGGTTGCCAGCTTCTGACAAGACACTCATGACACACTCCGAACGGCCCAAACGAAAAGATGTTCATGACTTTCTGTAGATTAATTCGTTCTTCTTCGTTGCACAGTACACCATCACTCATTCTACCTTAGCAGATTTTAATTCGTCTGACGGTAAATACATAGAAACTCCTAGACTACATATTTCATGCTCACGTGGTTCTAGTTATAACCACCTATCAAACAAGATAAATGCAAACACGCATTCTCCTGTCATATCTATCGAGAAACAGTTCTCATAATTCAAATTGATTCGCGACTAATTTGAGATGCCAGCTACAGAGATATGAGGTTTGTAGCCAATCTAAACCACTAAGTGAACCAGACACATTAAAAGTCACAGAAACAATATATTCAAAAGTTTGATTGTTTACTACAGAGAGCATATTATCTCTAGCGCTGATTTCAAAATCAATAAACGATCACCAAGAATATTCACAACAAATTTAAATTACAAACAACCAAATTGACAATAAGCAAGTCAGTAATGCAATAAGGATGCCAGAACTGACGTTAATACACCTTCCTACCAGGCCAATCTTAATCCTATGAAAGACAAACACCCCATGCGTACGTGATTAACTTTTACGACACAGGACAAAAAAAATATTAGAAGTCTCAGGTGTAAGAGCTGCAATACTTCCAGATCGATGCATATTTTTTTCAACACACTTTCTTTCTATTGCAAGCGATTCCAAATTAACATCACGTTGCATAAAATAACGTGTAATCATCGATGATTCAGTTCAATAACCTAGACATTCTTTTTTCCGACCATTCGAATATATATATAATATAATAAAATATAATATAATCTCATATAAACAAGCTAGAACAAAAAATTAATACCCGAGTAAAATTGTGATTGAGCAAATTATGACATAAAATTCTTATGTGCAGACAAACGCTTGCAAAACAACTTTCAGGAATCTAAAATTTTTACAACATAACATACAAGACGATGAGAAACAAATAGCACAACTATAATCAGGATATTCAATCACCGAGCTTGAGTTTTTTGCATTTAATGGTATCAAAAATAACGTTGCTCTCACTGCTAGTAGCAACATCCGAAAGTTCTCCCATCGCACAGTTACTCCTCTGAAGGCTTTCAAATGATTGTGTCACTGAATGCGCACTATACCGATCATACTGAAAACAGAAAATGCAACGTTTTTATTATTAAAAAAAAAGGAAAATATCTAAAGTACTGAGAAAAATGAAACGAAAGAGGTAAAGAACTGTAATGAATCTCGAATGAATTCAAAATATTTTCAAAAAGTGTAGGAGAAATATTTTCCAAATCAATTAAAACACTTTCTAACAATGGAAGAATCGACATGGAATTTAAGACCACAAATTAGGTTTCACTAACAAAAATCAGTAGGATACCTGTGACAAATCCCACAATTCTTTGATATTTAATTTGCCTTCAATTTCTAATAGCGATGAGGTATTTTCATGAAAACTTGAAAGCTCAACATTCATGTTTGGTTTCTTTGCAGAACATGTATCAACACTCATAGTATCATCAATCGTAAAAAGTTGCACAAGCTGCTCCACAGCCATTGTTTGCATTGAACGATTGTCTGCACCAACCAATGCCTATAAATAAAAATGATATTCATGTATCTTCAAAAATTTTTGACACATACACAGAAAATTATGTGCAGTGAAACTTCATTAGTTCTAAATAACCACATGGAACTCACATTAGCTGTATCTATTTTGAATTTCTGTAACCGCATTATTTTCTGCTCAATAGAACCTTCAGTAATCAATCGATAAACATTAACGACACACTTTTGCCCAATGCGATGAGCTCGATCCATAGCTTGCAAATCTTTGACTGGATTCCAATCATGTTCCATGAAAATAACGATATCTGCTCCAATCAAATTTAATCCTTCGCCACCTATCTGAAAAGTTATAACATGAAATTAAGAGAGCCATATTGTAAATGAAACCTTCTTAAATCAGCATGGCACCAGTCACTGACTACAGCTTTAAATTTAGTATGACAGCCGACATAGCATCTATACTTCTTATGGCGCAAATGTAGAGTGAGTGAAACATGTAGTGAGGTCAAACATTAATAAAATTTCTTATCCTCAAGTTCAAGTGGCTAATATTTGCATATACTTCGACGGATCATAGTGATCTCTTCCAACATAAAAAGCTTACATTTGTTGTAAGTATTAAAACATGTATACTAGGATTGACGTTGAATTTCTCAGCCACAGAATGCCTTTCGCTGACAGGCACTGAACCATCCAGCACTGCATATCTTTAAAAAAAAAAGAAAACAAATGTGCATAGTTACCTGCCTTGACTTTTGAAGCTAACAGAATATGAAATTTTTTTCATAACAATCTCGAAAATTAGAACTTTCTTTCTCATTTTTCAATTGCAATTATTTTATATGGAAACCCAAACATAGTAATCATAGAAATCAAAAAAACCTTATATCAGAACCGAGATCTCCTGAGTCGAATAAAGTCACGAGGAGCTGCACTGCAGATAACCGCTGACAAAATATTAGAGCACGATGACTATTATTATCACATATTTCGTTCTCTGCAATGCAAGCATTTAAATAAAAATTAGTAAAGAAATTATTAAATAGTAGGTGATGAATGCTTGCAGCCTTTCTGATTTAAAGAGAAAATTTCATATTTTTAAATGGTATTTTACTTATTTGCATTAAGATATGAAAAAACTCGGTACCACACAAAAAAAAAACAGTTATATTAGCGCATATAAATATATAATTCAATTACAGGGTGCTCAAGGCGAATAAAATATAAACAGCAACAAACATAATACAACAATAGCCGATGAGAATTAACCAGCTTATGTGAAACAATATCGAAATTACCTTCAACAGCAAAATCATCAGATAGTACATATCTCTCGCGTGAACCAATACCACACTGCTTAAGAAGTTCACGTAATGCAATCAGTTTACCAGATTCCTCGACGCAACCTCGTAATTGCAATATATTCGAACTGGAAACTGGTGAATAAAAACCTCATTATATCAAAGGATCAATATTCCAACAAGTTTAATTTATTTTCACAAATGGAATTCAAAAACTTACTGTTTTAAAATTTTATCGCTAACAAGAGCTGGATGTACTGTACACTTTCGAAGTTCGGCAATGGTTTCCAAAGCACATAAGCTCGCACCGTTAGACGTCGGGGCTTGACTTAGCTTATACATTTCCACAATGTGACTGTATACAGAACGCTGCACAGGAGTCATGCTACACATGTAATCTTGGACAATTTTTTCAGGGAGATCTTGCAGTACATCTGTTTTCAAGCGCCTCATTACAAATGGAAGAATAGACTTGTGCAAACGATCCAACGCACTCTGACCTTCCTTAAATCAACTCATGCATAATAACAAATACTCTCAATTTCTACTCTTTTCACATGACACTTTCTCGAATGTAAGACTCCCAAAACCAAATTCTTCACAAAATTTAAAATGAACATAGGAGCAAGAACTCGAGTAAAAATCATGACACATAAACAAACAATGTATTACCTTTATCTCTAGAGATGAGGCATTTACATTTCTTGATCCATTGATCGCATTTAAGAAAGTTGACTTAAAATGCTTCATCGTTCCCAAATATCCAGGCATAAGAAACTAATATATGAAAAATATGCAATAAGGTCATCAAAATTTTTAACTTTTAACAATCTAACTGTAAAACTATGATTATTTTAGTTTGTATTCGTTATTTATTCTACACATTAACAATGCAAATAAAAATGATCTCATTCTCAATAATGTATCAATAAAAAGAAAGAGAAAAATCAACAAAATAATGGAAAAAATTATAAGAATTTGTTTTCAAAATTAAAAAAATCAAATTATATTTTGAAGACATTTATAATGATACTTGAAAAAGAGCCCACAAATCAGCTGGTGTATTTTGCACAGGAGTTCCAGAAAGTATAAGCCTATTTTGTGCTTTGATACTAATTAATGTCTTGAATAGTTGAGTAGTTGGATTCCTTATCACATGGCCTTCATCCAAAACCAAATAAAACCACTCTACTTCCCTAAAATACAACCAGAATGACTCTAAACATGTAAACACAATTATCTGCCTTTACCAAGATTTATTTCAAACTCACTGGAAATAAGAGCAAAATCGTACGGTATTGTACGATGCAACCGTGACTATTTGGTGCTTGTTCATCAATAATTTATTTTTTTCTCGACATCCCTCTTCAATCTTATGAAATGGTAATAAGGAAGGAAAAAATTTCAACCACTCTGCACACCAATGATTGACCAAAGTTGGAGGGCACACAATCAAGACCTGTGAAAATTTTTGAAGTAATAAAAACTATTCAAATCCAATTTATACTTCGATCACTTAAAAACATTATGCTGAAATTAGGTACGCTGATTTTTTAAATATAAGCTAGGTGTTGAATCATGAAAGTTATAAAGAATGATTCCATTTAATTTATGCAAGAAACGAAACCTGCAAACCTTTGCTGACGGTTTATGATGAATTTTCATCGCTAATAAACAAAGGGTCTGAATAGTTTTACCGAGTCCCATGTCATCAGCAAGAATGCCACTCAGCCCATATTCTTCTAAAAATGACATCCATCGAATACCTTCCTGCAAGTGACACAAAATTGGCACTCTAACGATTGAAACACTAGAGACATTTCTCGCAAAAATGTGGAAAAAATGTTATTATCCTAGATAAAAATTAACAATAACCTGCTGATAATGTCGCAAACACGTTGTAGATTTCAATCCTTTGATATCACTTAATTTTAATTCAGGTAAGCGAGTTGGGTCGCCTAACAAAAACTCAATAGAATTTTCTCCGAAGATCTCATCCGCCATGTCATTTTCCAGCAAGACACTTCCTTCGACCTTTCGATTCTTAAATGCGCTCATAGTACGACTATTTGAGATAAAGTTAAACTTCAGGAGAAATTTTTACTGCTATTCAAAAAAGAGAATGAAACATACTGCTTTTATAGCCATAAGTGGTACGAAATTGCGGAATGATTCTGCTCCAACTTCACGTACAGCCTGACAACTGTCTGTCATAAGACGTAGAGATATCGGAGCTAGCAATCTAAGACCACCTAGCATCTGAAACTACCCAATTGAAACAGGTCTCAATCTTGATCACAGCAGTAATATAAAAATATTACTTCTACGTGAAATGCACTCAATAAGAAGAGCAGCTCAGCAAGCCCACATCGAACATGAGATTGTGTTTCTCCACTGCGTAATTCTTCCTGCAGTGGCGCTATAACAGTTTTCAATACTGGTCGTAAAAACCCATTAATGCGAGAAATACCACATAAACAATGTGCTGCACAATACCGAATAACTGTATTCTCTGCTGCAAGAATGGTCGAAAAAGTGCATATATGATTAAAATACGATAACAGTTTTTGACATGTTTTTTATTTTTCCAGATGTTTAGAACTAGTCGAAACTTTTCTACAGTAAAATCAGAAACAATGGAATAAAATGCAACCTACAACTCAAATGAGTCTTGAGTTCTAACACGATATCAGAGAGGTGAGGAGGGACAATCCCCTGTTTCCTGCTCTCATCAACGTAAGTCGAGTATGCCATCATAAACATAGCTGTTTCCTGAATAAAAAAATCAACGTAGATAAGTAGTATAGATCTACTTGCTTATCCTGGAACAATAAATTTACTATGGCATTTGATCATACAATTGCAGAGCTAATACAATTCTAGTGGAGTTGTTTTTCTAGATAACAGAATTAATAGAGAGATTTTATAGAGAGATTTTATGAGGCGTTTTTAGCATTATTTTTATCTCGTGCGACTACTGTATACAGAGATTCACTAGTAATCGATTCCATATATAATGGTATGATATTACAATAGAAGATATCTAAAAGTCTTTGATATGTATACAATTAATTATTGATAAAAAAGACATACTTTTGAAGAATCCCGATTTCTAAAATCAAGAAGACTTGACATATCAGTAGCAGCAACAGGAGTTACTAACATACGAAGGACGTACTCTGCATTTTGAGAACGTGCAGAAAAAGGACCCCTTGAGCACTGCGAAATAATATGTTCTTGACTGAAAAATTAATCACATTACACCTAGCAAAATACCTTTTAAATGAATGTTTAAGCACGTTCGAATACAGGACTCTCGAGAAAAAAAAAACCTTTTGCATTCTTCAGGAAAACGATTACTGCATGATACCAAACTAACAACAATTTGTTTGATCATTTTCGCATGCGGATTTGGCTTTTTTTCTGCAAAATGACAAGCATATCCAGCCAAAGATCTACAGAAATTTACAATTAACTAAAAAGAACTCCAATTAATCACCAGATGCGATTCGAAATAGAATTGGTATTGAATTTAGAGCATATTGCGCGAAAGTCTTATTTTCTTCAAAGCGAATTAGCTCCATAAGTGGCTTCACGAAAGGATTTAGTGATGGTGAATTTAATAGCGATTGTGGATAAATAAGCAGCAAGGATGAAACAGTTACTGCATTAACACGTCTAAAACACATCCGAAAAAAATTCAGTGGCTTTAAATTCCAATAAATTTTGGATTCTGTGGAATCGATCGGAAATGCTATCTTCTTTTTTATGTAAGTAAATCCACTTCAAAGCTGTGATAAACAGGAACAAATCTAATAAATAAAAAAACGAAGCTCACGAAATGTTAGATGTCATTACTGCTTTAGCTGTTGCAACAGCACATTTGAAACTTTCATATCTTAGACGTAATGTTTCTCGATCACTTTCTTGTCTCAAGTAATTGAAGCAGATCTCGTAAAGAGCACTAAATCAATTTCTTAATATGAATATTTCAATGTGATAAAAGCATTAATGGCATCATCTCAACAAAAACTCGACTTCTACATACAAGAAACAGCGAAAAGAAAAATCTTAGCACATTTTATAGCAGTGATCTATATGATGAAAAACCCACAGAAACACTTTAAAAAAAAAACCTAGCATAGTTATCTATTGTGTCTCCAGTGTCTTCCACGTTGAAAATTTCCGCTGCACTTACTCCTTTATTTCGACAATACGATGCAAAGTCTTTATAAGCATTTTCTAGATAAATAAAGAACATTTTCTCATCATCATAAGCAGCATTTGGTGACATGATCAAACTATGAAGAATTTCAGTCACATAATTCGGAATATCAATGGTAGTACCCGATCTCCTATAACTGTCTTCCTTGCACAAATAATTATTTTAACCAAAAGATTTTTTTTTAGTACCTATGACTGATGTGACTTTTACTTCGATTTATAAAAAATTCTTTAAGTCCAACGAACCCCCTTACCAAAGCACTATTTGGAAGCTACTTTTGATGAACTGTCTGAATAATAAACTGTGCATTTTACGCGCTATAATTTTTCTCCACACGACTTTAGAAAACTGATGAAAGATTTACGAATTAAGAAATAAGAATTAAATGAGATCAGTTAGGCTACTGAATAAATTTACCAGATATACGTGAACCATGCATGACTTAACAGCACACCGCCAAGTCTATGCATTATTATTAAGGATTTCATCGAAGGAGTGATCAGGAGCTGAACTGCTTCACTCAAAAACTGGTCGCCAATCTAAAAATAAACAATCTAAGGATATGAGATGGGAACAGAACACAGTTTACACTTTGAAAAAGATAAGCAATAAATCACAAGATCAATATCATTAATGGAAAATTATTCATATTCAATTAAATAGAATAAAAGTCCATCAAAAGACAAAAACAAATCAGAAAAGCTTTAAGAAGTCCGACACTTCTTCAGAATACTAGATGATAAGATTCAAAAAAAACTAGGAAAAGATGTCGTAAAAATGTCAAGCAATTTACTCTGAGAAAAAAACAACAAAATTGTGAACAAACACAATAACTAAAACTAGCTATAATGATAGAAACCTTCAGAGGAAAATTATAGATCGTTGAAATAAGTGGAGCTAAAAAACGAGCCACATGCAGTTTACGAGTTAATACAACATCAATTCGAACCATATCGCTTAATGATCGAATTTCATCTCCACACAGAAATTCTGTAGAATTTCGATTAGCATCCGAACATACATTATATTTTTCGAGATCTGCAAAAAGAGATTAAGACACAATAAATGACTTATTGAAATTTAGAGACAAAAAAAGCATACCAATTTCTGCATTTCGTGCATCAATAAGAAGACAAGCCATCCACCGGCCAATCGTTTCAACTAAAGCTTGTGGTAGATGCTTTGTAAATATAAAATATTCGACAATACGATGAACGCATAATATACAAGCTTCAATGAGATCCTCTGTATCCTGCGGTGCAGCGAAAAGAATAATACGGAATAAAGACGATAATATTGACATTGTACATGTTTCGAATTCTTTACATTCTTTTTCATCCTAAATAAAAACTTTAATTCCAACAATATATTCAAAAATACCATAAGGTGACTATTAATGATTCATAAGAAATCAACCCAATAACTTTCGTCCATTCTGTATTCATCAATGTAGGTTTTGGCATGCAGCGGTCGTAATAAGTCTAGACTTAGCTAATCAAAGTTCGAAAAGAACCTTTTTTGTTTATATAAGTAGAAAAGCCGTGCCTTGATATAAAAAATTAATGAGATCACAACATAAAGTTCAATAAAATACTATAACCACATATAAAAAACGTAAGAAATAGAGAATAAAATTTTACCTTCAAAGGAGATGGTCTCGAGAACGACTCGAGAAAAACATTGACTACTTTAAAGGATAAAGTCATATGTATAGGATCCAGTAGATGGGAAAGATTATTTGATACGCAGTGGGGGAGTTTACGACGTGAATCGCCTTGCAACCAAATAAATAATAGTGATAAAAGATCGACTGCAACTGTGTCGATGTCCAGCAGCTATAAAATAATACTAGAATAAATTTACAGATTAGGTGTTTTTCATGAAATAAAAACTTTTATGAAATGATAAAAACAAATGATGTGATTAAACTTTAGACTTTTTTTTAAATAACGCATCTTACTTGAAGTGAACTAGGTTGTTTCTTTGTACTTAATTTTTCATTTAAAATTGTTTATTTGAGTTTATTACCTGATTTTTCGAAATGTTGCAAGCGGAATCAATGAAACGATAAATGACATGTTCCATATGAGAAATTATTTTTGAAACTTCTGGTTTCAAATCACTTTTACAAAAAAGAGTAGTAACTGCAGAAAGAGCCGAAGCACAAACCTGAAATTTAAGCCACCTAAATATTCAAATGATGACTCTTAAATTACGACTAGGAAAATTAATTTTTTGTTGTAAAAATAAGCACAGCTTTAGTTAATGAGCAACTTTTGCAAGCTAATCAATCATCCTATTTGAGTATCAATGTTTAAGTATATTATCATATGAAGATTTCGTGTTCATTTGTTGACTTCAGTGAAAAACTACAAGTGCAAAGACGCTTTATTTTTAAGAAAAGTAAACTAACCTCATCGTGAGAGTCTTCAAATGAGCAAAGCAATAATTTGAAGACTTCGTTGAACTTCACATCATAGTACGGTCCAGCAAGATGATATTTTATGATTAATAATGCTGCTTGACGTTGAAACCATGACTAAAAATAAGTGATGAAAAATTAACAGCACCCAGTCCAGTTCCAGTAATTACTTCTACAAGTGGAAACCGAGTTATGACGAAATTTGCCCCCATTTAGTTTGCTTAATTTTTAATGCGAAGATCCCAAAGGTGGGACTGTTTCGATCCAACACTTGAATATAGTTTCCAAAATTTTTCCAACGGCATGTACAAACTTACATGTTCATAAGTGTCTAAATCTTCAACAGCATGACATTTGGCATGAATATCATCTGTCATCTCATGCAAAATATATACATGACTAAAGATGACATTGAAGAACTCTGGTGAGGGGAAAATCATCGTTAAGCGAGCAATACATTCAGCAACTGCTTCTCTAACTGGTCCAACTGCTGTCCTAAAATGAAATCTTCACAATTACCCTCTCGGAAAAAATTTCATCATAAACCATAAAAATATCCACATTTCAAACTTTAATATCAAACAAAACCTACGGAATTCGGTACAGACCCCAACCAAAGTTACCAGTAACATAAACTAACCTTCCAGAAGAAAAGTCTATAAACTTGTCGAGCGCAATAACTTGGAAAAGTCTAGTAGCTAAAACATCCACCAGCGAGGAAGAAAGCCTTAAACTTTAATTTCAGTTTATGCATTAAAAACTCTGACATCATATATATAAACTTTTCAGATATTTAAAATTTTCCGAAGTACTTTCTAACATACCGCGAAGGTACAACAGCCAAAACACATGCTATCGCAAGAGCAGCACCATGTCGAACTTCCCACTTAACATCAATCACATCATGCATTAAATGAATACAGAGTGACTGCACTATTCTATCCGACTCTTCCAAATTATCTTCGAACCCAATGTTATCAATATTTGCAATATCTAGCTGAAATAATTTGCTAGCCACAAAATAATAATTTAATCATGTTCAGCATAAACCCAACAGATGGATATCGGTCGACATCACCAAGATTTATCCGCAACACTAACAAATTTTTAGAATATAGATTGGTCATTCATTACATCTTATTTGCTCGATGAAAAAAATGATCATCTCCTTAATCTAAGCACACTATGATTCGCAAGCGCATCAAAATTTGCCAAAGAATGTCGCATTTATAAAATGCCTGGCGAAGGTTTACGTAAACTACTAAGTGATAAAATTTGACACAGCATTATAATTCTAAAAATTTTCTGAACTTGGTTAAGTAATATGGATTGTCAAAAGCATCATGTCAGTGATTATATTTCCAGCACAGCCTAAATTAAAAAGGTTGAGCTGAACTGCAAATGTGTATGTAAGAAAAGAAAATAAAGAAATGAGACTTTTTTTTTGGGTGTAGCTTCTCTACTGCCAAATATATCAAAATCATTCTCGGAAAGGAATGTTCCAGATGAAATGCCAGCAACTGCTTGAAAATCAAGCTGTTCATCCACTAATTTTTGCTGTTCGCCGAAGCTACAGTCACCCATTCGTGTCACCAATTCTGCTTCACAGCTATAACATAAAATTTTATAAAACTGAAGCACTACTATGATCTTAAATGTTAGAGTAGAACTTGAGTCTCATAATAAATAATATAAAGAGACCGAAAGTTAAAAATCCACCTAAGTAAGGGATGATATGTACGGATGACATCTCTCAAATCAAGTCGAGAAATACTTTGTAATCGTGGTAAAACAACTTCATCTTTATGTGGGATAACTTTAAGAATAGCGCTGAGTGCCTCAACGGCTGCTTCCCGTGTATCCCATGCATTTGATTGGAAATTACTTCTTAAAAAAGCTTTTACCACTTTTGAGCGAAAAAAAAAACAGTTGAAAAACAACATAAATTTTTTAAGGTCTACCCATAAAGATGTTACATCTTACACTCGTATAAACAGCAGACAAAACAGTCGACTAAATAACAGGTATGAGTAATTGATATTTGAAAATAAAGTGAGGAAAAAACCTTAAGATATCAGATACGTGAGGATTTGATAAGGGGAAGCGACCAAGAGCTTGTGCTGCTTCATGACGTATTAACGCATTACGTGATGACAACAATGAACCAAGTCGTTCAATACTATTTATCTGTTTTTCCATTTTCCTAGTGGTGCTTCGCACCATTCAAAGATATTGATCTGTAATAAGGTTGTTGTAATCTAATTAACATTAGTAATTACTAAAAACGACGAATACGAAATCAGTTCTTCGTGCACATCATTCGTTTACTGTAATTAGCTGGAAAATAATGCAGTTTGAGTACCAAAGAAAAGAACCGATATGAGTGTTCTGATAGATTTGCTATGAAGAAGTCGAAATAGTCGAACTCTCAACTCATTCATTAATTATATCAATCAACAAACAAAGTGTGCAGCAACGACACAATTCAGTCAAAGTTAATAATTGAAAAGATAGAAGTAGTGAAGTTCAAATGCATAATATACTAATCTAGAAATTGTAGAGCTAAAAGTGAATCTATAATTGTCGCAAGAAACTGATGCCATCCCATCATTACTGTTCACATCAAAATTGTAAATTGTAAATTTTGATATAGTTAAAAATAATTTTAGCCATCGGCTATCCGCGAAATACCTATTAAAGTTTGATTATTTTAAAAGTTTGTATAATTTGTATGGAGTTAATGTATCGTATGTGATGCAGAGTGTTAATGTGTAGCTTAGCTAAATGATCGGAGATAGAGAAGTTAATGAATTTACTCGTAAGTGTGTGAACATGAAATCAGATTGACAGCCTGTATGTGCAAGCAGATAAATATAGCTCAATACAACTAATGCATTATTAATGATGGCTGCGAGATATTTGGCAAAATTATGAGAAGATTCCTTGGCAGGTAAGTCGCGAATGGCATTTAGAATTGAATAGTTTTAAGTAGCAATAGATTCAAGGTTAAATAGTGTATTATTCAAGAAGAAATGGGAGTACTAATTTGCAAATAAATGAGAATGAGTTATTTTTGATGTTTGCTTGATCAGCGCAAGTTGCATAATGCGATTCGCAATTGCTTGTCATTTTTCATTAACTGTGCAAAATATTATTCTTTCTTCACAGGTATGATATATTATGGAATTTATCAATCAAATGATATTTGTCATTGGTATTATCGATCATCAGACATTTTATATTATCAATAAAAGATAATTGATATCTATATGATATGAAAATATATTAAAATAGAATATATGATGCGTTTTATTATGGTTGATGATGATTTCTGTGTCCATTACACGTTATATGATTATTTCTAATAGTGTTGCTAAAAGTATTACTAAATGATAAACTTGCTAATTTGTCAAGTAATTTATTTTCAATGTTTCTACTTATCATTTTAGACTTTTATTAGTATTTTCATTGCTTTGTTATGTTTATCAAATTCGATTTCTAATACTTTACCTATTATTTTGCAGTTATTAGCATTTTCATTGCTTTGTTGATCTCTTACAATCTGATCATTTGTTTGTTTCGATTGTTAATTTATATTTATATTTAAAAACTGAAGCATTCGTTCATAATACTCATCTAAACATTGACTGCCTGTATGAATGTATAAGCAAGAAACAATGTCTCATTCATTTTCATACATAAGTCATTTATATGCCAAATATATAAATTCTAAATGTGTAATAGATTAACTGCAAGTATCAGCATTATCATTAAAAGTAATAAAGCATTCTGAACATGTATAACTAGTTGCATCAGTCATTGCTCTCCTTGTGTAAACATAACTATGAGTCATGTTCATAACATACACATCACTAATGTATTTATTCTGTAAAGCTGAAATTGACAGCAAAATTTTCACAAGTATATTCTATGTCAATAAAAACTTATTACTCATTTGATCCTCCATCACTGCTATTTATTTTTGAATATTTTGAATGACGCAACTGAATGCTCTCTTACTGTTTGCATCGTTTTAGACTTTATTATAAATTCATTGCAGTAGTTCTAAATTAAAAGAAAAAACGAAATATAAAAAGATGATCTTCACTAAGCAACAGTTGCTTCATCAAGTATGGCTAATATAATTAGTTGACTTTCTTAAATTTAAGTTTTTAATCAATGTGGAATTCTTGAAATATTGCTTACTTCTTCTATGAAATAATTTTCATCAAAGAATTGGTAGATTAATTTTGATCAACATAACAGTGCATTGAAGTACATTTAATCCATATACTAAAGTAAACAATACTTACGGATTGTAAAAGTTTGAAACGTCAAAAAATGACAAACTTGAAAATATGTTTTGTTACCTGCAATAAATGATAACAAGTGAAAATTGAAACCTGATAAAATAAGATCTCTAGTTATTTATATAACTTCAAATCTACTCATTGTTGTACATATCCTTTACACTATTAGTGATTGATAAACGTAGTAATACGTTTACAATTAATTATAGTTATTTGTTGTATTGACAAGTATTTTCTCAAAAACCAGTTCTAACAGATGATGCTCAGTAGATAAAATTTCATTATTATAAAATGTTCACACGAATTTGATACTCACTCTCTCGGTGCAATGAAAGTCATTCAATTTTGCATTTTACACTACCATAATAATCTACTGAATAGTATACTGCTGCTCAATATTTTATCCAAATATTGGTGAGATTGAGACCTGGTGAATAAATAAAAATGATATTTAGATTAAGTGAATTATAATAGTCTATTATGGAAGTCTGCAGTGTTTAACATGCAGACGACTTTTTAATAACACATTAGGTATAACATTTTCATGTTCGCGAAAATTTATTTTTCATTTAGTTTTCTCAAATCATTTCATATTTTTCCCAGCAGTCAATCTCAGCTTAATCTTAATTTTTTTACTACCAGCTTTGTAAACCAGAAAAGTAGATTTGTAAAAGCTTTTATTGGCTCATACTATCTTCATTGCAAAGTTCATACTAAAAGATTGATTCACATGTATGTGAATTGAATCAGTGCACTTGACGTACTTGAGTACGATGTGTGCAAACCCGAAAGCAACACAAAGTTATGTTTTTTTTGCAAGACAGGTTTTTTCATTCAAATGATGACAAGGAAGTATCGTTCTAAGATCGTATCTGTTTGTATATATGACTCGACATCAGATAATCGAAAGAAGAGTAACAGAGCTTAAAATTTAAATAACATAACATTTGGTAGGAGCAAAAGAAGTTTTGTTGAACCAGAAAATGAGATAAAAAGTTAAAAAGCGTAAGAAAAAGGAGTAAAAGCAGTACAGAAATGAAGTATATAAAATATGAACGATGAAGAAGTTTCAGATTTTCAAACTTTGACGTTAACAAAATGTTCACTTCAATTCTTCGTCCCTTATCACTGTTGATCACTTCTGAATTCATTTAGAGTTAAAAATGAAAGAGTGAGTCAAAAGACTATAGACTGAAAAGGCAACAGAAAAATTAAAACTGCAAGATATAATACTTCAGATGCAATACTTGCTTAATTTGACAAAATTATCACAAAACACTGGTGGTATTTGCCTTTTGTGATAAAATGCAAATTCATTTCTGACAAATCAACTAATGCACTGATTGTTTTGTTTTAAAATTTCATCTTTCATTCCTTACTGTTTCTTTTCTAGCATATATTTTATAAATTTGAGTTTTGAGAGAAGTAAAAAGTGAAAAAATTATAGAAAATATATATCGGGTTAAAGTTTAGTAATTCTTTTCAAGTGATCATTGACTGAACATCACTTAAGTGATCGCAAGTCAAACTGCAAAATCTGTTTGCTGCCATCAAAATGAAGTTTGTCTTGTAGAAGTAATGATAATACAGCGACGTTATTTTAATTTTTTTTCATTTCATTGCTTACTTTTGCAGTGAAGTACTTTTATGCTATTCACAGTGTGCACCAACGGAATCACTAAGCACTAAAACAAACTTACCCTTCACTAATTATTCTTCTAACAACACTTCTATTAATTATACAAAGTAAACTACTGTAATCGTAAAAATTATGACTTTATAAACTCCAATTATTTTGTCAGATGAAGTCAATTCTCATCCTAATTCATGCTTCAATTACAATTTTCATTACTTATTACTTTTACGCGTTTTAATCTTTCATTCATAGTTTACTCTAGTCCCCATTTTAATGCATCAAAAATATCAGCGGATTAGATAGAAATTATTGTATTGAAAGCATAATTATAAGGCATCTTATCTCCTTCAGTTGTTACTATTACATTTCAACAACAAAGGCAGATAGATAAAAAATGACAAATTTATTTCCAATAAATTTTCATAAAATTCTTGTACGTTTGTTAGAAAATTTTCAGCTGCAATTATTGAACAATGAAAATAATCATTTATGAATCGAATGATTAATTTAAAAATTTTTACACGTGAATAATTTCATTGTTTCAAAAAAATTACACTTAATTTATTTGTATTGTCTGCTTGTTATATTAGTGTCAATAGCAAAATGTATGTTATTGATGCATGCAAATACAATACGATTAAGCATTCAAATATATTCATTCATATGTGATAGATACATAAAATTTTATCGATGGATATTGGTATTGGTTAGATGTTTATCTGATCGTTGATGTAAGAAGCAATTTTGATTATTCTTCCAGCAGTCAAACAACTTATGTAACAATTTATTTTACGTGTCAACAACAAGAACATGTCAATTGTCTTATTTGATTATTTTAACGTATACTTCATATAAAAATTTTTACTTTCTTACTTCACACAAACAGCTCATTCGGTATTTATTCTTAAATGCAATTTTTCACTTATGCACTCTTAGCATCAAAACTCGGTTGTTGTTTATCGTAAATAGCTAGACAGATAAACGCTAATTTTTGACAGATGTTTTTGAGTCATAGAAAAGTTAGATTAATTCCATCTCCATTGTGCTTGTAGTGTTGATTTATTCGCTTAAAATTTCTGAAGTCTTCGAAGGTCTTGTCAATACGCATAAATAAGGCCTCAGTATTTTTTGGCATTAAGAAGCATTAACTATCGGTTGATTGCAGTTTTTATTTCATTTATATGTGAAAATAATAATCAGTCTCATAATCAGAATGATTAATTCTTGATGTATCTTTAAACAAGATTTAATGTTGTTGACATTGCTAATAGCAGTTGGCTGAACATAGGCAGTACTATTTTCATGCCATGCCATAATATTTTTTCAAAAATTTACTGTAACTTTATTTTTTTATCTCCAATTTTCAAATATTATATGCATATAAATATATATTTCAAATTAATTGCATATATAATTGCAAAAATATTGTGTTTTGTTATCCTTTTAATTCCATAATTACATTTTCAGTTCATTTTTTACCACAATATTTACTGCTTTTCAAAAAATTCAAACTTCTTCAAAAGATACCTACACTTCAAAAATACTTCTCATTATGATTATTTTAAAAATTCGGAAGCTATAATTTACATACTACATTCGGGGTTTATTTATGTGTATGCACTGCATGCAGAATTCATTAATTCCATATGGTGTGTGTGTGATTATTAAACTTTACAAAATTAGATTATTCTACAAAGTGATCTCTAATTTTGTCATCAAGCGGGAATAACAATTCATTGTCTACTGGACTTGGTTGATTATTTTACTGTTGTAGACGCAGGTAAGTGTTAAAAACAAACTGAATCATTAGCACTCAACTGAAGTACTTAGTAATGCTGTTGGTGTCTTAATTCAGTACTGTGTTGCATTGATACAGATGCAAACCACAATTTACTTAGTCGGAATGTCATAATTTATTTCTTCATCCTTCCCCACAACTTTTTAGTATGTTCTGCACTCTTTTTACGATACGATACGATACGATTTGCAATTTGTATTACTTTCCAATGCAACATTTTGTAAAAAACCATTTAAAGCGTCTCATTGAGTATCAAATTTTAAATTCAGGTTTTATTATTCCATTTCAAAATCAACTTTTGAACCACTTTTTTTCTTCCGAAACTGGTTATACAGTATAAAGAGCGATAGTATCTTCACTGTCTCCATTCCATTCTTATTACATTTTACTATACATTTTTTCGAAAATACTTTGGTATCATCGCTATCATATGCTTCTGTTCTAAAATTACTCTTATTCTCAAAATTTTGAGGAATAATAAGGAAAATTGTGCTTCAAAGTTTCGCATTATTTGTAGTTGAAAATTTAAATTTGAAAGTGTGTCTAGTTTATAATAAAATATTACTGAATGATTTTACAGACTGTTACTCATTTCAGTAACATGATTATTTTCAAAAATTTCAATGATTATTTATAGGGTTATCCAAAATTGACAGATAACTTTGTTAACTCGAGATAATTTGCATGATCAGTTCTGTATGGATCAGCTGATATCTTCCGTTATCGAGAAATAATGACCTTATTTTTCCTCTTCATCTTATATCTTCTTTTTCCACCACAGTCTCATTCTCCTAGATCGCTGATCATGGTAACCTGGTTTACAAAAATATCATACTGGTACTTCATATATTTTGTTGCGGATAAATAGATATATGATCTTTTATATGAAATATTATTGCACATACTTTTTCTTCTTACTTGTTTTACAGACTGCTCAAAAAAATGATTTTGGTATGGTTAATACTGCTTTTGCAATCAAAAAGGATCACTGGTTACCTGTCAAATATGAACTACGTACCTATTGGTACCAATCCAACACTGTACAAAGCCGGTCATGACCCAGTAATGCAACTTGATGCTTCTACTTTTGTTGATACTATATTAAAGCAAGATCATGCATTTGTTGTTCAGTTTTATGCTGATTGGTAAGCAATTTTTGTTTAATTTGCTTTTTGAGATAATAAAACTTCAAAGGCTAAAAAAAATAATTCTCGAAAATTATGACACTGAAGTAACCTTAAAGGTGTGGACATTGTCGCAATTTTGCTCCACATTTTCTACAGTTTGCATTGTCGATACGTCCATGGAAAAGTGTAGTTACAGTAGGGGCAATTAACTGTGGTGATAGTGTGAATCAGAAAATATGCAGTAATGAAGGAATCATCGGATATCCTATGATTCTGGTTGGCATTTCTCTATCTGGCAAGTTTCATGCAGAGTAGTACAATTGAATTAATCTTTGAAAAACGATTCATTTAGATATTATTTATTTATCTGAAAGAAGTTTTAATGTTAAAGAATGCATAATCCAACTTCAGTATATATTAATGAACTTTAATTGTTAAAATCTTAAAAAGCATACTTACTTCAGTATTATCCTCGATTTGCTCGCCATCGTGTCGATGCAGTTAAACTAGAACCTAAGGAATCTTTGTCACAGATGAGAAGTCAGCTTACTCAAGTCATACGAAATGAATATAATCAGTTTCATTATGCTGATTGGCCGGACTTCACTTTTCTCACAGCTGACAGGTTTTGTTTTGTAAATGATTAATTAACCAATGAATACTTTAAATAATTTTTGTTGCTAAATGTTAATCAGTTATTTCTTGAACAAAAAATAAAACTAAAAATTTGCTTGCAATTATGAATACATAACTAAACTGAGTAGTCAATGTCTAGCTCTATAGTCATGCAGAAATTACTTCTAATGATGAGCACAACAGATGCTCAATGCTGTTTATAAAATAATGCGAATAGCTTTACAGAAATATTTCACTTTTGAAATTTGTAAATTATTTGCTTCGAAAAATAATAAAAAAGGTTTAATTTTAAGTGCAATCGCACTGAAAAGTTTATGGAATGCAAGAAATGACTCACGTCAATTTTTCATTTTACTATTCGAGCAATTTGACGGTATTGGAATAGAATTTCTACTCGATATGCTTCCAACATCTGCAAAAATGCTTACAAGAAGAGTAATCATACCTTCTCCTGCTATTCAAACATTTTCAATCACGCATTTGCCGTATATTCTAATTTTTAAACGCAGCGAAACTGATCCAATCTATCAAAGTCCGTATGTTTTTTTTTCATCTTTCATCGTGATAATTTAATTCGCCAACCTCTTTTACTCTGCTGTATCTTTGCAAAATTGTCAGAAAATAAGTGATATATATTAATGAAATTATTAAGTATCACCAATTAATTTTCTCTTTCAAAAAAATCTTGTTTATCTTAAATGATGATGGAAGAGATATTTATGCAAAATAATCATTCTGCAATACTTTTTTATTATCACATCAAGTGATTTTTTGCAAATAATGAAAAGTAGTCAAGTGTTTAGAGGGAATTCTTTTGTAATGCAGTAATAAGTTTCTAATGGCAAATTTTTTCACTATCATAATAAAGTTTGCACCCAACAAATCATTTTAGATGACTATTATGGAGAATTTCCGTTGATTAGAGGTGTGAGTTGCTGTTTAAAGATTAGTTTAGATATGGATCACATTCACTGCAAGAAATCATGCAGATAACTCATACCGTACCTCAGGGACTGTATAACAATGTTACTTTTGTATCTACTTCTCCAGTTCCGTCTATCAAACAACAGTCTATTGTGCAGTGCGATCTTTATCAAGACAGGTCATTTTTGCAATTACCTTTTTTGGTTTACAGCAAAAATAGAACAATTGCTTGCTTGTTAGTTATTAAATATTTATCGAGAATACATTACATTTATGCGCTCACTTAATTAACAATTAACACTTTTTGTTGGCAAAACTACTTTTTCTTTTCAAACAGTGCTGCTTCAAGTTGTCAATTTATTATATGTAATAATGTGAACAAATCAGTGAAGCTAATCTATTTATAAAATAACAATCGTAAAAGCTGTTGAAAAATCACTTCATGTAATGATTACTGATTATATTTTGCACGCATTACTTGTTTTATTAAATTTTAGATGTCGCGCATTATATTATGTGTCTGAGACAGATATGCTAAAAGCAATGCGCATGGCGCTACTTGACGAAGTTGTGAAAACGGATGAGGATATTGCAGGAGAAAAATTTACTGCACTGTTTGACTTCATTAGCATACTTGTTGAAGTAATTGTGTTTTGCATTTGTTTTGCTAAATATTCTTGCAAAAAAGAGGGCAAAAAAGTGTAAATGATAATTAATGATTGCTTTAATACGCATATTTCCAGTATTTTCCTATCTATACGTCGGTTACAACGCCAGCAAAAAGAAGTGATCAGAAAATGTCTACAGTGAGTTGAAGTATTTGTTTACTGCAAGCAGTGCTAGCATGACAAATTAAAACTTTCGTTCTATTTTTTCTTTATATTATCACCTAAATATCGTCATGTCTTTTTTACAATTCAAACTTTTTTAGTGAAATGTTTTAAAGTGAAAGCAACTATTTTTGAACCACTTCGCTATCTTTACAGCGTTTTAAATTTTCCATCAATTTTGTAAATTTGATTTTATTTTTTAAGCTTGCTATCACGTATTAATATTATTTGCAAGATAAAAGACATCAGTTATAATCAAGTAAATCATTAATAATCACATTTCTTCTTCAATATCACGAGAAAAAAATATTTTTTTGTAGGTGTTGAAAAATAGCATGCGCGCTAAATCTGTGTTTTCTCATCTTCAACGTCTTCTGGGATCATATGCAAGCATCAAAGTGCTACCAGCTGCAGTTTGGCAAAACCAATTCCGAAATATTGAAGTTTGTTAGACTGTTTTCACTCAAACATTCTGCAAAAGAACTATGTAGTTTGCAATCATATAAGTAATATAATAGAAAAATTTTTTAGCGAGTTTATGGCTATCCATTTCCAACCAATGCTTCGTGGGAGCACTGTAAAGGTACATCACCTGGATATCGTGGTTATACTTGTGGTCTGTGGACAACATTTCATGCATTAACTGTAAGTGCTTTTATGCAAGGATCAAATTCACCAATTCGTACGTTATCAAGTATTCGTGAATGGGTTACTAATTTTTTTGGTTGCTTGGATTGTCGACGACACTTTTTACACATGACGACTATTCTTTATCCACTTACTGAACAAAGAGTACGTATCACACACCTATCTTACTACTTAAATAGTTTTAATTTGCTTTTTCTTAGTTTAAAAAGTATGAAATCAATTTAAATAAATATATTTAGAAAGAATAAAGTGTACAGCAGGCATCACGCATCATATGTTTGAAGTGTTTTAAGCATTTCCTACAGTTATCTTTTGTTTAATTTATTAATTAAAATTTTAAATTGCAACTTTATAGGTTAAAACAACCTATGATGCAATGTTTTATTTATGGCGTGCGCATAATATTGTTAATGCTCGACTTCATGATGATAAAGCCACAGAAGATCCACAATTCCAGAAAAGACAATTTCCACCAGTTTTCCTCTGCTCAATATGTCATTCGAATGGAATGTTCCGTCGAAAAAATGTCCGTGACTTTCTCGTCAACTATTATTCAACAATTAAACCATACAGCGCCGTGATTCCTTAATCAGATAGATATCCTTTTTTCGTGGATAATAATACTTGTAACATTTATCGTATCTAGATGAAAATCACCGCACACATTAATTGCTAATCTGTTGTTTTTCAAAGCAGTTTTTGAATATATTCTCAGGATTTCAGCTTGATGCATGGATTTTGGAATGAAAGTGTCCTAATAAGTTTCTATTCATTCTTATAAATGACTTATTTTTCTCAAAACACTCAATAACTTCAAGTTTACATTAACATACATATATTTACTCAATGCTATGAGCTGTTGGCAGTTGTTGAATTCATCTCACCACAGCAAGTTGTTCGTTCTCATAGATTACTGAGGAGTAAAGATTAGAAGAAAAAAATGCTCATTTGTGCCAATCACCGCTCTATAAAATATTTTAAAGTTTAAATGATTTGAGATTAGTTATGCACTTAGAGCACATGTAGTGAAACAGTTCAGCACAAATAACAACTGTAGAACTATATGGTCTTGGTGATTTTGCTTCTAGTTTGTAATTACCAAATGCTTGTTATATTGTTTCTGTTTGTTAATGGAAACTACGACCTTATTCTTGCTGCATCTTTAGACATTATTGGTAAATTTGAGCCAAATCAAGTTTGAACTTTCCTGAAGAAATACTGCACATTAAGCAATAACATCATTTGGAAAGATTGGTTATGAATAATTTTGAGTGAAAACTCAATTTATTCCTTTACTTTTGTAGTAAACAAGCTTGTGATGCATGCATATTGTGTACATACAAAATTATTGGCTTTGAACTATTTTTTTTTAAATCTCAATTCTGCACTATGTGTTTTACTTTTTCAAAATGATAAAAACACATGTTTCAACAGCTCAGAATGATAAAAACACATGGTTACAGAATTCAATACGACTAACAACTAAGTACAACACACAAATTATTCAGCAGCTGAGAAATGCAAGGAGAAAGCGAAAAATAATTTAGTATGATAACAATTTAATGAATTAGAAGTATTTATCGTAAAATTTGTGATTTAAATATAAGCAAGTCATAATTCACTCATTTAGTCCGTAGTTATTATTTAGTTGTGGATTATTTTAGTAATATTCATAGCCACAAGAATATCATATCTAATCCTTTTGAGATAACTAATTGCAAATAACATTTTTAGACTCAAATTTTATCACTTTTTTCAGACGAAATTTTTTATAAAGAGAAGTAATTAAGTTGTGCTTGCTTATTACATTCATTCTGCTGGTGAACTTGTACAAAAAGCTAAAGAAGAAAGCAATGTATTGAGATTATTTGGCAGTTATCATTATGGATATGAGACCAATGGGGTTAAGAGATGGCACTACTCAGGAGAAATTGATACAAACATAAATGACTTGAGATATATCTGAAGTAAATGGTATACAAAATGTATGCACTGAGAGAAGAGCGGGATTCCTTCGGTGCTCGTTACTAATCTACAATGAATAAATGTATACTTGTAGAAGACTGAGCAGTCATAGTCTACAAAATAATCAATCTGCGGTGATGATTTAATTGCAATATTATTCTTAAAGATGCACTGTTCTCTTCTAACACTGCGTATTTCCCTTTATCTGCCATAACTTGAGAGCCTAAATTTCAATAATTTTAGGAAAATGTCATCAAGAATGTATATATTAAGTCAGTTCCTGTTTGGAATTGTTGCAATCACAGCTGTATCAAACGTGACACAACAAAACGTGAACGAAGTGGTAAACGAAAAAGTTATATCAGTCTTCAAAATGTCTGCATTCCAGAATGAAAATTTTACACGAAATATGATTGAGTACATGCGACATCCAAAATTAGTGGCTGATATGATTTCTAAAATATCAAGAGAAGAATTCAACAAATTTATGGTTTGTTTTAATATTAATTTACATTCTGAACATGTATGCAAAGAGAGAAATGGAATGGCTATCTTATGTTCAATTTAAATCGAGCATCACTTTATTCCTGCAGACGATAAATCAGCGCATGAAGTATTCATGCAAAGAAAGAAAATACTCTAATCATTAATTTATGAATGCTATAAAAAAGATAACTTTTACTTAAATGTATTGCAATGACGGAAATTGACTTACGTTTATTTGTATTACTGGACTATTATATGCATGTCTTCATCACTCACGTGACAGTGCAATAAGATTGTGTCATTTTTGAAAATTTGTACACATTCAATATTTCAAAAATGAATATTTCTCTTTACGAATTACTTCTTTTCAGATGAATCGCAACAGTTACGTTTATCTGCCTGCAATAGTCGGAACTGTGCTGTCGTTATTAGCTCTGCTATTAATAGCTTTGCTGAGATTTGTGTTTTGCAACTGTGATTCGCTAAAATCTCATCTCACTATGAAATGTTTCAAATCCCCGGATGATAAAAAAATTCTTATAAAAGCTAAAGGGTTGAATCAAAGTACTGATACAGTCGTGCTTTGAGCAACATTATGCTTCAAAAACGTTAGTAGTGAATGATTGCTATTGGCAACAAATAATCTGCTGTTTGCAAGTTATGCACATTGACATGATACATTGGTAGTGTGTATTCGTTGAATTTTTAATAAGTTGATTAATTATTCTTTTCATTTATTGTTGATTAAATTTTTAATTGACCTCATTGTTGGATTAAGTAAACTTTTAACTCATATTCACTGATTATGCGTACTACACATTATTACTCAACAATGCAGCTGACGAAAAACAATTGCGCACGTTATGAAAATATGAATCTCAAAGTAGTTATTTTAAAATCGTTTCAAAATTTAATGAAAGTTGTGTGTGTACTTGGTGAGATTTTACTAATTTTTTACTTGATAAGCTTTTGTTGCGGTAATTATTCATAGCATACGTAGTGAATGAGGTGAATGACTCGCAGTATGAGTGTACGGAGTTAAATAGCAAGTTTTTTCCTCGCAACTAGAAACAATCTGTGCCATACCGAGGCTTGCAAAGACTTTTTTACTTAAAACTGATGTAAGTGTCAAAGGTGAATGGCTATTAGATTTAGAGTATTCATTTATACTCACATTTTGAATGAATAAAAAGGGTTTTCCTTGCTTTCATTTGTCAGGAGTAAATTACAATGACCATTTGGTTCAAATATGGAAAACTTGGTTACGGTAGTTTAATTGTACAGCAATGAATATTAATCAGATACGAATAATCACTGCGTATTGCAGCAATGTTAGATGGGTATTGTAGTAGCATGGATCATTATAAGGAAGCATTCATAGAGGCTTTATCTAAAGAACCAACTGCTCGATCAGATGAGGTTTTTCTTTTCATTTTTTTAAACGTTAAATAAATTCAAATTCCATTTTGAACTGAAAACTATAAATATGATTTATCATATTATAAATATTATTTATCAAATTATAAATATGATAAATCATATTTATAATTTCCAGTTCAAAATGGAATTTTATTGTCAAATATTTGAGAATTAATTAATGGTAACTTGCTGATCTGACTTATTCTGTTATTTAAGATCGAGACTCATGCTTAACTTGTGCACATTACTGCTAACAAGTCTTTATGGATTTTATATGCTGGTGTTTTATCACAATATCACATTTGTCTCGTAAAAATATTTTTCAGGACCTCAAAATTATATATTCAAATTTGCGACGATTAGATGTATTCCACAATTTGAATGATGCACCACTTCGTGCAATTTGCTGCACTGCGCGTTTTGAGAAGCATCCTACGAATTTTGTCATTTTCCGGTTAGTCATTATTCTTAAAATCACTAAATATTTGGGATGTTCAAGCTGTTTTTTTTCGATTTTTTGTAGTATGTCAAGTAATATAAGTAAAATCTTATTTAAGGCAAGGTCAAATCGCTACATGCTGGTACATTTTACTTTCTGGATGTGTTTTCATGGATGAACAGATCTATTTGCCCTGTGGATGGTACAAAACTTTTATTTAATGCCGTATAATTTGAAAGAAGTGTACTGTTCTTTAAGAAATACTACATTGCTTCTTCTGAATTTTTTTACAACAGTTAGCTTGTTTTTATCAAACATTTTAAAAAATTTGTGGAAAAAAGTCAAAGAACGAAAATCATGAAAACAACAAGAATATTTTGCAGTACTTACAATTTTGTACACAAACAGGTTTTTATCCTTCAGACCTAACGTTCATGAATAGTTAACTGTCATTTTTGTTAACAAATTTTTTTTGTAGCTTTGGTAAACGAAATGGGCTCGATTATCGGCGTAAAAAAGATTGCATTGTGTTGCAGCCAGCGGAAATGATTGTAGTTAGCGTTCATAATTTTCTATACTTACGAGCTCTATCGTTTTTATTACTTCGAGTATCAAATTTATTCCCAAGTTACATTTGGGTCTGTAATTTTTAAAATTCTGTCTTACATGTAAAGGAAACTAAGAAAACTACTGAAGTTATGTTTCAGATTGATTATCCAGATGTGAAGCAAATAAAGATTAATAAAGGACATTCTTATTCGACAGGAAAGCCATCACCGTCACGGAATTCATTGTGTGGTGTAAACGCGTCTTATTTATTTTCACCCTCTAGCACTGTTACTGTTTCACTTCGTTCAGATATTGATGCAGTAACTACTAACACATCATTTCCACCATCTTATCGTTTTTATAAAAGTGGAAAAACATCATTTACAAATTCAAATGAGTCACCATTATCAAGGTCGGATAAGAAGAAACACAGGTCTTTCCATCGAGAAAGAGATGATTTATACACTTGTTGTCCTTCTAGTTCCACTTCGACATACAGAAGCCAGGTGAGCATGTTGTCGACTTTTTCACATACTAAGCCTTATTAATATCACAAGCGTTTAATTTTTGAGGTATATTTAAATGGTTTGAGTGCAGAAACGGGAACTCACCTTAAATTAAAGCACCGATCTCGTAAGTCGAATTCCATTTCGGGTTCAAGCAATAGTGATAGATGTACACGTCTTTCAAGCACTGCTTCATCAAGCGCGAATGAAGATGACTTACACGGTAATCAGCTATCATTATTGAATTTCCTTATAATGAGGCTGTATCGTCAGTATTTTTTATCTTGGTTTTTTTTTTCATGTGTTCCTTTTTAGGCCTTCCAGAAGCTGCCGTTGATAGCGAAGACGATGAGTCTTGTCCTTCTTATGATAGTTTTCATGAATTAAAAGATAGTGTTCGCGAATGTCTCGAAAAAGAGCCATCAGAAAGGACGGCAGACGATATATGCACTTTACTCGTAACTTTTCCAAGTTTTTGCTAGTTCATTTAGATAAGTACGGAATGAATTAGATCGTTTTATTTTACATTTTAATCAATTAAACAAGTGAATGGAAATGAGTAGATTAATTTGCATTTAGTCTTAGCTATCTATGAATGTATCTGGATTTACAGATACGTTACTTTTATTTGTTTATTTTCGCATCACATTTTTAGTTGACTCATTGTTAGTGCTATTCAATAAGCATTAGTTTGTGAACGTATCTGGGTTTACAGAAGTGTAAAATAATCTTTGAGATATGTTGAGTATTTCAGTACTACTTGTGTGGAAGTCTAAGCATTAGATGTATTGATTCCAGGACTTTATGCAGCATATGTCTGCTTTGGCCACACTTCCGCTCAGTATAAAGCGCCAGCTTTGCTTAAAAATGGTGTTCGCTGTTGTGTCAGAAGCTAATACAGTGGTTATGCAGCACAACGAACGAATTGATGCATGGTCAGTCATTGTAAATGGGCAGGTAGAAGTTGTTCTACCAGATGGTGAAAGACTTGAATACAAGCTTGGGGATTCGTTTGGTGTGCAGCCTGATCTTGTTCCTCAGGTAAATTGTTCACTTGTCGTAGTTTTCGCTTTCATGTACAAGTGAAAATTCATATCTGCGAATTCAGTTTCTCTCATCAACTATTTCTGATCTTTTTTGTAATTTATTTTGGTTGTGATATTTTTTTGATTCATTTCGGTCATTATGGCACGTAAACAAGTATTAAAATTTTCATTTATTACTTTTAAAGCTGTTTTCTTTCAAATGTTTTTCAGTATCATGTGGGTGTTATGAGGACATTAGTTGATGATTGTGAGTTCGTACTAATTGAACATCGTGATTACTGTAGTATAATGAGCACTATTAGTGATCATATTGAGCAGCATTCTGATGGAATCACTGGTGAAATCGTCTCAGAAATCGAACGAAGGTAATGTAAGATAGAATTGTCCTCTTCATTTTTTTATTATCTTCATTTCATTGCATTCAAATTAAGACCTGTGCTGTACTTTCGTTCTCGTCCTGGTTCATTTATTTATACATTATATCAGATAATTTAATGCTGAATTATTCAGATCAGTAGGTAATCAAATGGGGCAGGTACTAATCAAAGCCAATCGAGATAAGCTGGTTGAACACTTAGTTGAGGAAAGAGACACGGCAGTAGATGCGCATTATGTAGAAGATTTCCTGCTTATGTATCGTGTATTCATTAGCGATCCAACAATGATTTTTGAAAAATTAATGCACTGGTTCGCAGAATCAAGCTTGAGAGACAAGGTTCTATGTTTTATATTGTTTTGATGCTAAAAGAATCATACCTTTAGTGAAGGTATGCATCTCATTAGAAGATTACATTGTAAAAAAATCATAATACTGTCGTTAAAAGTTTAATCTGTCCTCTCTAGCATCCCACATACTAAATTTTTTCAAAAATTAATAAATCATATTTGCATATGTGCATTACATGTCAGTGATGCGCTTCCATTGCTAGAATATTTCATTTGTCTTTAAATTTCTGTCATGAAGTTGACCCCTAAGTTATCAATAAGTGTTTTTGATATTGAGTGGAATTTAGTCTGTAACTTAAAAGGTGTTGCAGCAGTTCTGAGTTAGTTTATCTCTCAGTCTATTTATAAACTAATTTTGACGTAGTTTGGTTTTTCATACATATAAGAAATGCGAAACCTTTTCTCTTGTAGTGGTTACCATAACATTTAGTCTGATCGGTATCAATATTGGTACTAATTTCTGATACAAACCATGTAATCATTTCATTTCACACATAATGCCAGGTAAAACTATCCTGCGGTTTTGAAAGCGATTTTTTTTGTTACTCGTTCTTAATACACAGCTAATTTTTCGTGCAATCTGCTATTACATGTTGTTTTTTTGATACCAACTCAGTATATGTTTAGTCATTCATACTTCACGAAAGTTAAACTACCGAGTTTCAAAACGTTAAATCTTTTCCTGGGTTCATTTGAACTTAGGTCCATCTGGTTATGCGTTTGCAAGAACAGTCAAAAATAGTTTTCGTCCTTTTCAATCCGTTTGCAAGAACCCGTTTTCAATTGACTATTTTTTCACTCAAAGTTTCAGTCCTTATGTTTCCATCTAATTGCAATTGTATTTTTCTCTTTCCTAGATTTTTACTAAACTTTGCAATCCTTCTCACTTTTAAATTTGTTTTTCTCGGACTTTCAACTATTATTATTTGTTCGTTGTTTGTTGTGTGGCGCTAAACTGGAATTTCTTATATAACAAGAGCAGTTCTTTCTTTATGTTTTTTCTTAGTATCGAAAATATTTGGTAATCTAAATTTATGTACCTTTTTTTATCAGATTGCTCGTATTGTCTTGTTATGGGTGAATAATCATTTCAATGATTTTGAATGCAATAGTGAAATGATGCAGTTACTTGATCGTTTTGAACAAGCTCTTGAAAGAGATCAAATGCATAGTCAACAGGTATGATCTGCAGTATTTAATTAGTTAGAGATTATTTTGACTACTCCAGTGTAGTGATTTATTTTCTAGTTATATCTTAATAATATACCAAAAAAGATGTGTTGTAGGTCTTAAAGAGTTCAAAAGTTTTGTCGATCACGTATATTCAGAGGTCATTTTAATGGATTCGTTGTAATCTTTAATTCACTATTATGAGTGGAATAAGTAACTATTTTCTTTTTTGTACATAAAGGAGAGTCATTTTTCAGTCTTTACTTAACATCGCATGTAGTGTAAAGTCTCGAACGAGAATGATCGTTTATTCTCGTTCTAATCGTGATCAACCTCTTTCGCTTTCAATTCTTGGAGGTAAAGAAAACGGTTCTCCTGGAATATTCGTGTCTGATGTTCAGCGCGGAAGTCACGCTGAAAAAATTGGCCTTAAAAGAGGAGATCAAGTTTGTCTTAATTTTTAAACTTTTAAAAGTAAAAATGAGTTCATTGTAGGTCTTTTTCATATAACTTCCATATAACTCATTTCCAAATAATGAATATCACCAAAATTACAGCGTTAACTTTGCATTCATCTGTTCTATTTTGGTATTATTAGCCTTTGCAGATAATCGAAGTAAACGGTCAAAGCTTCAAAAAAATTAGTTTGATTCGGGCTTTAGAAGTTTTGCGTAGTAATACTCATTTATCTATAACTGTGAAGTCAAATCTTTTGGGATTCAAAGAAATGATAGCTCGATCAGAGCGCGCAGTTGATGTTGAGGATCATAGTAGTTTATACCGCAAAGTTCCAGATGCTCGCTATGCAAAATACAAACCAATTTCGAAGGTGGTTTTAAGTTGTAAAATTGTTCTATTTGTATACTTTCGCATAAATACTGATGTAATTTCTAAAGTTTGATCGGGAAAGTAGTCTATGAGTTTATCTTTTATAATTTATTTGATTAAAGGAAACCGAAATCTGTGTATTTTACAGCAAAATGAAAATGGACAAAGAGGATCTGTGGCGTGTGTCATCGGAATGAATCCCTCATTAGGTGCATCAAATTTTAAATGTTTACCTCCAAGCGGTGTGTCTGGTGGCATTGGGAATAAAAGTTCGGTCATGGATAAGTTGCTGACAATGTTAAAAGGTTTACCTACCACTCTACCAGATGGAGCTGTGACAGAATCGAAAGCAGTATGTTTTGTTTATTTTTGGTAATTATTCTTTTCTAAACTTGTTTCATATAAATGGTAGCTTATCAATAAAATAAATTACCAGCACTCGCTTCTTCATTCTGCTTGTAAGAAACAAATTACTTTACATGATTTCATGAAGTTCGCCTAATAATGAGATATAGCTATAGTTCATTCATGTAACGGAGTTCCAGTAATCTTGAAAATGTTACTTTTGTTTTGCGTTCCGTTTATGATATTTTTATCTCTAGTTACACGTTAAAAATGAATTTTCGTTATAATAAGTTTTTAATGAGTTATTTTTAGCTAAATCCTATGCGATCCAATTCTTTACGTGCAAGTCGCTCTAATCCTGATATCGCCGGTCATTCCGTAGGCAGTTCACGGATTTCAACCATGAATATTGCGCAGTATTATCAACCTGCCAGTAGTCCATGTCCGGAACATGTTTTGAAAGTATATCGAGCAGACCAGTCTTTCAAATATCTCACTGTCTACAAAGAAACAACTGCGCAGAATGTAGTTCAACTTGCGCTTCAAGTATCTTTTGATTTGTCTTCAAGCGTTGAGATCTAATTTGTAGCGATCAGTGCTTATATTATAGGAATTCGGCATGAGTTCTGAAAGTGGAAGCTTAGAATGGGCACTTTGTGAAACAACTGTAACTGCAGATGGTGTGATTAAGCAGAAGCGACTTCCAGATCAGTTGAACAATCTTGCAGAACGCATTCACCTTAATAGCCGTTATTATTTGAAAAACAATAGTCGGTTTGTTTTGGATGAAAATTGTTACGACCTGATTAGTTCATACACTTCGAGTTGATGCATGCATCTGATTAAGATTCAAGTTTCTAGTAATCAGTTAAGCTAAAATTTCAACCGTTTTTTATGAAATAGTGAAAGAAAACGGAAGATTTTCAGATCAGATCCTTTGGTACCCGACGAATTAGCTCCCGAAGTTCTCAAGGAAGCAGAAACCTATATTCTTCAGCTTAATGCACAGATTGTTGCTGCTCAGCTGACTTTACAGGTAATCATGTCGTTTTTCTTGAAAATATATCTTGAAATTTTAGTAATTGAGAATGTGATGGAAGTATGTTCTTGTACATGGTTTTGCCAAGAAGTTGAAAATTTTGAGTTTTTATCGTCAATTTGAAAAACATTTTATTTCATTTTAGGACTTTGCTGTTTTCTCTGCTATTGAACCTACTGAATATGTCGATAACTTATTCGATTTGGAATCGAAATATGGTTGGTCGAAGTTGGCTGAGTTTGAGTCTTTATTCAATAAGGTGTGTAAACTTCTAAGCCTCATCGTCAATTTCATTGTTCAAGTGTTTCTGTGTTTCATCACTCCCTGTTTATTTAGTCACACTTCATATTTCATTCGTTTTGTGCAGTCTGTCTCTTTTCCATCTGTTTATAATTTCAATTTCAATATTTCAGGAAATGTGGTGGGTCGCAACCGAAATTTGTCGTGAGAAGAGCTTGCAAAAAAGAACAAAATTGATCAAAAAGTTTATCAAAATAGCTCGCTACTGTCGAGATTTCAGGAACTTCAATTCAATGTTTGCAATTATGAGTGGTTTGGAAAAGCCTGCTGTCCGAAGATTACATCATACGTGGGAACGTGTTCCAAGGTTTATAAAAACTTTATTTTCTTAATTACTTACTAATAAAGTCGTATGTCAACAATGATGTTTTCACAGTATTTCGTTCTTGCAGCAAATATATAAAGATGTTCGAGGATGTACAGCATTTAGTCGATCCATCAAGAAACATGTCGAAGTATCGTCAACATTTGGCAGTTGTTTCGCAGGAACCACCGGTGGTACCCATATATCCTGTACTAAAAAAAGACTTGACATTTTCTCATGAAGGTAATCCAACATATTGCGAAAAATTAATTAATTTCGAGAAACTACGGATGATAGCCAAAGCAATCCGCTCCGTTACGAAGTTGTGCAGTGCTCCTTACGAAATTGGTGTCATGGCTCAACAGGTGTGATTTACAGTTTTGCTTTGCTGGCTATAATTCAGTTGTCAATTTTATAGAGATGATAATTCGGAATGTTTCGTTTGGTTTTATTTTCCATCGTGAAAAAATTCTGAAAAAGTGTGCTCAAGTGTTTACTCTAGCAATATATTCATTAAGATAACAGAGGATGTCGGAACATTTGCTGCTAATCGAGGTAAAGTGCACAGTATTATTCAATTTTTTCAAGATATTATTGTAGAAACTACTTTCTGTATGATAATATAAATTTTAAGAGTGGTGGAACTGATGTCAACGATGCATTAGTAAACATGAATAGCTTCGATGGTGGTGCTGGAACCGTTGCTACGCTGAGAAAAATTGGACCACATTCAAGTCAGTTTATTTTCCCTCAAGTTGTTTGAAAACATACCATATGTATACGTTTTGTTTTCCTTTATTAAGCAAAAAGTTTTCATGTAGATTAACAAATCCTTCCATCATTTTAGGTTGGCTTATTTTTTATAGAGGTATATATTTTATTTCGCATAACAGTTTTAACTTGTTTAACAGAACTGTTCAATCTGATTTTTTCAGTGAAAACCGCAGCCCAGCCTCGTCGCAAATTGTATGAACAAGCGCTGATGGTACGCAAAGTAAAGTCATATCTATTAAATCTAAATGTCGTAGAATGTGAGGCAGATTTAGATCAACTCTCGTACGAGTGTGAGCCATCATACGGTAGTGCGAGCGTGACCAGACGTAGAGCTCCTTCACCGTCACCTTCAAGTTTGTCAAGTCAGTCCAGTACATCTGATCAGCACAAAATGGCGGCTCCGAAATTCGGTACGTTCATTATTGTGAAAAGATTTCAGGCTTGGCTCATCATTTTTTATTTTAGTATATAATGATTTTTTTCAGGCGTGGAATCTCCACATGCAGTCCAAAAGATGCTTTCATTAGCACAAAATTCACGTTTAAAGCAAGGCACTAGCGGAAGTTTGATGGTCGTCAGTCCCTTGCAATCACCGCTATTGTCCTCTAAAGGTATTCGTTTGAGAAGTACTCCTTTGCCGATTCGACGGATACCTTCAACATCCCAACATCATTCCAGTGTGATCGTTACCGCCGACTTACAACCAGTGGATTTGAATGCAGAAAGTAGTTCTGTGACAAGTTTATATGCCCCTCGCCTGTTCAACAGTGGAAAAAATTAAAGTCAGGCCTTATACTTTGTGATAGTTTGATCTCTAAGCAAAAATATCTTTATTTTGCGAAATTGTTTTCTTTATAATAGAATTATAAGCAGTTTAGATCTGTTAATGTACAAATGCTCTCTACCTCTGTTGTAAACAAATTTTCTGCCATCTTTTCATTGCTGTGGTGTGTCTGTTTCTTAACTCAGTATTTTGTTAATTGTTATCATCTGTGTAATCTCACCTGCCTGCAACTGTTAACTGGATATAATTGCTGTGTTCATAATTGACACGTTATGCTAATGATACAACTTTTCTGTATATAGCCTGCCATGATATGGAATGAGATGAGTACATTCTTACAATTCATATGATAGTCTCACAGATGTAATGGTATCGCATTCAATTAAGGTTGTTTCATTGATAATTCGCTTTTATATTGATGCTTTTTGCTCATTTAATTTGAAGAGCTGCAATTTCCGAGAACGTCACTCAAATGGCTGTGAGTGCAATTTAAATTGTTAACTACTGAGAATTTAAGACTAAATATATCCATTTTCTAAGTGAATATGCGAATTATTTGATGGTACCTCATGACTGTTTTTGCAGAAATTAGGTTAGGAATTAATCCCGCCTAAATCATACAATATTTAGTCGCAAAATCTCTGCATAAGTTGGGAAGAGATGAAATATTGGATTGGTTGTTGGCGTCCACATTTCATTGAGACCAATTCGTCCTCAGTATAATAGTTGAGACTAATGAGCAGAACGAAACTTGATTGCTTATATTAAGGCAGTAGGCACATCTGCATTCTTATTGAGTCCCCGTGTACCGACTGTTTCAGTTTCTTCAGGATAGTTGGCATTCGATCAAGAGCAAGTTAGCATTAGGGTCTAGATTTGGCTTATGCTTCCATACTTATACGGATTGCAATGCAAGATACCGCTCCTGCCACTCGCATCTTTAGAAATGCGTCACAAGATATCCTTGGATAACTTCGAGAAGCATTTTTCAAAATCAATATAATCTATAGGATTTTTTTCTTATATTTCAGCCTGTACGTAAACAGGATATTATATGGTTACAAAACAGTTTTCCATGCTGGTAAAGACAAACAATCCAGATAGACATAGCATCACACGCCAACTATGACTTGACGTCTATTTTGCCTGTAACAATCATGAAGATAACGAAGTCAATTAATGAAACAATACAACTATCATGTATCTATCTGCGAATAATTGTGGTCCAGCCATCTTCATCTGTCTCCATGCGTCGTTTCGGTAACTTAGTTCGTATGTCCATATTTACTGATGACTCGCCATTAGTGTTATCACTATCACTGTCTGAATCTACTATTTTGCTTTCTGTTGTAGCATTTTGCACGTCATTCTGAGAGGGTAAATTTGAGAGAAAATGTTCAAGCTCTACTTTTCGATTGTCATTCAGCCAAGTTTTGCATTTTAATAAAGACGTGGTGATCCATTCAACGCTATTGTCCTAAATTTATAATACTGCTTATAATTCATTATTGGAAGAGTCCGTCTCCGCAATGATTTAAATTTACCAACAATGCAAATAAGCAAAGCCCTCATTTGAAATAAACTAACATACTTCTAGAATTAAGTTAAATTCATTGTCCAGAATTTCACTTATCCACTCATATAAGCTATTAAAATCCAACTTTGATGTATGCTGCAAATAATTCGTTAACACCTGAAATGAACTACTCTGGTCTTAAGATAATGAAACACTTCTATAATTTCAAAATTCAAAACACACACTGAAAGTAACAATAATGATAAATTATGAAACTATGAAAGAGAAACGATGCCATTATACTGTCAAGTTATAAAACTGCACTGAACATGAAAGCAAATCTTACCGCTGCAAACCACTCAGACTTTTCATATGTGTCTGGTCCACCCGAAAGCATCTTTATTGCAAGCTGGTAAGCAGTCCATGCATTGAGAAGACAATCAACGCAACGCTCCAAAACCTCCTCCATGAACACAACTATCCCAGTGGTGAACTAGTTCTCTTAACATCACAATCTTAGCGATAACAGCCAACGTAATGAAACATCACCACTTTGAAATTCATCTCTTCCATTAGAACTGAGTAAACTCAACACCTAATCATTCCCGAATAAGAATCATTTCATCAATAATCGCCTTTGGGCAACTTAAGCATTTTCACCCGCCATACTTCAGCCCTCATATCAGCAGCAGTCAGAATCTTCATTACTTCCTCACCTGTTAACACCTTATTATCCAGACTTCAAATAAAGTGAGAAATTTCTGTACTGAATCGAAAACAATCGAAGTTAACAAGCATTACATATTGTCAATACAGTAAAACATATTTAATCAGTTTATAGTAAATAAAACGATTATTTATTCCAAATAAACATAACAACAAAATTTTATTAATCAGGTAATAGTCCTCAATGAAGACCGTACAGAACTGAGTCATGTCCGAATTTGAGCAACGGACACTTGCCATATTCGAATAACGTTATCAGTATATCCAGCATAAAGAGTTTGTCCATCAGCAGACCACGCTAAGGAAATACACTGAGGTGCTGCTGATTTAGTACAGCCCATAACATCAAGTTTTAATTCATCTACAGGCTTTTTATCTTCCAAATCCCAAATCTTAACAACTGGTCCAACTGCTGCACAAAGCCAATACCGATTTGGTGAGAAGGCAAGTGCATTGATCACATCGTTTCCACCCAACGTATATAAGTGTTTTCCTTCATTCAAATCCCATAGCATAGCGTTACCATCCTAGAAATCTCATAAGGTACCCAATTAAATAACGAATTCTATTTATGATAAATTGGATATCTGAGTGCTCAAGAAAGTGGCCTATTACTGCTCAATGTCGTAAAGTGTGACATAAATGTAACTTCAAACCTTTCCACCAGACGCACAAAGGGAGCCATCGGGAGAAACAGTTACAGTGTTGATATATCCTGTATGTCCAATATGGTTCGTTTTTAACTTGCAATTCGCAAGATTCCAAACCTTGACAACTTTATCCCACCCAGCAGAAACTATTACAGGATTGGAACTTGATGGTGAGAAACGAACATTTGACACCCAATCTGTATGGCAATCTTCCTGGAATGTGATATTACAATTAAACACTCTTCTTAACTCGTTGTCTGACAAGGTTCCAAAATCTAGACGATAAACCTGGAGTATTCAATATTCATGTAAAAAATGACATAACTTAAGCTCAAAACGCTTACATTTACTGTAAATTTGCATTGTGCCAAAGTATTCCATAATTTTATAGTCTTGTCTCTTGATCCTGACACAATCTGTCGATTATCAGTAGAAAATGCAACAGATAAAACATCTTTCGTATGTGAAACAAACTGCCTTGAAGTCACTCCTCTAAAAACCAAAATTAGAAAGCTTTCCTTGACTAAAAGATATGTATATCGGCTCTGCCGAGTTGTTGAGCGGTTGAGCTACCAGCCAGTCGACCGCATCACGAAGGAAGAGAGCAGGGAAAGGAGGATAAACGGAAAAAACCCGAGCCTGAGATCATGAATGAAGTGGAAAACAAGTGAGAATGTTGGAGAAAGCTTGCGTGAAGGTCATGGGAAACCAACGGACCAGTGCATCAGAACTAGCAGAACGGATTACCGGTCGAATACAGCAGGAGTGCCGGAACATGATCCAACGCTGGGATCAAGACGGAAAATAAGACTAACCTCTGACCGCTACGCATGATCTATTTATCTATCTATATCTATGTATAACAGCTGTTAACAGAATAATAAGACTTCGTCAATTACAGAGTCAAAAGTCACTACAATATTAATATAGACTGAGCTGCGTACATTTAAGAAGTAAAAAAGAGGCATACGTTGTCAAATCCCACAATCGCAAAGTTTTGTCCCAGGAACCAGAAAGAGCAAATTGTCCATCAGATGACAAAACAACATCAGAAACAAAATGACCATGGCCTTTCAATGCTCTTTCTGCTTTTCCACCTAACTGAGCGTTATAATTTCCCATTATATCATCCGTTTCTAATTTCCAAACAATTATAGTTTTATCTGAAAAAATCAAACCCTAGTTCACATTCTGTGATGGAAGTGAATCTCTACGTGAAAATAGCACTTTTGATACGAATAATATATGAATGCTAAAAAAAGCCTTTTAAAAGAATGTAAGGCAAGAAAGAAAATTTGACGAAAGTAAAATATGTTATTCACTATATCAAAACATAGCTACCATTAAATTTCAATCTGAATGCTTTGTAGACAAGATTACAAAAAGAGTACTGCAAGCATTGCATATAATAATACGAATGACTATAACACTAAAACGCGAAAATATTCATCTCGTAACTCAAAACTAAATAATAAAACCTTAACAATTCCAATCTGCAGTAAAAGATCTCAATTTTTTCTTACACTCAATTCATTTGGCGTTAAGTAAAATATGTTTTCAGCAATATAAATGAAATCTTGCCTCGAGATGATGAAATGATCATATTAGGATAGAGGGCATTAGTCGCTATTTGTGTTACCCAGCCATTATGGCCCTTTAAAATTCCTTTCAGTTGCATTTGCTCCGCCATGATTACTTGTTTCAATACAGTGACTGAAAAACCCTGAAAATATCCAATAACATAAAACATGACAAGAAAATTGTAACATGCTTAATATAAAAAATGCGCATAGAAGACACATGCTTATGTACACGCCCCAATGATATTTAATAAAATTAACAATGACGAATGATATATAAAATTTGCAACTTCTGGTACGTTTAATACTATCTGTCATAACAAATTAATATGGACCCTTAACCAAACCAATCCAAGGTACTACTTGTATTTATTACGTTCTCAATGATATATGAACCGGTATTTCCCGAACACTTTTTTAAGCAAATTATTCAAAGACTTTTATAGTGACAAACAAGTGTAAGACAAACCTTACCCCAAGTCTACTAATTTGCAAGCTTGACGTGCTTCAACTTCCAACAACAAGCAATTACCACCCAAATATTTTACAAATCTTTCACAATGTTCACATCCTACAAATGTGTGTACTTAAAACGTGGCCTCTGTATCAGATCACTATGAAAATTTTGAGTGCAGTGAGAATGAAAATTCTTGTTGTATGTAAATTATGTGATTCCATCAAAAATTAAGAGAATCTACTTATAGTTGTATGTTTAATTTAGTTTCTTTCCTTAATAAGTGCTAATTTCACTGCAGAAACTTTTATTGTGCAATTAAATTGCATTGTATTGAAATTATTCAGATCTAATGTTATGTTATGGTGAGATAAAGACAGCGTTATTAGATGTGACCAAAGAATGTCATTCACTATGGGAAGAAAACAAAGAAATGCAAGCTCGATTTGTAAATGATCTGACTGAGTTGCATCGAATACAACTTGCTGTCAATCAACTTGAAAATGATCATAGGTAAGGAATGATCTCTATCCTACGGGTAATTTTACGGTGAAATAAATTCTTAGTTTATTAGTACTGGATTGTTACTTTTTTACAAATTAATTTTGGAATGGTTTTTTTGGTTTCTGCAAAATATAATGTGCAAATTATCAGCATGTTCTAAAAAGTGCTCATTATATCATTTTAGTGGAGCAAATTCAAATTTTATAAAATTCGTCTTTTTAGAAATTTAGGAGTGCATGCATACATAGTAAGTTAAAAGTAATCTCGAAATTTGTCAGCAACTCATCAATAATGCAGCATTGTATTTTAATTGTACTGTCATTATTGTTTCAAAATATCAAGATAGTTTTTGTAGAGAAGATAAATTAACGCAAGCAAGAGCATCTATGAGTAGTATGCAACAACGAGCTAGCCAGTTATACAGTGCACTCATGGAAAAGCGGTGCTCATTAACGCAGAAGCTGAATGATGGAGTTCATAACATTGCCGTCCTACAAAATCAATTAATTAGTGAATGTCTTTATGATTGGAAGAATCGGCAGAAACTTCAACAGGTTGGTGTGTCGTTTGAAAGACGTGATCAGCTGATCGATGAAATACAAGCAGAGTACATATTTTTTGATTATTACTCTTCTTACTATTTTTGATTACTACTCTTCTTACAATATTTGGTTTCTGCAATAATCTAAAATTTAAAATATCATCTCTAAGCAAAATTACTCACCATGTCCAGCCAATTTCTACCAGATTTGTGCTTTATTAGTATTACAATGTTTTTTAAATACTACTAGTATGGAAGTTTTTCTCGCATTTAAAAAAAAATCTCTTTATGAATTAATTTTATAGATTTGAATTACTAGCAGAGCAAAATTGGCAACTGAGAACATATGCGTGTTGGCAAATGGATTTGCTTCGTCGAGGTTAATTCTTCTTCAATTTGTTTATATTGTGGCATTTTAAATATTGCTCATCTACTTTTGAATTGCGAAGATAACTGCAATTCGAATTTTTTGAACCTTTCAAAAAGTTTTTGAACTCATGTTAATCACGTGTCTAAAACATATAATGGGTTTTCCTTTAATATTAATCAGTTGTTTATAGAAATTCATTCTAGAAGTTTTTAGGTCCACAAATGAATGGACAAATGGCTCAGACACATGTTACCAATTTAAATTCTGTACTAGACAATCTAACAAAACTTTTGTGTATGTTGGTTTCCCAAAGCTTCGTTGTTGCTGTTCAACCTGAACCAGTTTTGAAAACTCAACATAAATTTTTTGCTGAAGTAAGGCTTCTTATTGGCGACAAATTGGGTATCAAACAGCATCTAGTCAATACTAACGTCACTGTTCGCATTATTGCTGAAGAAGAAGCTCGATTATTGAGTACTGCGCAGCTTTCTGAAAAAGATGTGTAAGTTGAATAAGAGCAACAAGTGCTAAGACAATTGTTGCGAGATATTACTTCTCATTCCTTTCAAAGTTATTCGCCTTATTTCAGCAAAACAGTAGGTTCCATTAGCAATGATTTCGAAAAAATGACTACAGACGACAAGGGGCACATGTCTGCAAAATTCAGCAATTCTGTAAGTCTTATAATTTTTATTAATTTACTTTTCGAATCGTGGCTATCAGCAACAATCTACTAATTGGCACTGACTGTCCCTTCCTTTTAATAATGCAGTATCTGTTTTCAGTATTTATTCGAATTATAATGCGGCGAACTATGATACGACTAAAATCATAAAATAGTTACTGTAATGTAATACCACATTGTTTAAAAATTTCTAGAAGCTCACACGTATTGCACATCGTAAGCCACCACCAAAAGGAGGACAAGGGGATGCCAAAGTCTCAGTTAATTTACAAACAGCTACAGATCAGAAATATGCATTACTATTTCATATCACGCCATTCCAACTTGGTAATCTTGGGAAGTTTGATGTTTGGACGTTATCATTACCAATTATGGTTACAGTTCATGGAAGTCAGGATTGTGATGCGCAAGGAGCTGTACTTTGGCAGAGAGCTTTCTCAGATGTGGTTTGTTTTCCAGTTATTTATGCTTTTTACTCTACTGATTGCAAAGTGCATTAATCGTTCCCTGATTTTGCAATTTCAGAATCGTACGTCTTTGTCGTCAGATATTGGCGCTGTTTCTTGGAGAGATCTGTCTCAAGTTCTTCGTCATAAGTTTGCGATGATTACTGGTGCAGAAAGGATAGTCAGTGATTCAGATCTTTCTTACATGGCGGAAAAACTGAATATTTCAGGTGATGAAGAAAAACAAATTATAACTCTACATCGGTTTGCAAAAGTGAGCATTGCTGTAATGTAAGACATTTGCTAAAAGTACTGTAAGGAGACATCTTTCAAAAAGTTTAGAAAGTTACTGCTAAATCACTTCAATCGCATTATCTTTTTTTCAGTCATGGGGTCCTTTCTGAGTACGCTATATATCTGGAATGGCTTTACCACACAGCTTTTTTTTCAGATTTAATGACTTCCCAACCAACTGCTCCCAATGTTGATATAGTCAGATCAACAGTTTTTCTGTTCTCTTGCTTGGTGAACGTTAGGTTTCATAGTTTAGTTCAAAAATAAAATTCATTCCATAGTACTTGCTTTATTGTACATTCAGCAAAATTTGCGAGATGATGTGAACTTTTCGTTTTGGGAGTGGTTTTTCGCAATCATGCAGCTTATCAAGCACAAACTTTTAAAGTTCTGGAATGAAGGTATATTGCTAGATTTATGATCTTGAATTTGATCACATCTTATCAAGTAATAATCAAAAATATGTTCGTCTCTATCATATTCTGAAACTAGTGTTTTGTAGGGTGGCTCATCGGATTTATAAGTAAACAAGATGCATCGTCACAAATGGTTAGTGCTCCTCATCTCACGTTTTTACTTCGTTTCAGTGATACTCAAACAGGAGCTGTCAGTATTGGTTTTGTTTGCGATGATGAGGACCGCAAAGGTTCATATGTTTGTTTGACTCAGTAATGAATTTAGCTTTAAATTCTTTCCCTTCGGAAGCATGCACATTATTTTGATTAACTTGGAGTTTTCATATCCAATCAGCCACTTATAAAACTGTGATATACTTTTGCAGTACCTTTCCATCTTTCTCCATTCTCTATAAAAGATCTCGATCAGTTATCTCTGGCTCAGCGTATTGCATCGTGTCCTCAATTGAAAGATATTAAGTAACTATTTATTTTCATAATTTCTGTTGAAAAATTGTCTCTTGTTTGAATTGTTTGCATACAATTTTATAAATCGCTAATCCTGATATTTTCAAAGCTTATTTACAATATTCAGATCAGTTGTTAAAATAAGGATTGGATAACTCTCATTGTTTAAGTCAAAAGCTATGATTAAGCATTTAGATATTTATATCCCGATATTGATAAAGACGACATGTTGCGATATTTTGAAAGTGAAGAAAGGCAGAAATCGTTATCACCAACAGGCTATATTCAATCAGAAATTGTTATGGTCGCAAAAACTGGCGGGTAACACACTTTTAAGCCTTCATCATTCTTAATTTCTGGTAAAAAACCTGAATTTTTTGAGTCAATTTTCGGTTTTGCAGTCTTATTTTAAGTTGAGTTAATTTCAACTAGTTCCTGTAGGAAAACAGTTTGTCCAGTTGGTGGCGATAGTCCATTATCATCTCTCTCTGCACAAACGAAGCTAGATTGGTCTCCTGGAGAAACCTTTGCTCGAACTCAATCCACAGAAATGTTAGTTTTTATATTTCAGTTAGTGATCTGATACTTTAGATAGAAGGCAACTTGACGAAGAATGAAAGCAGTTAGAAGTGGTAGGTTTTTTATTTGGCAAGGCAGTATTTAAGAAGATTTAATGCGGAGTTGCAATGCTTATTGTGTTGGGGTTAGAGATTGCAATCAGCATAAAAGTGAATTCCATCTTTCCAAATTAATGTTTACTAATTTTTTATCTTTAGCATTGAAAATTACAATAATGAAGAAGTGATATCGATATTGTCAATCAGTTCTGACAATGATATTGAAGCACTGCTTGGACCAGGTTTCTATCCGCAGTTTCCCAATCAACCTCTCCAATTAGTTGATCTTTCGCATGTACATGATTCCAGCTGTGTGCAAAAGAATTCTAGCGACAGTATGGAAGAGTAATGTGTGGACTGTTCATCAGTCTTTTCTAAGCATTCAGTGCAGTAAATTATGTTCTCTATTTATCAAAGTGTAATCAAGAATACATATATATCTTGTTTGTGGCTAGCACTAGATTCGTCATGTGAAACTGATGAATACTGGCAGATCGTGCAATATCCTAATTAATAGTATGTTAGATAGCAGTGTATTGAAAATTTTCTGGAATTGTTTAGGTAAAAAATGAGTTTTGCAGAATAACTTCAAAAATCTGCATTTTAATTTGTCTGTTATGTACCGCATCGTTTAATCATAAAACGATATGAGAAAGATGATTTGTAGCTTTATAATTAACAAGTAAGTAAATGTTATAAAAGCTGAGTAATTTACATTTTTTAGAGATTTTTGAGCCATAATTGAAAACGGATTTTTACTGAAGGTGTTCTCCTAAAAGATGAGACTTTAATTTCTAAGGATCACTGCGATAAATTATTGTTATTATTTGTTTATACTATCTTTAACAAGTGACTTTTATAATGTGTTTTTTAATTTGAAAGATTTCTTTTTTTATGTGGTTTCAATTTATTGCAGTTATCAGAATTCCTCATCTTATTATGTGTGTTGGTGCCTTGTACAGATAGAAATAATGTAGTATATTGACGTGCTTAATATCATTGGGTAGAATTATTGTACAAACACGTGGACAGTATTTGCCACATTGGCCAAGTTTGTTCGGTGTAAGGAAATTATTTGCTTAACATTGTCATGCTGAGAAACAGAAAGTAAAAAAAAATTAAACGCGGAAAATAGAACACGAGTTGCTGTTATGAATTAAAAAGAATGCGGTATACTAGTTTTCAAGTCATTTTTGCGGAACAAAAATCATTTCTAGAGGTAATAGTCATCTATTTATTGTAGCAAACAACATCTGTACTTCAAGGCTAATGTTAAAATGAAAATATGATGAATGACAAGTGCAAGTGTGTTTCAAATACACATGCAGAAGCAGGGACAAACAGACGCATATTGGCAGAGACGCACATGCATAGTTCAAGGGTAGAGAATGCATGATGTTTGATGAGGAACTTTTTGTGCACCTTGAGAAGTAGTGTGAATTCAACTAAAATTCCTGCAAAACAACCTTCATCCTTCACTTGTTTCCTCAAATATATTTGGTTTACCAGTTTTGCTTCTCTAGTCTAGTCACAAACTCTCTGCTCCTTGAACTGATGAAAGTTATTATGTTGAAGATCGTTTCCTTGCTGTGCAACTGCGTTCTAGCGGTATGTTTTCAGTCTCTTTTTCTAACTGAATGTAAAAGGATTAGATCAAGCACTTCAGTTATCTTCAACTCTATTTATTTCACTCCAAAGAATCAACATGAACTGTTTAGCTATTTTATTCTGTTGATTTCATGAGATTGACGCTATTGAGATTAATACACACTGGGAATTGCTGAAAGTTTTGAAGAGCTCTTTTATTCTGAGAAAATGACAGAACAAATCCGTATTACTTACTGGCTTCTAGTATATGACAATGATTGACTTTGATACTTCAACACCTCCAAATTTTAGCTTTCAGAGCTTCTGCACTGATTTGAATTTTAGAATTTCGTGCAGAAAAATTTATGGAAGAGGCGCTAATTTTGCCGTAAATTTGGAAGAATTCTGTTGTTTTGTACTTTGATAAATCGGTTTTTTCACTTTTTCTAATCTGCTATGTAATAGCTTTATCATTCTTAGAACATCTTTTGTTATAGCTCATTTCGATGTTCTTATTACTGATTGCTCTATCTTCATGGTTTTTACCTCCAACTACAAGGATCTCACCTTATTTTGTATCAGATCACCATCAAGTATGATAACTACAGCTATATCATTAACACTGAATTCTTTATTCATTCTGCTCATACAGCAAACATGCTTGATAATATTTCTCGTTTATTATCAAGATATGTTGATGCATTCATTTCCAGTATTCGATCGCTGCGTTTTTTATTGGTGTTACGAGTATTTCAGTACTTTTATTGGCAACATTTGGCATTGTATCATCGCTAATGCGTAGTTCATTTTGTATGTTTTTGGTAGGTATTTTTTAGAATTATTCATTACAGCATATTACCATAAACTTAATTTTGTTTTAATAAAATAATTAATATTAATTATTGAATTCTTATAATACTAACAAATGGGTGCTCTTCAATATTTGCTGCTTTTATACTAAAACTTAAATTGCAAATAAATTTTGCCAAATACTAAGTCAGAGGGCCAGTTTTTAATTGCTATTATCATGTATTGTTTAACAAATTGTTTCTAGCTTCACATTATTTATCATTTTTTTCGTCGTTTTTTCTATCATTCTTTGTGCAAACTCTGTACTTTTATGATTACTAAATAATAATAAAAATTTTAAACTAAAGTTTTTTTCGGTTAATTACTTTATCACACATAAATTAGACTAATAGTGTCTCCCCAAGACTTTTTTATATTGGATACTGATTAGATAGAGTAAGAGGCTATCTGACTAAACCTAAATTTTCAATGTATAAAAAATTATCAGTGCTCTCCTATTTGTCAAGTATTGTTATTTCCAGTACTTAATGATTTTATTGGTGCAGATATCAATGCAGCTTGTTTTATCAGCTTTTACTGTTGCTAACAGACATAAGGTTCATTTTTAATCTTATTGTTTTGCTTCCAGGTAGTATTTTTTTCCGAAATTGCAGTAACCTGCAAATCATCACTAGCTAAAAAAATTCTTAACCTTCTCAGTGAAAAGAATCTGATAAGTGATATTCATTCTAATTTAGAATTAAATGACCTAGTATTATATATAACGTGGATGTACTGAGAATTTCATTATTTCATTTAAAATAATACTGGCAACATTTGCATATCAAACTTCTTGTAGAAAATATTCTTGATTTTTGCAGCATTTTAGATACATGAAATTATTGCATCAAAATGGCATGTGCAAATTGATGAAAACTATGGCATTGACTGTAAAGAAGATATTCATTGTATTAGACATCTAGAATCTTTAATACAGGCTGAACGCATTATTTCCCTCTCATTTCTGATATTTCTTTCACTTCAGGTTACAGTTGTTCAAATTGCCTTTTCTCACTTTTTACTTCTCCTTTGGCTACAACATTCTATTTTTTCAATTACTGCCAATATTTTCATATTTCTGAAGATATTCTACTCTGCTAATTTTAACCATAAGAATCTGATCCACTAAATTAACATTAATGTTAATGCATACAAGTGAAGTAAACAGATACGTCTGAAGCATAAAACTTTTTTATTTAATTTATACTAAAGCAGAAATAAACTCGTGATTTTCAGATCTTTTTACTGTTCATTAGTTATTGTTACTGCAGTCAACTCTCAGAAAGAGAACAATACGAAGCAATTGAGAAGGACAACGCAAATAGTGATTAACTTGAGATCGTTTTACCGTTTCGTGTAAATTTTAAGTGTGATCCAAGATTTTCCAATCACAGTGCAGTTATATTTATGGAGTCATTTTTTTCCATTACCTATGAGACAACCCGAATGACAAAATCCATACTTTCAAACTATAAAAATGTTAACGAAAATGACTTAAAAGCTAAACGAAAGCGGGCTAAGACTATAATATGGTTTTACTATTTGCTAATGCTAATATTCTTGCCACCAAAAATCGCGCATTTAAGCTTACTTCGAGAGACTACAAAATGAACTTCAAAGTAACCATATGTGTCTCGATACTTTTTGATCAACTGGAAACATGTGATCTCTTCAAATTTTATTTCCATCTTATTTTTTTGGATTTATTCTTCAAATTTGGATGAAAAAACGTTAAAGTCGTTAATGTTAAATTCCCCTGTGGATTTATTGTATTATATGAAGTGCAATGGTTCGAGCTAAGTTGACAAATAAACATTTAATATATTTAAATGACATTAAGATAAAAGTATGAGTAACACAAACTGAAAGCTGAGATAATACAGGTTATATCAGTTAAATTGGTAGCAGCAAATAATTCAAATTCGCTTGTCGTAAAAAATTAATTTCATTGAGGCACTAAACAATTATTATTGGATATACACACTGAAAGTGTCGTATTACATACTTTTCATAACTTTTTTAGAATCGCAAAATTTACTAAAAAATGAGTAAATAATAGTGAAAATCGAATGGTTCTTTGCATTAGCTTGGTTATGATATCATGTAACTGAATCTGGCATCATTTGGCACATTCTGAATCAAAATATCTTCATCGGCTTCATCGTCAGTAGTTTCAATGAACCACACTTGTTGCAATTTGTCATTCTAAAAATGATTAAATTATAGAATGTGATGGAAATGTCAGGTAAATAAAGATTTTTTAATGAAAATTAAAAAATTGAAATTGACATTTGAGTATTTTTAGACTTATCTTTTTTAAATACTGAAAATACTTCCAGCAGTGTGACATAATCAGAACACAGTAGCAGTGTAATATCGCAAACACTGTACTCCCCATTACTAGCAACAGCAGTCGACCTGTAATTATTGCAATAATCTGTCTGTAATAATATTCAATATGCATAAATTTTATTACAGAATAATATGGTTGTGGATATCTGCACACTTTGAGAAATCTTAGTTGATTACAATTATACATTTGAAAAGCATGAACTTACTTGATGTACACTTTGTGTTAAGCATGCAATAAAATTCTACAAAGACTGTAACAGCAGACGAAAGAAATACTGCAGCACCCAAAATTACCTAAAAATTAACGATATTATCCAAAATTAGGAGATTAGCAAAACTCTAAGTTGCATGGAAGTACTTCCAAGCTAATCTGCTAATGTTATTTTTATGAAGACAATTGTTGCTGTTTTAACATTCATGAATTTTGTTTTTTGACTGTGGTAATTTTCGAAATTTATGCGATTAATTCGACATTAACTAGCCTGCAATACAATGATTGGTAATAAGAAGATTGATGCTTCCTTCCAAATTCCAAATTGCGCCAATAGTACGATCAAAAGTAATGCTGCGCATGTTAATGCGAATGAAGGCGAATCTGACATAGCTGTGCTAGCTGTCAAACCTGCGACACCCACCAAAATCATATAAATAATAGTAAGCATAGTAGCCGATGTCTGAAAATTTTCAGTTCTTCATTATTATAAATTTTAGATCGGCAAAAGTTTTGTGTTCTTTCAAGTAATGCTTGAATACAAAAAAGCCTAAGTTATACGTTTATTACATAGATTACAGTAGCACCAGTATAATGAACTTATGGTATTTTAAGTGTTGTTGAACGTGCTAAAGTTTTGATATTATAGACGTTTAATTACCAGTCTTTCCTTTTCAACAAATTAAACGTACTTTGACGTGGATAGTTCCAAAAAATGTATGATCATTAGGCAGCTTACAATTTGCTGCTGCCTTTATCGAATGATCATCTCCCATTTTAGAACATCCTGATTTTGCACAATGCCCAATTTTCGGCAATGCATGAATATTTGCCTATAAATTGTAAAGTTGAAATTGATGATTTTTAAATTTTAAATTACGAAAGCCTGAAATCAATTTGGGAAGCATTCAACAAAAAAAAACATTTGAAAACAATTTAAAAATTAGCAACAAACTTTTTTATTCATTAAATTTTTTTGGCCTACTGTTGATACGTTTGGTGCCTTGCATGCACTTCTAAAATTATTACGACGTAATCTGATACTATATTAATATTAAATTATTCATGTTCTAATTGTTATTAAAAAATAGCATCTTCCAATACTACTACTAGCATATTAATTTATGTGATCTGCTGTTCAACGTCTCCGCAGATATTTTTTCGTGTATTATATAGTTGGTAAAAGTTAAGAGTTTCATTGGAAGCATTCAAAATAATCATTTACTTTATTTGATATTTGAAACGTCGATCACGAAGTAAGATTTTATATTTGAAGTTCTTAAAACTTTCTATGAATGCAAAATGCAAAGCCTTACAACAAGTTGTCTTGCTTATCTTTCTGTGGAACTGCTTCCATCATATGTCCTCCCAAATCTGCCATTGTCGGAATTACAAATCACCTGAAAAGTTTATAATAAAATTATTCACATTTGACTACAAATCATTCTATTAATAGTTTACAACAAAGAAAAATTAAAAATTATGGTGTGAAGGGCGTATTTGTTGCTCAAAATCAAATCTGATCAAATTATCTCACTTTTGTTATATATGTTCTTTAATATTGATATATTGTAAAAAATGTTCGAAGTAATAACTTTATAAAATGTTACGAATAAGCAACATTTATGTGTATTCTAGAAGCTGTGAGATGGTATGTAACGCGTTTATCTTTAAATGACAATATAATTCCGTGACATGAAATTTCAAGTAACCTTCTGACCAATTACGAGTACCAGAATATTCTTTTCTGAGAAACAATATCATTCTTGCACGACATCAAAGAACTTGATCTTGAATGATGCAAGTCAAAGTCAGCCAAGTTGATCTTGCTGTCCGATAATTTTTTGCAATAATTATAAAATTGCAAGCATAGTAAACGAGATTAATGTATGTCTCTTATTTCAAACTATTCTCCGCTCATTTCCAGGGATAATGTTTTTTCTACTTTTCCTTTTATGAAGTGCTGGCTGACATATGGATACGGAAAGTGCGTATGACCACCGGTGCTTATAAATATTTTGAGAATATTGTAAATTTTGTTATTATTAGCTTGTATTAAAAAATAGCTCTTATTTATTCTAATTACATATCACTATTATCAATTTTGTTGGCTATTTTTTCTTCTGCAATTCATAATTTTCATCTACACAATTAATAATCATATTAATCTAGCAATGAATGACAAATAGTGGTTGTGAGAATCAATATAGCGTATTTGCTAATTAATTTTTACTTTCACCTCGTGCAAACATTATTGTTATTATAAGCCCTAATTTATCAAATACTAAGCTTTTCGGTTGCAGTATATAATCTTTCAGGCTAACAAAAAATGCCCTTTATGAGAAAACTTTTTCCATTAATTATATTGGTATCTTTTACACTTTCTGTACAGCGCTTGCACTCAGAAAATGCTACAAAAGGTGACAACATAGGCGCAGAGTTTTTTAATTCTAATAATGATTCTCTACCACAGCTTACTACAACCAATGCTTGGTCAGACAACTTAATGAAAAATGAGTTACTGAAGAATTTGTTCAACGGTAATTAATACAATTTTAATTAAACGTATAATACTACAAATCCAGTTATTACTCATTTCAAGATCTATAATGATATTTCACCAATTTAACTATCATTTTACAGATATGTTTTTCAAGTGAGGAAAACCAAGAAGTCTGTCAACTATTGTTTTAGGTATGATTACGGAAGGATTTAGTGCATTCGATTTACTGGAAAACCTGCAACCTTCAGAATGCTTACAGGTTTGTCTGGAAGAAGTTACTAGCATGTTAGAGCAGCCATTCGTTGGACAACGCTCCATAGATGAAGTTGGCAATATTTGTAGGTAAGCTATAAATTGCAACCGATATTTTAATAAATACAAATTGGTTTTTAATAAATCTTTAAGCCTTTAATAAAAATCTATTTTGACTTATCCTTCATTATTGATTGCCAAAAAGAATAAATTAAAAAAAAATAAATTGAAGCATGATTTAAAGAACTATTTTTTAGCCATTTTGATGTATTCCAAAGATGTCTCCATCATAACACCAGTTGTAAAGATTCTTTACTTGCTATAACGACAATGGTTATTCATTATCTTTGTAACGCAAATCAAGAAGGTTTGTTATGCTTTGTAAAAATAACTGATTATAGAAGTGTGTCATTTTTACAATAATAAACATATTTGATTGACTTATCACAGGAAGACTGTATCCACAATTTTTAAATAAAAATACTGAAAGCAGTGTCATAAGTTGGCATTAAGAAAATGAGTCACTACAGAACTTTTCCAAAACTTTTAAATGTTATTTATATTGAGTATGTAAGAATACCATTTTAAGGAAATAAATTACCATATTAAAAGACTGCAGTATCTGTAGTGATAAGTATTACTTTGCATTGTAGTATTGGAAAATACATTACCTTGCTTGTATAACCATGCAACCGTTATTTATTTTACTTGTGACAATGAATGTGATCTGGGTAAGATTGTTTCTGGAGCAGCAATTGAGCGAAAATCTATCCCTGAAAGCAAGGAAAGTAAAGTCCCAAATTTTTATGAACTTTGTAGGTGTGCAATTTTGAAAGCCTTTTTCAAACATATTCAGTGATATTCCTTGTGCCCTTTTACATCTATTTGTAGAAAAGCTACCAAAACACTAATTTACTACTTGATTATAATTGGAAATAAGCGCAGATATTAACAGTTAGGTACTTATAGTGCTTCTTCATGCTTTATCAACTGCATTCAACAAAAAGTTAGAAGAGAGTGCTCGCTTGGTCGCTTATCACTGCTGGTAAGTGATAAGCTGCTTTGCCAGTATTCATTTATTGGATGTGAATTTTCTTTATAATCATAAGCAACTGAAATTATTACTTACAATGTGTTTCTAATTAAAGTAAAAGTGAAAAGAAAGCATTACTGTAAAAAAATTTAAGATGCTAATTCTTTCGATAAGATTTTTAGTAGGAAGGCGTGTTCAAAATATTTCTTTTCATAGATAAATAAAAGTTAGTATTACTGGCACTTTTCACTTATCATTGTTGTGGTGGTTCAATTTTTAGCAGAGGGCAGTAACAGAAGTGATAAATCATACAATTAAAACAAATCCGATGCCACAAATGAAATCCTCTGATGCTTATACCTTATTAGTATCGTCTATCTTACCACAAGAATGCCATAGATTGGAGTTAAATTCTGGGGTTAGTTGATTTTATGTAATTTGAAAAGTTATGGAATAAGGATAGATGATACAAGCTGTATTAGTGTATTTAGGATGAAATTTACAATTTGTCGACAGCAGATTTTGCAGACATGGAATATAAGAATAGTGATGCTGATATGTACATAAAGGTGAACAAACTTTCAAAGTTTAATTTCTTACATTTTTAAGCACAACTTATTGCTATCAGTGGCATTTGCTAGTCAGCACTTACAATACTGCGTTTGAGAATAAATAATTATTCCTGTTGTTTTAATTTGAATACATGATTTTGAGAAAAATGATGGCATAAAAACAATTGTGGATAGCTATACAACTAATCAAACACCATCTATTTATGTACAAACATTCCCGCTAAATGGCCACCAGATGAAGCTGCAGTGTCAGATTATTGACCTAGAAACAGGGCAAGCAGCTTCTGCAACAAATGTTACAGCATTCATGTCTACTGCAATTGAGGTTAGTTGAGACTGAAAATTTTTGGTACATCGACAGGCAGTTAATATTAAGAAAAATGCAATATTATTGTAGGGTATATTCCAACAGTTTGGCTTACGAAGCGTTGAAATGGAGCAAACACCCAAGCGTGCAAAAAAAATACTTACCAGTCATAAAACCTCAAACGGTAAAATTAAATGGCTTTTAACTTTGAAGTAAATTACACTTAAGCCCATAGTACACAATATATCTCGTTCTACATCTCGAATACGATAATTTTTTTGCCCATTTTCTTGCCTATGAATTGAAACTAGTAACTAATTAACTTGTAGTTTGATTACCAATTCATTTCAACTTTCAGGTGAAGTATATGTGAAGGCATCACTCTGTGATTCATTAATGATGATTTCTCTCTCCCTTTTACTCAAGTCAATTGTGTGGATGGACTGATTCCACACTTTAACGCCTTTTTAAAAGCCTATTCGAATCATTCATTGCAAAAGTCAAATTTTACTGCATTTCGCCTTTTTTATGTGTACTTCTTTCGAATAATGAATAAAAAAAATGAATTGAAGTTTTAAATTGCTGCTGAAATTAATTTGTTTCTGTCATCGCACTTCGTTGCTGCATGCATACATTCTGTACAGCCAAAAAAGAATTATGAATTTGAAATGAGGGATGAAATAGTGGCAAGATTTCGTAAAATGCCAAATATTCAGAAATTGCACGAGAGGCTTTTTCATGGAGCATATAGAGTTTGATAAAGTTATAATTATGCTGAGCACCTCGAATCCGAACTCTCAGCAGATGTAAAGCCCAAAAGCTTTGCTTTTAACTCCGATTTGCATAAGGTCATTGATTCTCGATGGACGCTTAGTTTCATTGCATACGTGAAATACCTGTTCTCAATACTACCTACTTGAACTGTTGAATTATTCTAGATGACGGATTTGTATGACGTGTGTCATGCCATTTAGCATAATTGTAGCCATCTACTTTATCATTTATAAGACTGGATTGATAGATTCTGTTAATTGTTATTCTCTAGACGAATTTGATGTTTTTCAAAGTCAAACAAATCATTTTAGCTTTCATTTTATGATTGCGTTTGTGAAACTGAAGACACTTCGTCTATATACTGCAAACCTTCACTACCTTATTCTCTTAGTTTTGAAACTCGTAATAATTGCATTTCGTGGTGGGTGGTTTGCGTGAAAGCGCGAAATAAATATTGCGGCCCAGTTGGCGAAGCCGTGAAAAGTGTGATGCGGGTATTTGATTTTAGAGTTGATGGTGCGTCACGTTTGTATTCTGATGTACATGTTTCGTATTGCTGGTAATCTAATCATTCATTTGTTCTTGTGAGATCAACGCATTAACTATTGCGTAATTCATTCTGATGATACTGATTTATCATCTTTTTTTCATTCTCTAAAAGATTTCTAAAATTCTCACTTTTATATCCAGGTTATTGATCAGCTTAAAATATCGGTTTTAGTCGTCTAACTTTTCTTCAAAAGTATGTTATTTTTTCATGAAAATATTTTTGAATTGACTTTCTAACCACAGTTTGTGTAATAACTACTTCAAATTTTAGTAGTATTAAAGACATAATTTTATTTTGCATTTCTGATTAATAGTCAGATTTTTGGTCTATTCATCTAATTTTTCTCATGTTTTTCTTTGACGCACGTCAATAGTTATAATATTTGCCTGATTATGCATACATTTTAATAATACAGTGTTCCGTGTAAAAGCTGCAGTTATCAAAATTCGACTCATTTTTGTTACTGCAGGTTTAATAAACTGCAATGTCCTCTAATGTAGATGATGATGAAGTGGTCACATTAGATGATGACGATGATATACCACATTCGAGGAGGCGTCGCCTTCGTCGAGTAGTGTTCGAACGTAATTCTCATGTAGAAGATAACGATGATCAGCAGAACGTAAGTTTCATTATTGTAGATATTATCGACCGAAAGGAATTAAGTTTATTTATTTTCGGTCGGTATTTTCAGTACGAGTGGTAATTTCAGTATTAATGCTCCACTGGCATAATTTTTTGCTGTTTATAAAAGTTAAAGTAACTCTATGTTATGACAACTCCGATTTGCTATTGCGAAGTTCTGCGCTCTGTTTTCAGTAATTGATAGAATTTTTAGCTGGCAGAGCAAGAACAGGCAGCTTTTGCATCTTCACATGCCAACATTAGTAGTGATGAAGAGTCAGATATCGTCGTTAGGAAGTACCGCCGTATTACTTGCAGTCAAGAGGAGAATTGCAAAAAAAATACAGGTTTTGCGTTTTAATTAAGTGTTATCAGTTTTTGTATCGGTAAATGATTATTTTAATGACGTCATTTCGTGTTACATTCAACGATGATGCTTTTCGGACTTATATTTTTTTGAAGTGTCTTTCAGATGATGATTTAAGCGACGAAGATTCGAACGTTTGTGCGATTTGTTTAGATAGTTATACGATTTCTGGTCCCCACAGGTATCTTTAGAAATATTTAGAAGCAAGTGTTTTATGGTGATGCAAACACTGGGTGAGGAAATCAGAATAAGGTCATTTTTTAATTTCCTTACAGAATTGTATGTCTTAAATGTGGGCATTTGTTTGGGCAGTCCTGCATCGAGCGATGGATTCGAACTGAAAAATATTCCAAATGTCCTCAGTGTAAAGCTAAAGCAAGGCTTTCTGATATACGTCATATTTACGCACGAGCTGTGAAGGTAAATGGCCCTCAAATTTTTGAAATGTGTTTATTGAATTCATTTTTATTTTGTCTGTGAAAAGAATTGCATGCGAGATAAGAAAACTATTTTCTGGTTAACATTATGCATATTATACTAATAATTCAATTATAAAGAATTGTGGTGAAATTTGGTGCTATTTCATTAAATGTGACATTGCAGGCGGTTGATACAACCGAACTGGAGCAGTTGAAGCATGTAAATGAAGCATATAAAGTTGAGAATGATAATTTACGTTTAGAAAATCAACAGTTAAAAGAGAAAATTGTTGACGTGGAAAACTGTAATTCATACAAAGCTGAAATTGAAAAATTGACCATCGAGAACGCAAAGTTAAGAGCAAGGATTGCCTTAAAAACTGATGGCAATACAAATGAGTAAGTTGTTCAGTTCTGTGAGTTCAAACATCCTATAATATGTTGGTTAGTAGTATTAATTCATGCAAAAATTTATTCAAATATTTTAAAATCTAGTGTTCTGTTAATCTGGATGACTTTAGTAAAGTCTGATATTATTGTCTTTTCATATTGTTCTGTAAAAACTGTGAATTTTGTTATTTTGAGAATTTATCTGCACTTTTTAAAATTAATCTCAAAATTTGATCCATTACGCAAATAAATAGAAATTACCATTGTGTTTAGATTGTCGACATCTACTGCCAAAGGAGCTACATCCTCTTATTTTTCACTGGTCGCAGGTCCTGTTGTCTCTGTATCAACTCAGGCTGGTTCCCGTTCATTAGATGCAAATGGCAAATTTTTCGTGGTGACTTGCAAAATCCGAAACGATATCTTTATGCCTTACGGACTCAAATTGGTTATTTGTCCATCCTAATTTTTCGAGATTTTTGCAGTAGTTGGTTGCTATTTTTATCATTGCAACACTAATCCCTTTCATGTTCCAGTTAGTTTATCAAAAGGATTAGGGCATCATGGCTTCGAATTATAAACTATACTGTTTACTCCATCATTGTTTTTTCCCGTTTTTAACAAAAAAATAGTATTATTAAGTTGACTTGAAATATTTTTTGGTTCAAAGGATTTTCAGAATTGAATTACTTCAGATTACAATGGATGGTCGTGAAGATGTAATCGTTCCAGTGCATAGCAGTAAACCTCGTTGTTGTAGATTTTCACCCTTTGATGATCAACTAGTACTTTCAACTGGAGAGGATAGCACAGTTTGTGTTGCAAGGTTTCTTAACATTTTCATCACATTTTTTTAAAAGCTGCATGAAATCCCGACGAAATGATCGAGCATTCAGTATAAGCGGGGTTGAGTGCATTTGCTTATACTGAATGCACGTCGTTATAATGCATTCGTTTGTAGCTTCATTACTATGAGAATCGAACATCGCATCCCACTCCCAACTTTTGGCTGGTGCTGTTGTTGGTTGTCTAAAGATGAAGTAGCTGTAGGTCTCATTAGTGGTGAGTTTCAAAACTTTCACCCGTTTTTATAAGCATTGTTATTTAGCAGAATAGAGTTTTCAAAAATATATTGTAAGAGAATAATGTCGTTTTGGAAATTGCAAAATCAGTTCACTTATGTTCAGTAATATTTAGGTAGAGTTCTGAAATTCAATCTTCGTGATCCAACTATTGATCCATTTGATATAACCTGCAATAGAGCTCGTTTCCCTATCATAAATCTCGAATTCTATCCAAAACAGTCTTTGCTGTTTGTAACCTCGTTAAGAGAGTGTGTACTTTATCTTCATCAGCAGCCACATGTTTTGGTATCAGACCAGGGTTAGTTTTTGTTTCTGAAGATAAGCTGTTAACTTACGAAGAGGAAATCTTAAATGAATAATTTCTAATTATACTCTCATTTTTTAGCAAATTTGGCACTTAATATGATTTTTAGGCTCTATAAATTCATTCTGCTACGATGAACGTAGTGGTAAAGTGATGCTAACATTTGCTCCCAGCCAGCACCATCAAACAGTAACTCACGTCTTGTACTCCTTAGATTTGACGGGCGAACAAAAAAAACTTAAACACATCCATACTTATCGTAGCGATTCAGTAAAACTTACTCGTGTCGTAAGAAGTGCTGTTTGGGATAGTTCTTATGGCCCAATAGCTGCCATTTATGATGAAGCTAATTCAGATATGGTAGGTGATGAGAGCATTTTTAGTCCTAATTTTGGTAAATATTTAAAAAAAAAAAGTATGCCCAATTTATTTTTGTAAATTTTGTGCTTATAGATCAGAAATATTGATTTAAGATTCTCTATGACTGGACACGCCGTTGTCCAGCAATTGTGAAACGTATCCCTAGCGCGGTTGTTGACATCAGAGAAGTCACAGCCTGTGACTTAAGAAATTTTCTTCTTGGATGCTTAAGTGAGACGACACTTTATCTGTTTGAAGCACGATGTTAAATTCTACGCGAGAATGGTGATAACAATAAACTGTAATAAGCCTTTTTTTGGTAAGTTTTATGAAATTCTCTTGCTCTACAGTCGTGGAATGAAAGGTGCCTTTTCATTTGCTAATCGGCATTCGAAGTTTACATATTTGAACCCAGTAGCTATATAGAATTAAAAACTATTACTTGCATATGGTTTGGTATTGATTTGCTTCAACAATCATTCTTATTATATTTGAAGTGATGCCACTGAGTTTCTCAATATGTGAAATGATAAATTTCACATTCCTGCAACATTTTCTAGCACCCAGTTTTAAAAATTTGTATATTACTCTGGTTTTCTTGTATTTATTTGATCATGTGAGATTAAATTATAGAAATTTGAATCGCGCAATGATTTTGGTTTTATCAGCCTTCTGCCTTTTTTTTTATTTGACTGCGAAGGTTTCTTAGTTTCAAAGTATGAAATATCGATCGATAGTACTAGTTTTTAAGTACGGAGATCATAACTGCCAAATATTTTGAGCTGAAATATGCTACAGTTTTCAGTGTTTTCTAATTGGTAGTTATTGTGATAGTTCTTATGAATATTATGTATTTTCATTTCACTTTATTATTCAATTATGAGTATTGCATAGTTTGCTTTTTATTTGGTATTTAAAAAGAGTTAGAACATGAATTGACTGTATTTCCAGTATCATACTAAAAATGTTTTTTATATCGCACTAGATTTACGTCTTTAAGGACGAAAGTTAAATTTATTTTCTTTTCACCACAATAATTATTCACTGTTGAGGAATGAATTGTAATTTTGCATTATTTTGACGATGAACTGTATTACTGCAGTCAAATTGTTGCCTGCTAACTCATGATCTCAGTTGTACTTCCAAATTTCTAAAAAATAAAAATTTTTTATTCTCATTGTCATATTAACAATCGTGTTTAAAAAATATGCAAGAATTGTCTTATACTGTTTTTTGCGAATTTCATCTATAAGTTATGGTTCTTACGGGGCATACTTCCTAGACATCGTTGATCATGTCTATTTTCATATCTTTTTTGCAACCATAGATTGTTAGGAGGTCAAATTAATTTGTTAGTGGGTTATTTTTCATTTGTTCCACTGCTACAGCATTAAAATATAAGATGTTATGATGCATATATTTCTCATGAAGAATGCGGATTTCAGCAGACTAATTTTGTTGAAGATTGCACACTAAAGAACATGGAACAATAAGATCACCAATTTACTGTTTTAATTGTAAAAATTCGTGCAGACAAATGACTGCTATTATTTCCATATGAAGTACGGTGGAATGAAAGTTGTAATAATTTGAAAAATGCGCTAAAACTGGGCATGACAGTTTTAATTCAATAAAATAAATTGGACATGTAGTAAATTTAAAAATTATTTGTTACATTTAGCATTATTTAATTAGATTTAATGCCTCTTGGATGATCTTTTCTCGAGATCATTGCACTAAAATTGAACAGAGAGTAAACTCAAAAAGAGTTCAGTGAAAGAAAGTGGTAATTGAGTATTTATTTGGTAATTGGGCAATAAGCGTAGCAGAAAGAAATAAAGAATTAGGAGTGACACTTTGTCAAATAAAAGTGCTTACTTTTTCGTTTTCTTAGTTTGGTCTCCTCGGCAACAGCAGTCTTAAGTTTAATTGCTGTCACTCATACAATTCATTCGAAGCAGATTTTTTCGTACTTTCCCTCTCGATGACAGCATGATAATATCTGATTTGGCTTCTTATTTATAACAAGTCAATCAATATTCACTTACTTCTAAAACCTTACATTTTTTTAACTAAATTCATTGAAAACAATTCCTATCATTCTTATACATATAATATTTATAAGTTGGAAATTTTGCTGACATTTGACTCAATTTGAAGTCCTGAAATGAAGCGAACTGATAATACTTGGTAAAAGAATTGGCATTAACATTTGTATGCTATGTGTGTTCAGAAGTGAAGATTTTAGCAGTATCATAAAATGTCAAACAAATATAAGCAACGCAAATTAGCAAAATTTTAATTCAAAACTTTCAGTGCGCTCTACTTAAGTTACTAGCAAAGCTTGATATTTGTCAAAGTAATTTCTGTCTTGTTTATTGTTATTAAAGTAGGCTTACAATAAATTTTGCTTTTCAATCGCAAATTTGATTGGTATCAGCCAGTATGTCAAATACAATTATTAAAGTAGAAACAGCAATTTCAAATTTGATCACGAAATGTCTTGCAAGATAAAGTTATGCGGTACTCTTTTTCAACATTAATACTGTTTAAAAAAAGTATTTTCAAGGGATAGATTTGGTGATGGGGCAACTCAAAAGTAAAATCTTGCATCAAGCTGGGATGGTACATATTGATAATCTGAAGAATGATCCTGATGACCAATGGTCTAATTTATATCGTGAACGGGAAAAGAACAACTTGTACAAATGGGTTGGCGTGCGGACAGGTAACCATTAAAAATTTTTTAAATCTTTTTTTACGCTTTGCTGCTATCTCACATATCTGTTATAGACTTTGATAATTTTCTCAAAATTTATTGTACTAAACGATTTATTTGCTTTTTAGCCTATTATATGAAGTAATATGATTATTTTGCATTTTATTCCTTTTCAGTACCACATTTTCAAAAATCCTATGATAAAATTATTTGAAAAATCATTGTCTATTCATTTATTTGTATTTTATAGCCAGATTTATGATGAATTCCGTCATTCTCTTCTATACTACAAATAAATAATTAAGTCTTACTTTTCTTCTGATGTCTAATTAACTTATGAATTTCAGGAGGCGACCTTTTAGCTGCGTTTGAAAAAGAAGGTGAGGATGGAGTTCTTAAATTCGCTAACGAAAAGCTGGTCTCGATGATGTATGAAGATGGTGTGTCGCCGCAAATGATTCGTTTTACCGATTATGCAAAATGGAGGAAAACAATTGTACCATATTATCTCATTCTGCTTCCTTTTCAAGTCTTTTTATGTATAGAAGACTTAATAGATTATATATTATTCATTAAATCCATGGAATAGTTTCGATAAGATAACGAAGTGCACTGAAAGTGAAAGAAATAGAAAGAAAAATAAATATTAATTATAAAAAATAATAGCTGTCGCTTTCAGTACTCCAAGTATATATATTTTTGTATATATATTATTTTTTTACTTACTGATAGCTGAAAATTTTGAATTAACGTTTCATGAAAATTATTCATCAATAACTTTGGCACTTTATTTGTATTCAAATGCATTTTATGAGTGGTAATAAATTCATTACAGAACGTGCAGCTGGGTAAAACAGAAAGCAGAAATTATGTGAGTCAGTTTGGTAGTAAGTTTCGTGAACACCTTGGTCAATGGAGACTAAATAAACGTGGGGTTGAGGGTGAAACGATCATACATTTATTATTGAATCGTGAGGAACCAATGTGCAATGAAATTGCTCGAATTTTGATCACGCATTATCCCGGCTTAGCTAATGACATTTATCTTGGCGATGAAATGTTCGGTAAAAAAGTCAATCTGTTATTCTGAGAGAATGTATGATTATAAAGCGTTCAAAAATTTTTTACTCTATTTGATTTCTTAAAAATTTTCGATAATGTTTTTTTGATAATAATTTTTAAAAAATGTCCATAGCATTTGAAATTTAATGTACTTAAAAATTCATAAAACTTCTGTTTTGGATAAATGAAGTTCAAAAAAGATGAATTTATATTAGGTCAAAGTGCCTTGCATTTGGCAATTGTTCATGATGACTACGAAACAGTCCAACTATTATTGCAAAGCTCAGCAGAAGTAAATGCTCGAGCTTCTGGAACTTTTTTTTTGCCTGAAGATCAAAAAGTTTCATATAAATCATCGACCAATTATCAAGGTATATTTAAGCAAGGATGCAATGATTGCAGCTATCAATTTAATATAATGTTTTACTTTAAATTTATAATATCCTGGTATTTCATTTATTTCATATCTTTTTTTAATTTATATTCAAAAACTGTTTGATCTTACGATAAGATTTGATTTTTAGGATATGCTTATTATGGCGAATATCCACTAGCTTTCGCTGCATGTTTTGGTAATAAAGATATATATGATCTACTTATACAGTATGGCGCTGATCCAAATCTTCAAGATATGTTTGGCAATACGATTCTTCATATGTGTGTTATCAACTACAGCAATGTAAATCAGTCTTTTAAAGTGTTTTTGTATTATGGAAAAAATTTTAAAGCATAAGATAGGAAACTTTTTTGAAATATCATTGTGTTTCTTCTGTCTACTTTCGTAGCTCATGAAGTCTGTGAAATAGTTCATCTATATGTCTTTTACTTTTAGTTACATAGTTTTTTTAATAATTACTTTGCAACACTAGAAATCATATATTTTTAGTCAATGTACAGCTATGCCGTAAGGCACTGGGCAAAACCTGCAGATCCTAACATTGTAAATGCAGCAGGCCTCACTCCATTGACTCTTGCTACCAAACTTGGCCGAAAAGATATTTTTGAAGAAATGCTTGAATTAATGAAAGTAGTACGTTTTCCAATCTGGTCAGAATATACTTTAGATTTTCCTTATGCTTTCAAATAAAAAGCTTTTCAAAATATTTTAGGAATTTTGGAGATTTAGTGATATGACGTGTAGTGCATATCCCCTTACCGCTTTAGATACTATCCGTCCCGACGGTTCAACAAGTCAGCATTTTCTCTTAATTTATTAATAATGACTTCTTAAGGTTATAATATATTCAGGAAACAATTTAGTTGTTGAAATATCACTGTGTTGCTTCTGCTTTCTTTCATAGTACATGAAGACTATGAAACAGTTCATCTATATGTCTTTTGTTTTTTAATTCTTTATTTTCTTTAATAATAACTTTTCGAACATTAGAAATAATATGATCGAATTAGCAGAATAGCTATAGACTTACTTGCTAAACTCATTCTTTACTTTGTAAACTCTAAATTTGTTGGTGAAGTTTGAATTTAACTTGTAGTGAGCTATTTTTAGATTATGATTCAGCTTTGATGACTGTAATTAATGGCAGTACTCGGGAACATCTGGATATGATTGGTAGTGAAGTAATACAACGACTTCTTGCTGATAAATGGAAAGCTTTTGCATCGGTACCTGCTTAACATGCATTATTTAATCAGAAATTGTGTTTCTGCTCGAATTCTTGTAACTTTCCTTTTTGTAAGGAAAAAAACTTCGTCTTAACTGTACATACTTCATTTACAGAGAAAATTGTTTGAACGGCTTGGTTTGCTCATTTTACATCTTATATTTCTATGTTTTGTTGTTTATATGAGACCAACTGAACCAGAAAGGTTAACGTACCAGTTATTTGCTACGGAATGGAATGATTGGGTTTGTATTATGTCTTGTACAAGAATGCTTGACAAGCATTCTGAATTTTCAAGAATCATTACATCTTTCATAGATTTTGCATTTTTCCAACTTTTCATTGTTGGCATGAGAACAGGACTGTAGAAATTTTTTTGGACTCATTTTCATATAATGCATAAGATTAAACTGAATGATGTCGTGTCTTTATGAAGTAAAAAAATTACTCAAAACAGAATGGATTCACTTCGATCTGGTAAACAGTTGGATTATCGCAAAAATTTGTTCCATTATTGGCATGAGAACAGGACTGTATATTTTGACTGTATAATATTAATTATTAAGGTGCGGTTATTTTTTGAAATTTTGACAATTGCTAGTTGCGTATTTTTTGTTTTTTTTCAACAGTTCGGTGAACTAAAAACTCAAGGATTTTATGGATACATTAGAAATTTGGTAAGATTTTATTACTATATTTTTAAGTCGGAACTGTCTTTAACTTTTGTAATTATTTTTTAACTTTCAAACCTTAGCAAGGTTTTGCAGTATTTCTTTAGTCAGCAGCAGCATTTCATTGCAGAAAACAGCTCCAGCTAAAATTGTGTTCCTTGGAGCCAATATATGTATTCTTATTTGTGTACCATTTCGCATATTAGGTAATGTCCAAGTTGAAGAAGCTTTATTAGTTTTCTCGCTTCCTGGTTCCTGGATATTTTTTCTTTTTTTTGCCAGGTGAGATGTTCAATTTTTTATGCACACCAAATTTTACTGCATTTGTATTACTGAGTTTATAATGTAAAGTAATAAATTTTGCATTCCCTGCCGAACAGTTTGTGCTTTGGTGTTTTGTAATTATCAGATATAAAATTGCAGGGGAGCTAAATTAACAGGACCATTTGTTCAAATGATATACAGTATGATTGCTGGTGATATGATTCGTTTTGCTATCATTTCCGCAATTTTTCTCGTTTCATTTTCACAGGGTTCATTTTTTTCAATATTTTTTGTTGTAATCCTCATTTAGTAAGTAATGAATAGTTTGTATAAATTATCTATGAGTTCAGAGACTATAATCACTTTATTTATGACAGAAAATTTGAAACAACTTTTTCCATGAGTTTACTGATCTGCTTTTGCATCAATCATCACTCATTTCCTCGAAATACCCCTAGAATTTATTTGTTACTTTCAAATATTCATTTCTGCAAATTGTAAATATAAACTTCACTCACTTTTTCAGTGTTTTATTTTTTGGGCAAAGATATGCATGCAAAACAAGAGCTCAGCGTATTAAATCCAGATTATTGTGAAGTTAGAGGCTACGATATCTTCACCTATTCATCGTTTCTGGAAACATTTATCACATTATTTCGTGCTAGTATGGGTGGCTATGATGTAAACTTTTCAAGTTTATAATTTTAATGAGTTGCTTATGCTTTCAAGAAAACTGCTCAGATTAGAAAGTTTGATGTGTTCATCTAATAAATTTTTTATCTATGCATTATTTCAGTATGAAGAGTTTTCATGTGCTAACTATGAGGTATTAACGAAAATTTTATTTGTATTATATATGTTCATAATGCCAATAATGATGATAAATATACTGATCGCAATGATGGGCAACACTTATACAACCGTCATTGCACAAGCTGAAAAAGCTTGGAGGCAACAGGTCAGTAATTCAGTTTTATTGCTTATGACAAAAATGAATGATAAAATAACAGCAAATGCTTATAAGATTTTATTTGATTTTCAACTTAATATTGTTAGTTTACTTGATAAAGTAATATGAAAATGAGTTGGTAATTGTTCCTCATTTAATCCCGTAAACTATTTAAAAATGATTCATAATTATATGGTTAAAAAATCCATAGTTGTTTTTTAGTATGCACAAATTGTGATGGTATTAGAAAGATCGGTTAAAAAAGAGAAGTTAGCGGCATGTCAGGTAGAATACAGCATTAGACTTAACGAAACCAATGATGTGGGCATGGAGATTCGTGGTCTAATGGTTATTAAACAAACCAAAAAAACTCGAGCTAAGCAGAGGAAGCAAGCTATCGCCAACTGGAAGGTTCTTTGTCACTTTTTTTAAACAGATTTTCTTTGTTTATAATAAATTAGGTGTGAGGACCAAATTAAATGAAATGTTAGCAGTAACTGCATGAGTTTCATGATTCTTGCATTAGATTATTGCATTCAAATGATTAATCAAGTTAGGTAAAAAAATAACGTTTGCAAATTATTAGCATATTTATTATAGACGATTGGTCGAAAAGTTATTCATACTGTGGAAAGGTTGGGCGTTGATTACGCTCGTGACCTTCTTCATTCACACGATCGTTTAATGGATGAACCAGCTGGTGCCGTGATATTAAGACGAGATACTGCGTTACCTCTTCCAGCAAGAAGCATAGTAAGTTTTGGTACACTCAGAAAAATCTGATTTTATTCATATATTTACTTGCAATAAAATTCATGAGCGGTACTATAATTCAAAATTAAATTTTGTTCAGGAATACGCATGTAGATAGTTCTTTCGGTATTTTTTTGATAACTTTTTTTTCATGTAAGATATGTTCACGAGCTACCAGCCTGATAACTGACATGCAAAATCAAGAAAAAGTTCAACCGAATGATCATGCAAATGAGGATGAAGTTACGGTAATCGATGTTTCTGGTCCACAATCATTTCAAAGTGAAGCAACGTCTCGAGACTTCAGTAGGCTTCTTTAAAATAATTATGCTTCACAGAAGAGCTTAATTGAATATTAAGAAATATAGAGTGCTTTGGTTATATATATTACAAATGATTTTTTTTTTGATAGCTTAATAGATATGTGTTGCAAATATCCTTTGGTAGGAAGCATATCAAACTAACTTCATTCTCTCACTGAAGCTTCATGATGGCAATAAATTTTTAGGGTTGATAACAACAAAAACAACCACAACCATGGTACTAGACAAGCCAAGCTTACGAAAAATTGTAAGAGGCCACGAACTTGTTCCTTCATTAGATATGCCAAATATGCCTGCTCTTGGAACTCCACCACGAGCAGTCTCACCACGGATTCGAACGGACATGTTTCGTCGTAAAGATAGCGCCGGTACAAGTTCATCTTCTGCTAATTCTGGTACACAAACCAAGTAAGGAATTTTAATCTCTTGAAGACTGAAAACCTACTTGGTTTATGATTGGTTTTAATGATAACTGAATTAAAACCCTCAGCATCTCTTAAAATTGCTAAACAAGGATTTCCAGAATCGATGAAGAAAGTGCAATGAAGAATGAAACAGTAATAATGAATATTTGCCGCTAAAGCGATTACGTAATTTTTCCACCCAATTTGGATTACTATTAAGTGGATGCCAGTGTTTCCTGCCTTATCAATAAAAATATGCCATCATTAAATATTAATTTACTGCACGCTAGAACTCATTAATGTCGAATCTACGCAGTGTTAAGGTGAATTATTCATTTCGTTGAGAAGTATAGAAACATTTAGAAAATGAAATCATAACCTTTATTACCTTTAATGCAATACTATTTATTTGAAATGACTTTAACACAAGGCACGAGAAATTTATATACAAAAACTTCTTGTACGCATAATTAATGTTACGACGTATTTAAGTCATAACATTAATACAAACCATAGTGATGCGTACAAAACTACAAGGGACATAAAGATATGATGAAAAAAAAAAAGAAAATCCATGTCAAGATAACTTGAAAATGTTGTGCTGCCATATCCAATTAAAGGAATCACTAAGATTGCTGAGTATAAAAATCCCCATACGAGCGAATAAATATTTCGCGTAGTACTTTCCGTAAGTTGTATTCGTAATTTACAAATACTAAACGAAGATGTTGACAATGACGAAAGCGCTTGTCAAGACTATCATAATGACCAGCAACAAGTAGAAAGAACAAGCTTGAATTATCAACAGAGATATTCCTTATTTGTATGACTTGGTTGTTGCGAACGATCTGGATTACAGTACGCTAAGACGTCTTCATTTGTTTTGTATACACCATCAGGCCGGTTTCGAATCCAACATATAATGGTTAGTATAAGCAAAATGAAGGCACAACCCGTGACAACACCAACAATAGCTGCAAAATCAGACTTAAATTGTTAAAAAACCACTCCAGCAATCATTTATCGCAGTTCATAGACTTCTTGTATTAATTGTTAAACAAATATATTCACATATGATGAGTTTGTTTTATCAACTCAACCCAAAAAGTATCAAAGCTCACGAGTTAAAATCAGTGAAGGACTGCGATGCTCAGTTACGGTGTGTATATGAATGCCAGGTAGTACTGGGTCTTCCTGTTCTGTAAGTTGCTCGGGAAGTCTGAAATACAGTCAAATTTAAACCTCGATTAAAAACTGATAATTAATTGCTTGTAATATATTTGGTCTCTCCCATATGACACAATGAAAGAGATAGCAGATGTCAAACAGTCATTGTTATGAGTGTAATCAGCTCTCCATTTTATTAACAAATGTTTTGCAACACAAAAAGCAGTGATTTAAATAAGTAGTATGTTTAACAATTAATGAATAAAAATTAAATCATACATTTCGTCTAATGGACAGCTCCTAAATTTTATGCCACCTTTGTGTGAAAGACGCGATGATGAGGGATCTTTCAAAGGAAAACCTGCACCAACTTGTAATCTCGTCACACATCCCGTAAAATCTGCAGATATAGCGAAAATTACTCATAGCTGTTATTATCAGTGATAGTTTAGAATATAAAAAATGTTGGATATGAAATAAAACGGCAATGGATGACGTAAGGATCACTCTTATCGATAAAATTCCAAACATTGAATAGTTTGAAAAATGACCAGTTACCACTCATTCGAACAGCGTCTTCATCGTTAATCTACAATAATAAATGTCACTGAAAACAACAGGAGTGTAGCAAACATTCACTGTTTTTATGTAAATCATATTAACAAACTTTGAGAGTAAATTGACTGTTCGTAGCACAAAATTTTACATCATTGAGCTCATTATCATTAAATTTATGCACCACATCAGCAGCCTTATGATGGAAAAAGAAACCGTCAAAAATTGACAATTCAAGACGACCTGAAAAAATTTATACCTAGTCCACTTCTCGCGGTTACAGAAAAACTTCCATTTCACACACTTCCTACAAGCATATACATATCCAATAAACATTTCAAAATATCATCATAATATATTTTAAAATTCAACTTTCTCAATTGTCAGAGGCACCTCAACAAACGGAAATATTTTTGGAAAAATTTTGAAAACCAAAAATTCCTTAATTTTAGTAAGTACACACATCATTACTGAAGGTCTAAATAAATTTCGGGAAAATATAAAAGTAGAAACCTTTTTCATTTACAGTCAGATTAAACTGGCAATCTGCAAACAAAGCTTTTGCTCTAATCAGTGAATAGTTTGAAGAAAATGATTGCACTGCTATTCGGAAGCAAGATGATATGTGAGCTGGATGCTGCCAAGGAATTGACAGTTCAGAACCTTTTGGAACAGAAATACCAAAATCTATAACATTGCTAATGCGATTTAAAAACAAAAAATTTTTTCGTTTAAATACAATTTTGCTTATGCTTTCATAAAATACAAAAAAATTCTCTAGAAAACCAAAAACTAGAAGCTTTTACCTTGTTCACAATTTTGACCAATGAACGGAGTATTATTGCAATTGCATTTGTGACTGTCATAAAATTCAACACACTGGCCATGATTTAAACAGCGGTCATTTTTACAGGTTCCCTTTTCGCCTACTTCTATACCCTGAATAAGGTACAACTATTAAACAATGAGTAATTTCATTCTACTTCTCTCTGATGCAAACCAAAAAATAGTTACAAAACCAATTCAAAATAATATAGAAAAACTTAAATATTAACAATCCAGTCATTCTGACTCGTAAACTAGAAAAAGATACCAGTTCCTGAAACAAAAAATATTTTATGATGAAACTTTTTACAAACCTTCACACCCTGCCCTTGTTTCCTTAATAAAGACCGCAGAATAATTTCATTACCACAAAGATGTATATTTCGTATTTGACCAGCGAAACCCGATAAACTATGTTGTGTGCTTGATCCTATAACTTGATTAGATTATTCACTAGGACGTTATATTAATTAGAAAAATTACATTGTAAAGATGCTTTACCTAAAACCCAATTGTACACATTCGGAAGCACTATGTGAACATCTTGAACACTGGTTTCGTTATCTACATCCAATACCATTCCCCTCACACTCACTTCCCAGTATACTGTATGCCATATATTGTCGTCAACACGCACTTTGGACTCAATTTCAAAAACTTTGTTACCGGTAACAACTTGCCCAATTATGTGCCCACCTAGAAATTAAATGCAGAAAAGATAATATTGATTATAGAAAACGCATCAACAAACTTCCAATGCTTCAATCTTTTAGCATGAACAAATGTACCAACTTATGAATAAAAATTTTTAAAACATTCTAGAGTATGAAGTTCAGTGTCATAATTGAAAGAGAATTTAAAAAATCTGCAACTGAACATTTTTCTTAGGAATAATAACAGCTCAGTAGATAACCTGCAACGTAAAGTTGGAACCAACGCTGTCCATTCAATGATTCCCAAGTGAAGATTCTCATTCGGGGATGCGACATACGTATCTGAAGCTTGAGATCCATTACTGAGCTAACCAAAGAATTTGAACCGGTCAAGCGAGCATCACGATTCAGAAACGTTATTCCATCAAATACATCTGTGGCAAATCACAAATATTATCTCTGTGTTAATAAAAGAAAAAACTTGTCTCTCATTTTTGTTTCCGTTTTATTCTTAATTTAATTTGCACTTTTTTAGTTTGTGAAATACAAAACTTACACATAAAGCACCACAAAGATAAAACTCACGACGATGACTACAAACAAGAGGCCCAATAGAGACATTTATAGATGATGTGTCTGTAGTGCCTCCAAGATACAAATTCATTACAGGTAGTAATTGCATGTGAAGATTGTAGCCTTCATCGACGCTTTCTTGGCCACTATCACAATTACACATTCTTAAATGAATTAGTTCAGAACACTTATTAGCTTATCAAGCCATGGAAGAACATGAAAATTAGAATGAGGAAAACGACAAAAAATTAAAAAAATCAGCTGATTGTTGCATGAAATCATTTATTAAACAGAAATCGTGAGAAGAAAATGCATACAAACAGTGAGAAGCAAAAAATAGATCAACAAAATATAATGTAACCTATTGTCAATACAAGATGAATTGGCTGAACATGAACACATTCTAGAATAAGGTGGAGCATCACCCCATTGCATTCCATGTTGACCATTTCTGGTGCTGTACCAGGATGATGGTCGTTGTTCTAGACCATAACTCATCAGCTTCGCACCTCCACGACATTCGTAACGCATGTACTACAAGTATCATATTAGCTTGATTTTAACTTCTGCCTAATTTTCTGCAAAAATGCTATAAATTCATATAAGTTTGCAGAGCGATTGCATAAAAATTTGTAACTTTAATTTGCAGCACACACCTGTTCACAATTTTCAAACCCTTCGATGAAACGATCTAACTGATCGCCATTAACACCATAATCAAGTGATTTTTTGACAGAACCCGGTTCATGATCGCCAGCAACCACTATATTACTTCGCTCATATTGATGAAATAATGTTGTTGTTATACTTATTTCACCTTCATTCTTAACATGACGCTCACATTGTAATGTAATTGGTGCTAACTGATTGCCTCCATCCAAATCAATTGTAACGTTTTTAATTCTGATTTGTGGATTCTTGAGAAAAAATTCTTCACAAGAACGATATTTTTTAGCTGCAAAATTTTACATTTAGCCAATGTGTTACATTTTCCTAACATTTACAGAAATGTAAATACCAAAAATTTTTAGAAACATGCTTAAGAAGATCATTATATATAAATTGTTTTAAAAAAAATTTCAGCTGAGGTTATCGCCACTTAAATAAAAATGATGACTTACTAGCGTGACATGTTTTTCCATAATAGCTACCACGGCAACTGCATTTGAAATCACTCAGCGATATTTGCTCGCAAATACCATGATTTTCACAAGGATCAGGAAGACACCTGAATAATTTCAACCCTATTTACCACAATCGCTCAAAACTGTGATTCTTTCAACATTTTTAAAAAGAAATATAGAAATACAAGAACCATATTCTTCATCGAAGTAACTCCTTTTCTAGCTTAATCCTTTTTATGTATGATAGCATCTTGCTAAACTGATTTTTCAAGACTTTAAAGTAATAAGTCTAGAAAATATAAATACCTCGATTAAGTTTAGGTCACTGTCCGTCAAAGCTTTACTGCGGTATTGTTATATAATTGAAATCAGACTTGTGTGGGATCAAAAGTGATTCATTCACCTGTTTTGAAAATGACATGCATCCAAAGTAACATTGCCAAAAATATTTGCTGATCTGAAAGACACAGTAGCTGAACGATAACATCCCACTGCTGACAGATGGAAATAAGATATTTGTTTGGCGATATTTCGAACAGCATTCCCTTCTAACCAAAGTACAGTGTAACTATCCACGTCAACGTGTAGTCGAGCTCCCCAAATCATCACCGATAGCGCATGCCAAGTGCCATCATTTACTACTTTGCCTACACTTTTTTTAAACGTATTGCACGACTGGCCTTTTTCATTCTTGACTTTAAAAATGTTTTGAAAGTACTACAAATAATATTTTTTGTGTAGTGACTGAAATTCAGTGAGAAAAGTCTGTTTTGAAACTAAAGAAACGATAAATTCCAAGAGATTTGAAAACTGAAATTTAAATTTAAACCTGATTGTGATAACTGTTCTACTTCCGTCTTGTCCACATATAATGTTAGTAGTAATAATCCATCCTTGTTGAATGATATTCTCAGAAGCGATTGGTTTTTGCCATCCGTTAAGAACAAGAGAGAGGTTGGTTGAGGCAAAATACGAAATTCAATGGAAAAAGGTAAAAAAGAAAATGGTATAGATAGATAGCTATTAAACGTAATAGTCATCAGCTGCGGTTTTGGCATCTATAATGGGCACTATAAAATATGAAGTAATAAAATACTATCCATATATTGCAGTTATGCTTTTTGATAGAACCGAATTGAACTTGAAAAAGAATTTTTGCTGCCTTTGGATCACATCTACACTTTTTTTTCTAATTAGCAATATAAAACATAAATGATCCTAGATACCTGACAATCTTTTCGTTGTGATCTTGGTATTTTCCCTAACAAATCGACATTATTTAACATCACACGAGCAAGACAGCCATGATAACTTGTTTCAATGCCAGTACTCATATCATCTGGTGGTCTTCCACCAATATGAATCTGAGCATCGAAGTCCAGCTTTCTGTATAAACCGGATGGAGTGGTAGTATTGATAATGACGCCGTCAATCAATAGCTGCACCGAATCAAGCTGATGTATCCAACGCATTTCATGCCACAAGCCATCGTTCAAGGCTACACCTCCAGAAATTGTAGTTAGAGTAAGCGCACCTGTAAAATTCTACTAATTTACTTTCTTTATCGCACTCAGCTGTGGTATTTTGCATCTTCTTGTTCCTAACTATTTTCTTTGTTGGATAAAATAAGCATGGTGAAAAATGCAAGTCCGAAGAAAGAAAAACATAACATTATGTGTTTCATTGCAAATATTATCTAAATTGTGATTTGCAGTAAGCATGAAAGTAATAAATTACCAACCAATTGTGCTAAATACAGACTCTTTTTACTGATAAAGCAATGAAACAGAAACTAACCAAAATCAAAAATGACGAAAATTTTGCCTTGAATAATTTGAGCAATAAGTAAATCTCCTTGATCAGCCATCGAAAACACGAATAATCCATTTTCAAAAGTGCGAAAGGTAATAATTAATTGGTTTTCATAAACGGAAATGATTCCTGCTTTCTGTGTGTCAACAGAATACATATTATCATTGAAATATGATATTGGAGTGGCTGAAAAAAAATAAACTAGATGGAAGTACGCGTTAGATGAACAGAAGCAGTATCGGACCGAAATATTAGGCAAGTATGCAGTGGCCAATTAAATGTCATAACATCGCATACCATTCAATACTGATTTTTTAAATTTGACAAGTTTCAAAAAATGCTTCCCATTTGTCCAAAAGTACTTACAGTATTTGCAGGTAGTAATCATGACTGACGGAATGATATCAGCATCTGAGCTATATACAGGTAAAACATAGATTTTCCTCGCAATCACATCTAACACTTGCCATTCAGATGTGGCAGCCGAAGGAGAAGAATATAAAACCTTACATCAGATAAAATTATAAAAAAGCGAAATTTTCCAATTATTAGTTACTAAGCAATATCAAATGCTGATATCAAAGCAAAAAAATTTTATTACAGGCAATTACTTCCTTTAAAATGGACTTTCCCGCCAATACAAATCAAATGATAAGGAATATGTTGATGCTAAAAAACAATTAAAAAATTACATCAAGATACTAACAAACATTAAAATTTGTTAGCACATGCAGAATCTTTTCACAGTTAATAGAAATAGAAAAAACTGCTATAAGTAACAAATGTTTTTGAATAAGCATACCACAGGTAATCCAGTGGAAGTGTGCAACTGAATTGGAGCAGTGTGGTCATCTCCAATTTCGATATACAAATGAAACAGAGATAAAGGAGCAACAACTGCGATTCTTTGGAGAAGATGCGCATAGCCCAGATCAATGCTTGATGCAGAAAAGTTCTGCTCCTCACAGTTTGAGCCATTTACTGTAGTCAACAATTTGATCTTCTTATTAAGCAGGAAGAGATAACTTAGCATAAATCATAGAAAAAGAAATTTAATGAAATTTAGAGGACGAAATGCACGATAAGCATAGAAGAGAAGGAAAAGAAGAAGAGGAAAGTAAGGTAATTACTTTTCGTATCGTAACCTCAGCGAGGAAATTTTGGTAAGTTCAAAGGAAAAATCATGACGAAAAGAAGTTGAAATTTAGACTACAAAAGTGTGGAAAAGAAGGAAGCAATTAATAAGGATAGTAAAGTAAATATTGATTGCAAAATATGAAGCAATGGAGGACTGAGATAAATTTGCACGCTGATCAACAGAGAAAAAGAACCTTATCTTAATACTCAATTTGTGGCAATATAAGAAATGAAAGTTAGAAATGATGTTTTCTTACCTGGCTGAAAGTAAGTAATGCTGAACAACAGCCATGTAAAACGCAGAAAGGAGCCGCGACGTGCGGCCGTCATGAAAGTGCGCTAGATTGACAGCAGCCAAGCAGGGCGAAAAACAGCAAAGACGGAATAGAAAAAGGAAGGGAAGGAGAAAAAGTTGACCACATGGATCGAGCAGGGGTCACTCGTTTATGGCAGCAGAGCTAAGAATAGCAGTAGAGGTGCAGGACAAAGTAGTTGTCGGCCAGATGATGGATGACTCGCAAACATACTTCAAGAAAGTGTCATTTAATAGAACGAAGGAGATAGCAAGCAGCTGGTGAGAGCACAGCAACAGCTGCTTGTTGGGATCAGGCAAAAGCCAAGCAGAAAGTAGCCAGACTAATGACCTGACTATGAGGAGTGCTTGTTTAGGTGTTGTGCGATACCGTTTCCTGACATTATTTACTCACGATATCAAGCCGATGGCGTGTAACATCACGCACACACATGCACACATGTGTATACACGCACGTTTCTTTACGTCAGCTAAAGCATCAAGTCTTTCTTATTCCTTGACCTTTCCATTTCCAAAAGAAATAAATTACATGAAGCCACTTCACTCTTGCGTACCCGCTACGTCATACGAGCAATCCAAGAAAAAAGTTAATCATTTAGATGTCATATTCTTGCGTCGTTACAAAAAGTAAGGAGCTACTTTGATGGTCTTTGAATCATGTTGGTGATGGCACTACATGTATTCCAGATTGAAAATTTTTTTCATATAGTTTATTACTTCGAAAGCATAATTACACTTTCTCGATAAATCCTGCACTCATCTCTTAATAAAGTCATTCATGTTTTAATTAAATTGCTTTCTGGTTGTATTAGAAAAATGATCAAATTATTTATACTAATGAAAAAAATTTTGATTGGTAATTCCTTTCAGCAAATAATTAAAAAAAAGCGGTTCCTTCTTGGTATCTTATTTGATGCGTGAGCTCAGCTACGCCCAGTCAAATGGGATTATCAAAATTCTCTGCATCGTTCTTTTACTTCTAAGTTTAAATTTTGGTATTTAATTCAAACGATCGCCATGTACATATTATATTAGAACTATATCTTCTTTAATTTCCGTTGCAAAAATCTTATTTTCAGAATATCTATTTTTTCAACATTTTTATCTCTAATTTCATGTTTGCACACTTGAAACTAATTCGCAAATTTGACAGCTTGTTTTAGAATTAAAATGGTCAGTTATTATTAATAATAAAATAGTGGAATCTGGATGAAATATTTGAGATTAATGAAGTATCATTACTATCGAATAAACTGATTTTATCTCGAGTCGTTGAGTGAGCCAAAAAATTTACTGAATGTTAAGCTGAATTTCAGTAAATATTGTTTAGTTAGAAACGAAATAAAATTTAAACGGCACAACTAATTAATTTAGGGCGCAAAAATCTTGTTCAAGAATTGCAGTAATCATTACCATCATATAAACAATGGTTTATTTGTTTATGTTAGCCATTATTCGCTAATTTTTAGGAAATTGAGGGCAGTAAAGGATTTTCAGTGTTTTAAATTCTAAGCAATGATTTAAAATTTTAATGGTTCTGTAATCGTAGTGAAATTATAAATTATTACAGACAATGAAATGCAGCAGTATGATGCAAATTACTGTCGATCAGTTCATTCAAGAACATGTATTCAAAGTGAGTGTTTCAAAATGATGTTTGTATACGGTACACACGTATTATGTCTACAGTGCACACTTATTATTGTGATACTCCAGAAACAATGAATGATTCACGGCTTACTGTATACATATGAAAGCATGTAATACAAGTTAGTAGTGACATATTTTTCATTTTTTTCCTCACAAATTTGCATTTACATTGACTGCATTAGAAAGGTGTTGTTATATTCAGATAGTGAGATAAATACTAGATCGTATGAAAATAGACGGGAAACATTTAAGCATTTTTGGTTAAGCAACAGAAGACTAAATTCATGTTCTCAGAAGTATGGAAAATGAGAGTGCGTGTGTACTCAATTTGTTCATAAAATTGATAACACAAAATTTAAGTTTCAAAACTTTGTCGTGTACGAAAAAACTTTTTCCAGCAAGCCATTGTTGGTGAACATATTATTTTGGTAATCATGTTAGTTACTTGCTACTTTCGATTTTATTTCAATAAACTTATACTGAAGCAGTGAGGCAGTAACTGCTGAATAAAAGAAAAATTATGGTAACACTAAGCTATTTTAAGTAACGTTGCTCGTTGTTAACTTGACGAATGTCTTGAGACAAAAATTTACTTTGAATTTGCTGAAGATGCTGCAGTAAAAGTAGTGAAAATTCCAGTTTCAGTAGAAAATACAATCTTGCCTGAAGATTTGTGTAATAAAGTAACATTTTTACCTTAAATGTAGAATGAATTAACGGCTTTTAGGAAGCAAAGAACATTATAAATTGTCTTGTGCTGATATATTATAGATTCTATTTTATGTTACCTAGTAAACTGTTAAATCAGGGGAGATATGGAAGAAATATAATTGCAAATACCTGAAAGTATATTATTTTGTTAACATTGCAATAATTCGTTTAGCTTTAAAGCTTATCTCCGCGTCTGCTTCTAGTTACTCGAAAAAAGTAATGCAAAACATAGATCCTTCATTTATTCTATTGCGGTAGGTTTCTGTCAATTTAAAAATAATTCTTTTCCTAACTTTATAATTTTCACTAAGGTTGCATAAATTTCTTCAAAGGTGCACTTTTTTTCTCCTGAAACTTTGTCAGCTCTTGACCTGAAATTTAAAGCGATGCACTGATTAAAAAAGTCACAACTAAATTTCTCCATTAACAAAAATTTACATATCATTTGTGCTAATTTCCTAGTTTTATACTTTTTTCATACTTTTTTCTTTACGGACTGAAAAATCACGTTTGTTTCTCAACAATTAACCTTCAAAAATTCCTTATGAAATAACAAAATTCCCCAAATGCAAAGTGTAATGAAAAGTAGAAATACTTGCATCATATTCCGATACAGTTTTTCGTAAATGTTGTAATCAACGAAAGATTTATTGCTGTTGTTTAATGAGGAACATGGACATCGAACTAAATTATGTAACTAAAAATTGTTAGAATTAGTCGAATGCCATAAATCCCCCATACCCAGCAACCAGACTTCGATGAAATTCTAAATGTGCATTGTGCATGTGAAAGAGATGGAAATTTTCATTATGACTTTTATCAAAATACAGCATTATTATGTGAGTGATGTGAGCGGTGGGAAGTGTTCAATTTCGAAGTGGTCGGTTGTGCGTGTGTTATGATCTGTAGTACTGGTGTGTCTGGAGATTTTTAAGTGATGAGACACGTATTCTGTATTTTTGAGCAAGTTGGAAGTGCTAGTGAGTTTATGCTACAAGTCAGCTCGATGAAAATGTGTCTTTAGATATCACATTTCAGGCTTGTATTCATTCAGTATTTCATATATTGTATTTGAAGACGGATCGCATATTGCGCAATGAGTCGCAAGTTTGTCGTTTTATTGAAGAAATATAATTATGAAGTTTTTGTTGTGATTTGGATTTTGTCACTTCTTTAAGTTGATTAAAGAAATGTAAGTCTCAAAACTAATCAGATGTTTCACAGAGTTGCAACGTTGGATTCATCAAAAAAACCGGGGAGCGATAGCAGTGATTCAAATAATGATGAAGAAGGTCATCGTCAAGAGTTTTTTGTTGGAGGTGGCGCAAATAGGTAACTGATACTTAAGCTTCTGACGTTCTATGAATTTTCATGAATTAAAGCAGTTATTTAGGATTAAGCATCGTGCTGAAACAGATTTCTCTGAGACTGTGGAAACAACATATACATGTAGTTTGGTAGTGACTAATCAAGTTTGTGGAAAAAATTTTCTCTACAGAGTATAACGACTGTTTTATAACAATTATAGTGGGCAACAAGTTCTTGGACCGAATAGTTCTCATAATGATGATATTGCATCACAGTTGTTCAAGTTGGCTCGAGTACATGGCGCGGAACCTCTCACACCGGAAGAAAACGCTAAATATGGAACTCGAAGTGCAGTAAAGTTTGTATCCAGTGGAAAAGGCTACCGTTTGGGTGATAATGTGAAGCCATCGGAGATGGTAGAAGCAGCAGTTACAGAAACAGAAAGTGTACGATCATTTTCTTTACTCGTTTAATGTTTGTGCTTGCGGAGTTTGTGTTCTTATGTTATTTCAACAAAATATTTATGTTTTTCATATCACAATGGTTGCAGCAAGAAGTCGTGCTTGTATTGTATGACAATGGATTCACTGTCGATGATGGTCCACTTCGTTTGTATGGTGATCCTTCTAATGATTCATTTCTGCGAAAGATTAGCGAAGGGTGAATATCACGTTAAACAGATTTGTCTTCATGCATTTTCTAATAACATACATTCATGCATATCAAAAAATGTGTATGTTTTACATTTAGTTTAGGCACATCCCGAGTGAGCTTCTACGAGAATATCCAGGAAAAGTTATTGACATTCGTATGGAACGTCGTAATAAAGGATATGTGGAACATCCAAAACCTTTCACCGGTCAAGGTAAAAGACTCGGAAGCATTGTTCCTGCATTCACTGGTACTGAACAGATGGAAGGAAGCACTGAGGCTAGTATAAACGAGAATATCGGTGAGTTATGTTGCTGATCAAAAGTTTTAAACTCGGCCATTTATGATAGTAGCACATGATTAGTATCGGTAAGTTATATTTGAATTGAAGATGATGTTTTGTTAAGATGCAAATAAATTGTATGTATGATATCTTATTTACACTTCGCTACATTTTTAGTTTATGTGTACAACGTTTCTTTTCTCAAAAGTTAATGTTCATCTGCTGATTTAGTGGTTTCAGTGTTAATATGTTGATTTAGTGGTTTTAACTTTACCAGGTTCTGATTATTTTCAGATCCTAATTGTGTTAATAAAGCTCAAGAGGCTATAAAGTTGTCAGATGAGGAACCCATTACACGTGTTAATATTCGTTTACCACGAGGAGGACGTATCATTGGAAAATTTAATCATAGCCATACAGTCAGAGACATTCGTAATTTCCTCATAGCGTAGGTTTCATATAAAAATTGATTATTTAGAATGCTGTTCATTTTTATTCATATTAAGATTTTTCTTTTTTTAGTTTTGGCATAGTTATCATTAAATTCATATAATGTTACGTTTGCAGAGCAGCACCAGATTATGCTTTCCGTACATTCAATTTCATGACAGCATTCCCACATAGAGTGATCGAAGAAGAAGATGTTTCTTTGAAAGAAGCTGGTTTATTAAATGCAGTTATTGTAGCGAAGCTTGTGTAACGGGAATTCACTGAGGCTCATCTTTGACCACTTTTTTTTGTGCACTAGTAGTTTTATGTTAAAAAAAAACATGCGTCATAATTTTGCAAAGAGTTAATTGTTGTGAATTATTCTCGTATAGTGATGAATTTAATGTTCGTATCTTTGTTTCGATGAAAATTTTTATCTCAGTTGAAGAAACTATTAACTAAACATTGTTTCTAATCCACAGTATTTAAATTATTGCAGTTTATGCTGTTTTACATTAGTTGTTAAGATTTATTATCAGGTTGAAGAAACAAGTTACATATTCTCATCAAATTAGTGTTTGCAAAAGCGTTTCTGCTCATCGCAGTCTCATACATTCATTCGTGAGACCATATTAAATTGCTTATTATTCTGGTGCTAACATTTGCGTGAAGTGCAACCTCCTCGGTAGCTGGAGATTTCATGTTTTCTGGTATCTACTACACAGTAATTGTACATATTGTGCTGTTGGTTGATGTTGCATTCCATAACTTGAAGTTCAGATTTTTGACGGATGGGAGATACATCATGTCCGTTTTGTGATAGTAAACTTGCAGCTCATTTCTGGTCCTAGTAAGGATGTAGTTTCTAGTATTATATGTACTTCAGAATCAAATGAGTTTGAGGGAAGTCATTGGTTTGCGAGTTTGGACTAAATTCTTTCGGATCATCAAGAATTGTGGTGGTTTGACTGGTTTCGTGAAAAAGCGTTATTTGTAAGTGTGTTTGGAATATTTGTAATATTAACTTAAAGTTGTGTACTTATAAGGTTTGAACAAAATGAGTATTTCAAGTTGTGGGTAGTTTTATTTATTGATGTTGACAGGTATATTGTAAATTTTAAAGATATTCGATTCAGAATGGATGAAACAAGGATCGGGAAGCTGGTGGGCGAAGACAAGTTCGGCAATAAGTATTATGAAGTTAGCGAAACTACTAGTTTTATATTTTTGGTTCCAGGGTTAAGAAATTGGCTTTGAATTACTAGAAGTTTCATATCGTTTTCAGGACAATTCTTATTTCATACCTCGAAATCGCTGGGTTGAGTATCCAGAACATGTATGGCTTGAATATGACCCTTCTCAAATTCCGTCAGAGTGGTATTAGAGTTTTATTCTCATTTTGGATCTATTAGCTTGTCACAGAGTGAGGAAATATCTTTGAAAAGGATGTATGAATCTTTTTCTCTCTCTATTAGAGTTTTTAACTCATTCTCAGTTTCCTAGTGACTGGCTAATTTAATTAGATATACGTATATAGGCACATGTGGTTGCATCATATAACAGATGAAACACCGGTTCAAAATCCTCCAGTGCAAAGAAAATGGATGTTAGATCACGAAGAGACCTTAACTTTGTTAAAGTAAGTTGGTATATACTTTTTGTCAAAATTCAGGAAAGATATGTCCTTTATTAAATGTCTTTTTTTGATTAAACCAGTGAATTGCAAAAATTTATATTTTAGTGATCGCAAATATTATCCTTACTCAACTACAAGAGAGAAACTCACCCTCTGGAATCCTAACTATAAAAAAGCGAAATATTAGCGTCGAGATGGATGTCTTCCTCCTTTTCATGTATTTGTGATAGAGTTCCGATGTTTGTCGAGATCAATTTGTCATTAAGAATAAATGCATTTCTTTTCGAATTTTTCTAGCGCAAATTAGATTGTTAAATTTGTTGTTTTATATGGTAAATATAGAACAAATTTTGATATTTTTTAAATGAAATGATCAAGTCTAAAATGTGTAGAGAAGATATCATGATTATAATGCTGATTTCCTCTTGCTCTCTCATTTATACTTTTGAAGTAAAATTCAGGTTATCGATATTACAGTATGCTAACTTCATGATGTATCTTAAAGCTACGTTCACTTGCATGCAAATAATGGCGCGGTTAAATGACGACTGCTTGAGCAGTCGTTTATTTCGGTTGAGTGAATTCCGGAAGAGATTTGATGACTAATTCTATACGTTACATTATAATACTTTTATCTGTGTACTTATTTGCTGCAGTTTAAACCAAAATGCCTGTAAGTTCGTATTTTGTTTCCTTGGGCGTCTGATTTCGTAGATCGGATACATGATGCTTTTCTATAGCTCCCGCCAACAGTTATACGTATGTTCGTGGACCCTGTAACTTGAGCAGTGCGTTCATATGATACCTCAATTTGATAATTTCTGAATTGCAACGGATACATGTCATTGTGAGCATACGTTAAAGCATAAAAAATTCACGAATACAGAACATAATGTTAAGCATTAATGCGGAAAATGAAATCGAAAAAAGCATACATCATATATTGTGATGGATTCGACCGTATAGGAATCAACAAAAAAGGTTAGAGAATTTAACTGGTTGCTCTGCAAATTATTGACTGAAATAAGTTGACTAAAGAGAGATTTCGCAGTGATATTTTTAATGATATATTTTCATGATATAAATAGTGATTAATTATACTCTGGAGATCTCGAATTTATTGAATGTTACTAAGTAGTAGTTAACAGCAAATCTACTCTATATGCAACCTCTTCACCTCTGCATTGTTATTGCTACTGCATAATTATTGTTCACTTCCACCTCCCGTTATTCAATAAATGGTATTACCTCCATCAAAATACACTACTTCCACTGTATTTAATAATACTTATTATTATTAACGACTAACAAACAATGCGCATTACTACTTGCTACTGCTCCGACAACTTGATCTAATACGATTTACTACTACTTTTCATGAACTGTCGTCGGCATTGCTTACCTTCACAATCGCTCAACTACAAGTTTTAATCACATGTATACATAATATTATGTATATTAATATATGTGATTGTGAGTGTGATTTTTTTTGACAAGCTAATATTTTGATCTGATTTCTAGTTTGTTTAGATGACATGACAAAAGAGGCAAAAAATTTGAACTGAAAAGAATAATGTACAAGAAAAAAAGGCTGAAATAAGAAAAAATTATGATGGAAAAAAGATAGGTCGTTATAAAAAAGTAAAGAAGAAAATTTTAAGGACTTCCTTTATTTGAAAAGAAAAGGATATGATATGAGGAAATTAGAAGTAAATAAATAATTCGAGAAAAAAATATGAAACAAGGAAGATAAACGGGTATAAATGATTAAGTCATGTAAAAGGAAGATAGGGCGAAATACAACGCATATACAAGGGAAATACAATACACGCAAGGGAAAATTTAGCACACATACGGGAGAAACGTATACACATTCTTTGTCCACATGGTTGGAAACCACGCGAATGAAGGATGTGTATACGAGAACTAAGCAGAACTTGTGGAATTCGATGAACAGAAACCTGACATTCATCGAGCATAAGGGGAAATTTCATGTTCTGCAATGACAGCAAGTTTTCTTTATTTGCTCAAACATCATATTTCAACGTCATTCAAAAAATGTCCCAGAATGTCATAATCAAAAAATAATAATAATAATGCAATTTTTAAAATGAATTCGGCGATGACAAATCGTTGCAAAAATACTCCACAGAGTACAAAAACTGATTTATTACAAACAACTAAAATGATTACAGTTTATTTTCTTGCTAACCTCTTAGCCTAACAGTTCCAGTTCCAGTAAAAAAGGGAACATTCATTTAAAATTTTTCTCATGCTTTGATTACGTTTTTTTGTCCAATTTTTTCCACGCACAAAGCTGAAAAAACTGATGCAATTTTGTGTCAACCATTGATCAAACCAACTAACACATTATCAAATAATTATTTATTGGAAACTAATTTAGTGCTTTTACTCGCATTCTTGAAGATAAATCGAAACAATCTTCGAAAGGGTTCGCATGAAAGACACTTCATAAAGAGTCCAGAAATTGGAAGGAAAATGGAATCTACCCCACATCAATTATTCTCGCAAATTTTATTTTAGTATGCTTACAACATCGTATCATAGAAAATTTAAAAATATGACATGTAAAATATGTAAGAACTTTTTAATGAGAAACAAATGGTCTTAACAATGAGAATTCAGCAATATTTACTTATTTGTAGTAATCTTACTAATTTTGTTTGTTATTTAATCTTATTTTTTTAACAATTAATTTTTCTGATACAGTTACATCAATAGTACAATAATTGAATCCATTTAATCTTTATTTTTTTTTATCTTTTTTTGTCTTCTTTAGCTTTTTTCCCATATTTTATCATAATTTTCCACATTTTCCTCTCTTCAGTTTTTTAAATATGACTTAAATTGTCCACAGTACTTCATTTACAAGTTGAAATAAACATACATAAAGAAGAGACACGATATAAGCAGCAGATCACATTCCTGAATAAATGATATATCAGTGAAATCTTGATTTGAAATTTTCTACTCATTAGTAATAAAATGATTGCACGAAATTTACCAACATAAGTAGCATTCATTGATGGATACAAAACAAGAGCATACCACACTTCTACCTTTAAATTTAGGAGCTGGCACGACTGTCCAATGACGCCTAGTCTCGATTAATTATAAAAAATATCACCAATTCAAATCATCGAAATCTATTCACCAACAAAAATTTTTAAAAATCGCAAGGGTTAGGGAGCTGGCATATCTACCCAATGATTCCTTCAGTCGAAAATTAAGTTAATCCACAATCGCATAATCCACGATTTTCAATAAATATATACCATTTGGATTAATCTGTGCACAACTTATACAAGTTAACCTTCCAAGATTCAGATTTTCAAAAGATCAACAGCCTACTTTCAGCAGAGGAATTAATTGCCAGACAGCTTACTACTTCTAATCCTGATAAAAATTATTGATAAAAACATTTCTTAATCTATGTACATGAACAAGTTTTTCGAAATAAATGACAATAAAATTCTATCTCCAACTTTAGTCATATATTCAATTTAAAATTTTCATAACTTTTATTACCCAACACTGAACCATGGCATACTTCTGCCGCAGAGCAATTTATCCAACCTACATGAAATTTCCAAATTTTTCATAGTAAAACTATAATAATTTCCCTCAAAAATTTAATAATAGATAAAGATAAAAGATCATAATACGGAATTTTGAAATGTATGACTGGAGCTGAAGATAAAGTGAAGAAACATATTGAAAAAGGTAGGGAAGTGCTGTGAACACGAGTGGAGAAGCTAGAAGATTCTTTGCTCGTTCATGACAATATTGCAATAAAAAAACGATAGTAGTTTAAGTTTTTTCTCGCGAAAACTTTTACAATATGGAAGACATCAAATTAGAAAGTCTTGATATACGAAGAAATATGCGATACACAATATGCCATCGATCTTAACAGATTTGTGTCTAACATTCCATGCCAACGATATTCACCAGAAAAATATACAAGACAAATGGCATCGGACATACTGTATATGAATGTAGATAAAACTATTTTCTAACAAGAGATTAAATTCTAAGAAAGATGGAATTATATGTGCTGCATTGATATTATTTAGTCACTATCTCCCAATTACATAACGGATTAATCTCTTACACAACGTTTTGTCATATTTTTTGCTTCTTTCTTCATGTCATCCAAACCAAACTAGAGATCAAATCAAAACAACCGAAAGTAAAAAAAATCACGCTTAGAATCACATATATTAAAGTACACAATAATACTTTCAGAAATGATTCAAATTTTAAGCAATTAATAAGTTAAAATATTGTCAAACCAATGCATAGTTAATGAAACAACATCGATAGACAATCTAACACGAATTGAATGACAACTTCAACTCAATCATATCTATCTTGCTAATTTCATATTCGTTTTTCAGTTACTTAATCCTTTTCACGTATCTCATTTTATTTCATTCTCTTTCAGTGAAGAGTATTCCTCAAACTTTCAACTTTAATTTTTTTCCAAGGATCTCTTTTGTTAACTTATTTTACAAACAAATCAAACAATGCTTAACAATATAAATTGACAGACCAGAATAAATTTTAAACCATTGAAATTTAATTAACTAGTACATTCTTGCGCGGATTCTTCGAGGGTGGCAGCAATCCCTTATCAATTTTACAGAGATGCCAGTGTCGCCAACTCTTGACATCCATCTCTAACGCAATAACTCAATTTGAATGCAGGTTGTAATGAAACAAGATTTGAATGTGAATAGTACGTAAATTGCATTATAAACAGTTCAAAATCATTTGTATAAATAAATTAGAAACTGCTTTATTTGATATGTGGATGTGCCTTTCCTGCCAATTCTAGTTGGTGATGCTTGACCCTTATCTCGTTTACTATCGACCTACGTGCCGCCGGACACCAGTCGACAATGTATAACCCCACTAGCCACAATATAAGGACTGAGGAAATCAGGGATTTTCGGGGTACGATGTGGAACTCCAATGGGAAAGTACGATGATATCCAGCACAACGAATATCTGGAAGAATCCGTTTTAGGTGATGAAGTGCACCATACTTTTCTCTCTGAAGTTTGCTTTACATAAATTTGAAACTTTGAATCACATTCTTGAATCTCAAAACTAAACAATTATTAGACACAATAGTTCTCTCCGTACTCTTTGAAAGATGCG